CAACTTGAGCCAAGAGGTCATGCGATCATTGGCATTGTTCATCACCTACGCGTTCCATTCGCCTTCCGCCTCGGTGCCGCGCACGCCACGGCCAGTGTCCGCAACGTCACGATCAGGCACGCCTGTTCCGTTGAGGAGACCGGTGGTTGAGCTTGCGACTGGCAATGCCCTTGTGAATGGAGTGAAGTATCTTCCGAAAAAAGCCCTTGGAATCAAGATCCTGGTGATGTACTCAGGAATACTATGCGAAAAGGGCAATCTCAATCACGTCAAGAAGTTTGCACGAACTGTCACAAACAAGTGGCTGTTGTATCTCCTGGCAGAGAATGACGTGGAGATAGTGACTCACGGATGCAAGATTCTGGCACGACTCTTGGTGGCCCATGGCTCGTCGTACACTACCAAATTTGCGAACAAGAGTGGAGGGTTCACCATCATGGCCAGTCGACTGCGGAAGTTTTGGGATGTTCCTACTTTATGGCCAATATGCCTGAGCATTCTGTTTGGCTACGACGTTGCCGAGATCAATTTCGGCAGAGACTTTGACTTTTCCGGGCTCATCGACATCTTCGGAAAGCGGAAAGTTGCGTATCCGGAGGCTTTGCACATAATCACGTCTTTGCTGCAGCACGGCTTCAAAGAGGTCATGAGGCATCAGGAGGACCCAGACTCGCCTGCGCGAGGGTCTGGTCCTGGAAGCTCCACGACCATGACCTCGCAGTCCGAAGGGCGACCGAGGGCCCGATCAATGGACCTGGCAGAAACTCTGCAGAGTCGGTTGAATTTCTCCGGAGAGCGGGAAAGAGTATTAGGGCATGTCACGGTCCTCCAGACGATGCTTGGCTTTCTGTCCGACTTGCATGCGAGATCCTCAGAATTCAGGGACTTTGCCCTCAATTCTGACTGGACTAGACTGCTCCTTGCCACGCTGTATCCGGCTGTCGTGAGCGCTGATGCTGTTGCACCTCATGTTGAACTTCAGTCGGGTTCCTCTGCGCTCAACTTCGCTGGAGATGATGTGATCATCCGCCCATTGGGTGGAGGCACAGCTTCGGTGCCCATCGTTAGGACAAGCAGTGTTAGTGCGGAGGCATTCCCACCGCCACAGTCACTGTCGATCAAGCGCACACCACTGCGTCGGGCCTCGTCCTTTGTGTTGCTGACTTCACAGAAGGACCAGTCTGATTTATCCAGCACCAGCTCGACCATCTTGTCGGCCAAGGCGTCGATGGCCAAACCAAACGAGCTTTTGGAAGGCTTTCTGGATCTGGTGATCAAGGTGTTCATGGATCAAATGATCGCACGGAAGGAGTTCCCTGGCTTCGGACTCTTCACCAAGGTCCCTCCCGGCTTCCAGGAGCACCAAGCATACTTTGAATCCTTTGTGTTGCAGCGCATGGTCGCCGAGGTAACAACCTACATCAGGGTGAACGACAAAGCGGTCTGCGAGCCCCGGATCATCACCAACATTGCACGGTTTTCCCATCACTTGTCGGAAGCGATCTTTGAGGGCTGGTTCCTGCATGGTGCCGAGGTAATGGTCGACTTCAGTGGCTTCGTCCTAGAGTTTCTGCAACGACCGGATGTGGAGAAGCTCAAGAGCGTTCGCCTCTGCAGCCAGGCCGTTTCTATGATCCGCGGCTGCTTGCTCCGAGTTATCTTGCTTCGGTTGTCTGACATGGACCACGAGGAAACCAGTGAAGTTGAGGCCAAGACTTTCATTGAGAAAATGGCCTACTGGCAAATGTCAATTCTGGCGTGTTTCAACTCGGACGATGACTACCTTAAGCTGGTGTGGTATCAGTTGTACACAAAATTGGTCGCCGACAAAGCAGCTCTGCGCAACGGCGCCGCCAATTTTATGCGTGTCATCTTAGTTCAGAAGCCAGAGGAGTCGTACATGCTTCTGCGTTCAAGCCTGCAGACCGAGCATCGCAGACTTGTCAACGATTTCCTGAAGTTGACCGAAGTGGACGACGAAACGTTTGTCGAATGGGTGGATGAACATCGCCAACCTTTGGACAGCTTATTCTTTGGCAACATGGCGAAGACATGGGAGGAATTCGTCACGATCGAGAACACAAAGACTACGGAGACAGCCAAGGTGCGCCTTGCAAAGCGCAAGGACAGACTCAGAATGTGGCAAGCAGAGAACGAAGCGATTGACAAGATTCTGTTCAACCACCAAATCGGAAACAGTGCATGGATGAAGAGCATCTTCAACTCCGAGCATTTCAAGTACCAGCGACTCGTCCAAGACCAGCAGGACGACTTGGCATACATAATTCCAGTCTGGCGCAAAATGGAAAGAGACTTGAGAAGGCCCGGCGCTGTGTTCAGTGAGGCTCGTCCGACAAAATGGAAGCTCGACCGAACCGAAGGGCGGAACAGGATGAGGTTGAGGCTGCTCCCCGACTACTCCACAAACGAGGACAAGATGCAGCCCAAACGAAAGGGCACAGCTACGCCGCAGCCTGTATTACAGCTCAACACGAGTACCGACCAGGCCGCCTCAGTCGCAGCCTCCCCCAAAAAGAGGGCATCACCTAAATCAAGGGCAGCGGACGATGAAGCCGGAGAAGAGGTGGAAGATCCAGCAGGCACCGGCCTGGTACCAGAAGACGACTTCGAGATGGTAGACGATCCCAACGACCCTAATGACGAGGATAGCTTCGAGGACAAGAATCGCAAAGTCATGCGGCGCCTTGAGCACGGTGACCAGGTGCAAGCGGCTTACAACGTTTCGCGAATCACCGGTCTCGAGGCATGTGAGGGCATCCTCATCATCGGCAAAGACGCCCTGTACATTATGGACAATGTGTTCCAATGTGCCAACGGCGATATCGTGAACGTGTGGCAGGCACCGCCGGAAGAGCGCGACCCCTTTACGCAAGTTGTCACTGGCGCAAAGACCATGGAGAAACGCCAGATTGCTGGCAATCGGGAGCAAGAATCCAGGCACTGGCGTTGGCATGATGTTATCAGCATCTCCAAGCGCCGTTTCCTGTTCCGGGACGTCGCCATTGAGATCTTTTTCACCGATGGCCGTAGCTACCTCCTCACGCAGATAAACCCTACGGTCAGGGACGAGCTGTTTTTGAAGATGATGAACAAGGCTCCTCACACGAGCACGGCTAGCGCGCTTCCTAACCCTGAGGATGCTTGGAGGCTTGAAGTCCTCAAAGTTGTGGATGAGTCACCAGCTGGACTTGGCTCACGGCTGGGCACCCTTTTCAACGCAGCTCCTTGGACACCGATCATGAAGAAATGGCAAAGGGGCGAGGTCTCCAATTTCCATTACCTGATGATGGTGAACACGTTGGCTGGGAGGACCTTCAATGACTTGACGCAGTATCCTGTGTTCCCCTGGATCATTGCAGACTACACGAGCGAGGACCTTGATCTCGAAGACCCGACCACTTTTAGGGATCTATCCAAGCCGATGGGCGCCCAGACGCAAAGCAGGGTGCCAGGCTTTATCGAGACCTACAGCGCTCTGAAGGACATTGGACAGGAGCCCTTCCATTACGGGACGCATTACTCCTCCGCGATGATTGTATCGTCCTACCTCATCCGCCTCCCGCCATTTGTACAGTCCTATTTGCTGGTGCAGGGCGACAGTTTTGATCATGCCGACCGATTGTTCCAGTCCATACCGGATGCCTGGGATTCTGCCTCACGGAAGAACAAGGCTGACGTGCGCGAGTTGACGCCGGAATTCTTCTGCCTGCCCGAGTTTCTCACGAATATGAACGACTACGATTTTGGTCGCCGGCAGAGCACGGGTGCGAAGGTAGACAATGTCGTCTTACCACCATGGGCCAAGGGCGACCCGAAGATCTTCATCGCCAAGCATCGTGAGGCCCTAGAAAGCCCCTATGTCAGCGAGAAACTGCACCACTGGATCGATCTTGTGTTCGGGTTCAAGCAGCTTGGGGAGGCGGCCGTCGAGAACCTCAACGTGTTCCACCACCTTTCATACTCGGGCTCCAGCGACCTTGATCGCATGACTGATGTGAACGAGCGTGCCATCACAGCGGGTGTCATTCACAACTTTGGCCAAACACCACATCAGGTGTTTACCAAGCCTCATCCAGCACGAGAGAACGTGCGCTGCATGATCCGCAGGCTGGACACCTCGGTATTCTCCCTGCGATGCTTACCAAACCCTTTGCTAGAGAGCAGGGAAAGAGTCGCCTCATTGACATATGCCTCTAAGTTGGACCGTCTGCTCTGCGCGTCGCCTTTCCGACTCAACCTTCCCCCGTGGGATAAGTACCTCGAATGGGGCTTTGCCGACAACAGTGTGCGGTTCTTCCACGGAGACAACCGGAAGCTGGCAGGCTTATTTGAGAACCTGCATATCGGACAGATCTCATGTGCCACGTTCGCTGACTCCAAGACACTGATCACCGCAGGCGAAGACTGTGTCATCTCAGTTTATTCGGTGCAGACCACACCCAACAAGCCTGTGGACATCACACCGCGCTCTAGTCTATTTGGTCACAAGACGCCTGTCACAACGCTCGCCGTGAGCAAGGTATTCAGCACCTTCGTGTCCGTATCGGCAGATGGCCAAGCCATGCTGTGGGATCTTAATCAGCTTGCCTTCATCCGGAAGCTGCCCTTTGTGCGGGCCGTCGAGGACGCCAAGATCAACAACGTCACTGGCGAAATCATGCTTTGCTCGGGGCCAAATGTCTTGCTGTACACGCTGAATGGATCATTGATACTGGACATGAATGTGTGCACCGACCCAGAGGACTACGTTCACTCATGTGCCTTTTACGAGGGCGCTGGCAATGAGTGGCTGGAAGACCAACTCGTGTTCACGGGCCATCGCAAAGGTCGAGTCAACATTTGGCGCAAAAGCATCAAAGGCGGCAAATGGACGCTCGAGTTCTTGCGCCGCCTGGATCATATTGATCACAAGAGCGACAAAGGGGGCAGCACGGAGGCTGGCATCACTTGTATCAGCCCAATGCCTACGTGTGTTTACACTGGTGACGACGATGGGCGTGTGGTAAGTATTCCTGAATCCTAGTATGGAGACCCGAGCTGACGGTAGGCAGTACGAATGGAACTTTGCAGGTCGGGACAGATAGAGCCTCCGCCGGCCGAAGAGGAGTTCGTGGCGGCGAAGCGTTGCTCCCAAACCACCAACATGACCCGTGCATAGATGGGAAAATCCACATAGAAAGGACAGCGGGCGTTTCGAGGTTTGAACTTGCAATTGGTGGTAGCAGACATTATGTCATTTTCAGCAAGCCAAGCGTGAATGAACAAAATAACCACTTCGTCGAATTGAGTGCCGGCGTCTCCTGCTTCTCTACCTGAAAGACCGCGCTATATGTACAAGTGCCCATCGCCCTCAAGTTCGGTTATTCGTCATCGTAGCCGGTCAGTTGTTTTCGTGGCCCGGACGGGACTGTGTCGCGTTAGCATCATCGCCCCTCGTCTCGGCGTGTCGCATTGGATCTTACTGGGGTATGTGTTGGGGATAGCAGGAGGATCGGGGTCGTTGAAGACGTTGTAGCGTAGCGAGCGGATAGGGTAGATCATGACGGGACCAATGCCGCCGATGATGACGGACCAGAAGAGGGCGGGCTTCTCGACGGCTGCCCAGCGGCAGTAGCGGAAGGGTGTAGACCAGAAATGGGGCGCGGACGACATTTTGCTGCGATGTATGTAAGTGGGCGTGAGCTCAAGAGCGCGGAAGAGGCAATGCGTACACAATTGGAGGTTTGAGGCTGATTGTTGACCTTGCGATGGCGTCTGGTTGGGTTTCGTGGTGTTGAGGTATCCAGAGGCCGGAGATAGATGATCCGGTTCCGATGAGCCCCCACGTCGCAGCTCGCCGCCGCGCCAGCACCAGTGCCACTGCCAGCCAGTGTGGGGAGCAGTTGCAGGGGCCCAGCGAGGCTACGTATCCCAAATCCAGGCACGGAAGCTCAGCGAGCTCCAATTCCCACTTCACCAACGACTCATCACATACAATCAGCACAATGCGGTCGCTACTAAGCCTCGCCGTGCTGGCGGCTGCGTCGGTGGTGTCGGCTGTGAGCGTCACGGGCAACCGATTGCTCGTTGTGTTGGACGATGTTGCTGAGAAAGAGAGCTACAGCAAGCTGTTTGGAAGTTTGGCTGGTAGTGGTAAGTGCTCATCTGTTTTGTGCCGCCATTCGACGAGTGCTTACGGAATTGTGCAGATCGAGGCTTCGATATCACATACGACACACCTCGCAGCGAAGACCTTCAACTGTTCCACTTGGGCGAGCGAACCTACGACCACATCGTTTTCCTGCCTACAAAGGTCAAGGCTCTTGGGCCAAAACTGACGCCCCAAATCCTCCTCGATTTCGTCAATGCGGCAGGAAATATCATGGTCGCTTTGTCTGCGACAACACCGGCCTCGACATCGACGGTTGCCTTCCTCGCTGAGCTCGGCATCTCACTGCCTCAGGAGCGGACGGGACTGGTTGTGGACCACTTCAACTACGATACTGTCTCTGCGAGCGAGAAGCACGATACGCTTGTACTGCACAACTCCAAGCCTGTCAGGTATGACATGTGGGACGTTTTCTCCCTGCGCGATGACGAGTTTCTAGCCTTGCCACACACGGTTGGACACACCCTTGGCGCTGGAGAGCTGCTTACTCCTATCCTGCGCGCGCCCTCTACTGCCTACAGTTACAACCCCAAGGAGCAGACCGAAGCTGTAGACCCTGACGACTTGTTTGCTGCAGGACAGCAGCTCGCGCTTGCGTCTGCTTTCCAGGCCCGCAACTCGGCTCGCGTGACGGTTCTCGGATCCGCTGAGATGCTCCAGGACAAGTGGTTCGACACCAAGGTCGCCGTCGAGGGAGGCAGCAAAGTCTCTACGAAGAATGCGGAGTTTGCCAAGACCCTGACTGGCTGGACGTTCCAAGAGCTGGGCGTGCTCAGGGTCGAGGAAATCGAGCACCGTCTCAAGGACAGCAACGAGACCAACCCGGAAATCTACCGCATCAAGAATGAGGTGCACTACCAGATTTCTCTGTCGGAGTACCGTTGGGATGCGTGGGTGCCCTTCAACGCCAACCCCAATGACCCTCCCCAGCTCGAGGTCAGCATGCTGTCACCCTTCCATCGTCTGAACCTCGCGCCGGAAGAGCACTCTGCGACCGACAGAACCCGCACCTACAGCACAGATCTCATCCTGCCTGACCAGCACGGCATCTTCAACCTCAGGGTCAACTACAAGCGCCCTTTCTACACGTACGTCGATGAGAAGTGCACGGTCAGTGTCCGCCACATGGCTCACGATGAGTGGCCGAGAAGCTTTGTCATCTCGGGCGCGTGGCCCTGGATCTCTGGCATTGGTGCGACGGTCAGTGGGTTTGTGATGTTCTGCGCAATCTGGGTGTATAGCAAGCCTGCGGCTCCACTGGTGAAAAAGACACAATGAGGAAAGATAGAGGATGGCCCTTTTTTGAGCGATTCAGACAAGCTTTATAGAGGGGTTTTAAATGACTGTAATATCATCTGGACAAATTGAGCTTGGGCTTCTGCTCTGATTCTTTGCTGTTGTCAGCATGGCGCGAAGAGACACCCGAACCCGGCCTCGGATATCGGCACGTGACATGGCGCCATGCGCCGACCTCGCCGATAGTCCGTCCGTCTTAGAAATCGACTTGATGATGAACCCATAGAAACGTCTTTGCCAATTCATTCGATTTCGCGGTCTGTATTTTTGTTTCCGAAGCGCCTACACATATACGCATACCAGTCGCTCTCAATAGATGTCCATGAGGAGTTCTACGCGGACGCTGCTGCGGCAGCTCAAACCGCGGAACAATGCGCTCACATCAGCAATACCACTCACCACCGCGCGATGCATACACTCTCCTCCGCCGCGGAAATCATCTTCCAATCCAGCCATGGCATTTCCCTGCCTAGATGCGCTCGAGTCCAGGTCCCAGACCCTTCTATCGGACAGGAGCTCACCCTCGGGACCGGAGCCATCCTACACAGTCGGCGAGACGCAGAAGTACACGTGTGAAGAGCCTCTCCTGCTGGACTGGGGAGGTGTCCTTCCTTCATTTGACATTGCCTACGAGACATGGGGCACACTGAACAAGGACAAATCCAACGTCATTCTACTGCACACCGGCCTGTCAGCCAGCTCCCACGCCCACTCCACAGAAGCCAACCCCAGCCCAGGATGGTGGGAGAAATTTATAGGCCCAGGAGGACCAGTCGACACGGACAAATACTTTGTCATCTGCACAAATGTCATTGGAGGCTGTTATGGCTCGACGGGACCGGGGAGTGTTGATCCCGCCAACGGAGAGCGCTACGCCACGCGCTTCCCCATCCTCACCATGGACGACATGGTGCGCGCCCAATTCCGCCTCCTCGACCATCTCGGCGTCGAGAAGCTCTACGCCAGCGTGGGGTCTAGCATGGGCGGCATGCAGTCTCTCGCCGCCGGCGCGCTGTTCCCCGAGCGAGTCGGCCGGATCGTCAGCATCTCCGGCTGTGCTCGTAGTCACCCCTATTCCATTGCCATGCGCCACACCCAGCGCCAGGTGCTCATGATGGACCCCAATTGGAACCGTGGCTTTTACTACGACAGTCGCGTTCCTCCGCATGCTGGCATGAAGCTGGCTCGCGAGATTGCGACGGTGACGTACCGGTCTGGGCCAGAGTGGGAGCAGCGCTTTGGACGACGGAGGGCGGATAGCAGCAAACCGCCCGCGCTGTGTCCCGACTTCTTGGTCGAGACCTACCTAGATCACGCGGGAGAGAAGTGGTGCCTGACATACGATCCCAATTCATTGCTGTACGTCAGCAAGGCCATGGACTTGTTCGATCTTGGCGTGGAGCACCGAAGAGCCACGCTGGCCCGAAGACGCGAACGACAGGAGGCTATGCGAAAGGGCGACTCGGAAGCTGTGGCCGCGCCGGCGGCGTGTACGTTGACGCTGCCAGAGACACCGTACGAAGAGCAGCCAGAGTCACAAGTTGATACTACGGAACCCTCCGTCCCCGGCTCGTCGAGACCCCCAGAGGACCTGATCCAAGGCTTGAAGCCGCTACGTGACATTCCGACACTGGTCATGGGCGTGGCAAGCGACATTCTGTTCCCTGCGTGGCAGCAGCGCGAGGTCGCTGAAGCCTTGCGTCTCAGTGGGAACCGCAACGTCACGCACATGGAGCTGAGCGAGGAGATGAGTCTCTTTGGGCATGACACATTCTTGTTGGATCTCAAGCATGTCGGCGGAAATATCAGACTCTTCCTGGGCTAACCCCGGGGACAAGTACTTGGTGGTCCTACTATGTAACATAAAAAGGAAAATTATAGACATGAATGATGGAAATGATGAAACCGCTCCTCGCTACCCAAAAACAAGATGAAACAGGATCGTGCCTGAACGCTAGATGAATTGAGGAGAGAATTCAGAGAATTCCGCCGCGATAGGAGACTTCACGCTCCCGTTGGGTGTGTTCCCTTTGGAGGGAGGCAGCGTGATAGGGGCTGGCCTTGGAGGAGCCTTTGTGGCCTCGACCCGTAAAGGGCTATCGGCACCGAGGCGGACACCGAACTCGCTCAGTGTTGGCGAGATGAGTGGCTTGGCTACATGATCCTCTGATGGGTAATCATCAAACGTCTTGGCCAAGTTCTCGCTCAATGACTCTTCAAGGGAGCTGAATGTCGGACTGGGCAACCGCGGCGCCGCCAAGAATGGTGCTCCTCCTTCTTTGGAGGCCCAGGGACTGATATCGCTATCAAGATGTGAGGCCCTCGACACTGCGGGTGTCAATGGTGCAGGTAAAGCGGAGAGGTGTTTCTCTGCACGTTCAGCCCAGGCAGGCGTCACTGTGAGTCCCTCGTCCTCACGCGGTGGTCGAGGTGGTGCTGCCGTAGTCGAAGCAGGTACTGGCGCGATCGCCGGTGATCCAGGCCCCGGGCGTCTGCCGCGTGGCAACCCTTTGTTCACAGGGAAGTCGCCCTCAGCGGGTTGTCTGGCACGCAGAGGACTTTGGGAGCGACCATTCGCATGCAGTGTTGGAGGTGGCGCGTGGTCAAAGAGCTCGGACGTCGGGCTCGCAATGGAGCCGATGGACCCCGGTTTTCGTCCTCGAGGCAGTCCCTGATGAAACGGGAAATCCCCTTCCATGGCTGCCTTTGATCGAAGCGGGCTTTGCGATCTTCGGTCTGGGTTCAGCTTTGGAGGTGGCGCCTCCTTGACCAGGCGTGCCGAGTCGGATGAGTGTACTGAGCAAATGCTGGGGCGAGCAGAGATTGGAGGCGGCGCGCGCAAGGCTGTCGGTGTGTTGGGCCCACGTGTGTCAGAATCGCCTCGTGGACGCGCAGGCTTGGTGAGAGACTCGATAGAAGGCGTCAATGACAGGGTGTTGTCCGATCGTTTAGCTTCATGTGCCGGTGGCTGGGGGAAGAGGCTGTCACTCGATTCGGTCATGGACAGCCCGTCGTCTTGATCCACTGCGGCTTCAATGGTCATCGCTTCGCTCATCCCACGTTCCCTCGCGTTTTTGCGGTCCACGGGACGGTCCGCCTGCCTGTCGCTGAACGGCGAGCTGAGTCTCTGCCTGTCTATCGGGCTCTCAGTTCGGTCGCTGGTGTTCGTTGGAGAGATGGGTCGTTCCGTAGGCAAAGGAATAGATGTGTCCACAGCGGGAGCACCGAAGTTGAAGGCAGAAAAGTTGCCTTCAAAGCCCTCCGTCTGTCTCCGCTTCTTGATCTCAGCCTTCTCCTCATCCGTGCGGTTCTTGATGACACGCCGCGCAGAGGCACTATCATTGGTTTGTTTGGAGATACTGCGCCGACGGGGTGAGTGAAAGGACATGGTATCGCGCTTGGCTAGAGCGTTGCGAACGACAGGGCTCTCCAACCCTCCCTCATTCGTCGCCAGCTGTAAGTTCGGCTCAGCCGTGTTGACGCGGCGAAGTGCGCTCAGAGCTGTTGGTTTGGTGCTCTTTGGCTCGGTGCTCACGCGGATCAATGGGTCTGGATCCTCGCTCTTGATGGACGGCGGGGGCGACGGGTATCCATTGGGCCCAACACTAGCCATAACTCGGCTTTTCTCATCACCCTGGGATCCAATGTCAAAGTCGGAATGGCGGGGTGGCCGCTTTGCTGTAGGGCCAGCCGATGTATGTGGTCTTTGCGGTGCGTCCCTATCGCCCTTCCCAAAATGCACGTCCAGAGGATTCACCCAATCCTTCTTCATGGAGTTGGCCGTGCCTGGGCGCGTGGGCGTACCGGGGACGGAAAAGTGGCCGTCCAAAGGCAGCGATACAGGAGGACCAATCGGGCCCGATATCACTGGCCTTTTCCCCTTCAGATTGGAGCTGGACGAAGCCTGGCGCAAACTGGCGGCACTTGGTCGTCTCACGGATGGAGGGGCGAGGTCGACCATGGACGATGTTGCTTGGGCATTGGCAAAGGGCGCGCGAAAGAGCATTGTGCTTCGTATCGAATGGCCGGTGCCGGGTCGCGATGGCGGACGTTGGGGGGCACAGATGTCATTGCCAAAGGACTGGTCGGAGCCGAAGCTCTCCTTTTGTCCTTTCTTCCATTTCTTTGCTGACTTTTCGGCTTCTTTTTGCTTGTCCCTGCATCGTTGTCAGCTATGATCCGCTCTGCGCAGGCAGTACACACTGTAGCTTCTTCTTGTCGCCCCCGAAACGAAGCCCGAAGAAGGAAACCATTGTGGTGGATCGCGTCCGAGAATTAGAGTATAGGTATGGTTTGATGGTCCACGCGCGAGGCGCCAGCAACGCAGTAAGATTGAGGATTAATACTTTTGAGGACACAAAGATAAGACCCCAAAGATTGCAATTGCGCCCACCCGCACACACGCGAAGAGACGTTCGCTGTCGCTTTAGCTGCCTCCAACACTCCTACGAGGAACTCAGGGGTTCCACGGGTCGGCCTTTGGACGTTCGCGGGGCTGGTTGGTGGTGGGTGGAACAGGGGCGGGCCTGCGGGTACCTGCACGGTTGACAGGGTCCAGGACTAACGAGGAGAGAATGAACTGCCGTAGTCGTCGGCGTTTCTTGTTCTCTTCTCTTCTTTAAGGAACGGACGTGTCGACGCGACACTGCTCGAGGCGCTTCGATGGGGAAGATGCTCGTGCAAGAAAGAAATACTGGAGGTTCTGGCAAGTGATTACCTACTCAAGACCGACGCGCCGGAAGGAAGGAGCGCTGCTGGCGCAACGAGAAACGCCAAGACGCGCGAATCGACATTGCAATTTGGCGCTCGAGCCAACTGTTGCTTCACAGACCCGAATGTGGAGCGATCGGCACTGTTTCATGTCACCCAACATGCTGAACACGATGAAAAGGGACAAGGCGTTTGTGTGTGGGTGTTTACGTGCAGCGACGAATCGCGCTACTTGATGGTCGACGAGATCGGCCGAGTCCACTCGTCTGTGATCTCATGGCGCGTTAGCGAGTGCGTAGATGTAAATTAAGTACGGATACGTGGCAGCGAAATTCTTCTACCAAAGGTTCATTGAGGATCCCGCATATCGCAATGAGGTCCTGCAGGACGCGGGCGCACCCATTAATTACACATGGTTTTGACTCAGGAGTTGTGACCCCCCTTAGACACCTGCCCACCCTCGGTCATGGTGCTCATGTCTCGCTGCGGCACATACCCGGCGCATATACGGCCTGGCTTGGCCTGGCTTGGCTTCCACACAGGTCTCGTGCGCAGGAACACTTTGAGGGCAGCACAGCAGGTTCCGAATTTGTGTCGCCCAGGGACCTGATGCGGGCGCGACTCTTGATGCCTGTGCAGTCGCGCCGCCATCCGAGAAAGAGTACCGTCGTGGCTATGATAATATCCAGCAAAGCCGAGGAATCGGCTCTCGCGCACATCGACCAGGATGGCGTAGGTTGGTCGGCTACAGTGTATGATCTTGGCGTCCTGTGCATTCGGCTCAAGGCCATTGCCAGTCCAGTACGCCATGCGAGGTGCCAAAGACAGGCCGAGCGCATGTATAGGGAGGAGGTACGAAATCGCCCCCATCAAATCTGGTCGAGAAGCTTGCGACGTCTCCTCTCGAGGAGCTCCTCCTGTACCTCTTCCAAGGTCGGTAGCTCCCAGCCTCGCCCGTCACCTGCGTCGCCTGGTAACGATGTCCAGCCTTCCGGAGCGTCTTGCGCGCCTGTCTCCAACAGATGCGTGACCATCTGCCTCTCTTTCTCCGCCTCATATTTGAGCAGGTCGTCGTCCTCCTCATCTGGCGCGTAGCCATAGTAAGCCGCGTCGACCAGCCTGCGCAGATCTTTGCTCTCCTCCAACGGCTTCTCCTTATGCTTGGACATGGCGGCCTCGAACAGCTCCTTGACCCCGGGGAGCTCGCGGGCTCGGCCAAAGTATTTGTATCCCTTTCCTCCTCCTGGAATCTCCCTGCCTTCTTCGTCATAGATCTTGCCACCTCCTCGCATGTAGTTCGGCCCTCCCAGATTCCGAATTTGTACCTCCCACATGTGCTTCTCCTTCATCAACTTGTTGAGCTCGTCGTTGATGTCGCGGATCTGGTAGTCGCTGAGGGACGACTCCTGTATGCGTGACATTTTCCGCGAGATCTCCTTCACCACCTGGCCTCTCCATTTCTCGGCAGCTGGTATCGACTCGACTTCGGTGATCATCTTGGGGCGACGCGTGCGGCCAATGTCAATCACGCCCATGTCGGCCGCTTGCGCTTCGCGGAAGCGAAACAGCATCGACTGCGCTTTCTCTGAGTTACGAGCCTGGCATTTCATTAGCGGATAAACAGAGCTTGGAAACAAATATCGCTCACCATGATTGCTGTAGAAAGACGGTTTTCTTGTTACGAGTAGGCTATCCTCCGGCGTTGGGTTGGGTTCGACGTGGATGTCGAGCTTTGGATGCAAGGCTGGATGGGCATTGAATTTCAACAACGGTGCACGAGCCACACTACGCCCCGTCATCAGCCACAGCACCCTGAGCGTACGGGCCACCAACGCGTCTCCAAATCGCGTGCCAATTCTCAGTTCGTTCTAACCTCCCCAAGTTACATCTTGGAGATTTGTCGACCATAAGAGAGCATCCGCTCGCTTTCAATGCAGAATCTGGACGAGTCGAATTTCTGAACGACATAGAGTCAAGTGACTCTCATGCATTACCTTGCGTGCGACCATGCCGCACTCCCTCGATTAGGGAGTTGTCCCTGCCACGAGGTGCTGAAGCATGCATACCAAAGGTCACGTATGCTGGCTGGAGAAGCTCGAGTGAGATGATTCGGCGTTTGCTACAGCACCGTCAGGACGCGGCGAAGTTGCCAAGGCGAACCACGACCGACATACCCTCATTCCACGCTCACGACAGACCTGCGCCAACCCTCATTGCAATGATGATAACTGTGCACGATACGCGAACCGGCAACGAGCAAAACCTGCCCAAGCGGCTGGGTCTTGCATGTCCGGATAGTGAGCGTCTTCACACAAAGAACGGAAATCTGAGCAACGTCAGTCCCTTTGCCCTCTCAAATCCCTTCTCTTTTCCTCCTGCTGCGTCTCGGCTCGAGCTCGCTGCACTATAGCCATCATGACCGACAACCTTCACTTTCGAGAAGCATGTCACCTCTCCAGTCGCTCACCCCGACTTCACCGAGGGACGCTAATGAACAACGTCATATAGTTTTCAATCGGAATGGCTGAGCTCGTCGGGGCGTTGGCAGGCAAAATTGGGGGGGGATTTGGAAGGCAAAGCAGACGCATGTCAGAACCCGGTGATGACCGTTGACCAAAAAGCCAAATTTGCAGGCAGCAGCGGTTGCGATACGCTCCTCCGCGCGTTGTCAGTGAGAACACAAGAGAGCTAATCTGAGGGTTGATGCGTCTGCTGGGTTGCACGGGGGTATTGGACGGATGCAGAAACAAAATCGAATTGGAAGAAATATTGTCTCAGAGGGAGCAACATCAGGCATCTCACCATGCTCTAATATTGCTTTCTGTACCTGGATGCCGTCGGGGTTAGAATGGGGTCAAGTAGCCCCACGTCATGTCGGCGGCGATCCTCACTCCTCCTCAGTCTCGACTCTCATGCTTCACATGCAAAGGGTGTCGTCACCAGCCACGTGGGACCTCGTTCGCGATAACCTGCTGCCTCCCATCATCACCTGTATCACACGAACCCTTCTAGCTTAGATCCCACAATTCACTTCAACATCTAACATTCACCTCCTTGCTTTCACCCACTTACTGCATGATGTCTTTTCTGATCAACAACTTGATTCAACCTCTTAACAGTCTGGTGTTTGGGGAAGCTACGGCGGCGCCCTCGCCACGCCCTGGCACCCGCGATGAGAATGGCCTTTACGAACCTACACCTACAGACATCTTCGTCGTGCGCGCGATGCTTGTCAAAGCGATGCGGCTCCCTCCAGACATCGTCGATGCCGTGTTTGACTATGCGGAGTACTGGGCTCATTCATCCAACTACATTGACTACATCGAGGAGCACAAAAACCCACTAAGGATTCTAGGGGGCAGCGCATCAGAAAACCGCTTCTTGGTATGCTCTCCGTGCTTGAAAACAATGAGTATCTGCTGACCGTCAGCTTCGCTCGTTCCCCGTTGGCTTCACATCCCTTGGTGACCGACAAAGCCTCGCGGACACCCTCACCTACGACATGAACGAGGCCACTCCTCGACCCCTGAGTCGTGAACATGATCCGCAATTCTTCGAGTCCCTTTTGAATCACCCTACGCCCAAACTTGCACGCCCAGTCCGCAAGGTCGTGTTCACTGTCAAGATGAAGGACCAGGGCTGGGTCGGCGGCCGACAACATCAGAAAGGCGCCTTCAACGGATCATGGACATGGGTCGAGGCTGGCCTCGAGCGGTTTGACAGCGAGCAAGAATGCGATGAGAACTGCGTCGCCGATGCACGGTACAATTCGGCCAGCTCGACTGCGCATGCGTTGCCCCTCTGTGCCTTGCGGAGTATCTACCCCGAAGCCAAATCAGCACGCGAGGAAGGCAAATTCAACTACCAGCACGAACTCGCCGCGGACCAGGAGAGGGAGATTCAGCGCAGTAGGCTTGCGACAAGGGAGTGGCTCAGCAAGACTATCACCTGGCGCTGGACGGATAGCATAGATCCTGAATCTGAGGATGGCGAAGAGCTTTTCCAGGAGGGTCGTGGCAGAGGCAGTGCGACGGGCGAATTCGTACGGAACCTGAAGCTGGGCGATGTCATTACAATATGGGGCAAAGCCAGGTTTCGAGGATGGGTTCTCAATCTTGAGAAGGTCAAAGTCGACGTGTACTGGGCCGTCTAAGCTACTGATGAGCCGTTGCCGAGGTCTCTAGGGTAGAGCATATGTTACATGACCACGTCCAATGGTCTGATCCTCCCTCAAAGGATAAACACTGGTTATGATTACAAGTTTCTTTTGCTCTGCCTTCCAACTAGCATGGAGTCGGGCTCAAGTGACAAAAACCTGATTGTAAAACATCGTGCCCCAGCCCCGATGCGTTGCCCTTTAGGTTCTCGTGGGCCAAACTACGGATGACGTCATCGCCTCCAGAAGACGATGTCGCGTCGTGATACCGTTCATCTCCTTAGTCCCTCCACCTTCCATAATGAATCTGGCCGGACTGGTCGCTCGCAGACCAACCGCTAGAGCTGCACCTCTTTGGCGTTTTAACACAATTTTAAACCGTCCTTTGGCAACAACCGCGAGAACCATGGCCCAGCGAATGCTTCTAACGCGCTTCAACGTGCCGACAACGGTGCCTGAGGGGTTGACTAAGGAAAAACTGGACAACTTCAAGCCGTTCAACGTGAGTCATATGCATATCCAGTGATAACCGCCCATTAACTTCTCAGGCATGGGTTGAGAATCTTCAGTGCTCTGTCGCCGGTCAGACACATGCATCGCATCCGTTCCACAAGAACCCATACCACCTGCGCTCGGTCACGATCCAGTCATTCGACATTTTCGGTGGTGGCCGGTTGGGCTTTGTGAAGCTGACGGCCGACGTGTCAAACGATGCGGGCGAGTCCCTGCCAGCGGCCGCTCTGTTGCGAGGTCCAAGCGTCGCGATGCTGGTGATGCTCATCCCTGACGACATTGCGCCAGACTCGGATGAGCGCTACGTCGTGTTGACTGTGCAGCCTCGCGTGCCGGTCGGCAGCTTGGCTTTCGTTGAGCTGCCTGCCGGTATGGTCGATGACGCAGGGAGCTTCAAAGGCGCCGCTGCGAAAGAGATTGAAGAAGAACTTGGTCTAGTCATTAAGGAGGACCAACTAACCTGCCTCAGCGATCTGGCAGCGCCCGCAGAGGACGACAAGCTTCCGCGCGCCATGTTTCCCAGTGCGGGTGGCTGCGATGAGCACGTCACAATCTACAGTCACGAGCGGCGCATCCCGAGAGAGCAGCTGAAGGAACGGAGCGGGCGGCTGACTGGCTTACGATCAGAAGGAGAGAAGATCACGCTCAAGGTGGTGCCGATGAAAGATCTTTGGAAAGAAGGGGCACGCGATGCCAAGGCGTTGGCGGCCCTGGCGCTGTGGGAAGCTGCGCGTCGCGAGAAGTTGATTTGATCTATCGGTCTACAGCTTCAACTGCTGCGCAACGAGAATGCCCTCGGCCAGACTGGCGACCCGTGCGTCAATGGCACACCCCTCGGCCTCGAGCTTCTTGCATTCCTCCCAGAGGTTGTCGAGCGGGGCGGTGAAGACGTCAATGAACTCGCTTTCCTCCAGCTGCGGCTTGGGGTCTTTGTTCTCTGGCAGGCTCATGTCAATGGACATGTGCACCATGCGCAGATTGGTGTTGCAGAAGCCAGCATCGTTGTACATGATGGGGCTCGTCTCGGTGGGCACGCCGACGTAGCCTGTCTCCTCCCGCAGCTCACGGACTGCAGCTTCCTCGGCCGTCTCGCCAGCGTCCACCAGACCAGCGGGGACCTCTATCGTGATCATGTTGACAGGAGGGCGGAACTGTTTCTGGAGCAAGAGCTCGCGTCGGCCTGTTGTGGGGTTCTCGAGGATGGCAAGGATGCCCACGGCATCAACTTCAGTGGTGGCGGACCGAGTGCGACGCTCCGCCGACTCCCACAAGCGCGATGTTCCTGTGGGATCTTGGTATGTGATTCTGGCGGTGAGCTATGGAGCTGGCAGTCGATCTTGGGTAAGTGGCTTACTTTGTCAACTTGATCCATTTGGCCTCCTCGTCGGGCTGTGTTGTCAGCAGGTGTCATCTCGGTCATAAAAGGCACATACCAAAGGCCCTGACGACAACACTTTGGCGTTGGAAAGAGACATTGTGATAATGACAAGGGTGAATTGGGAAACGTGATGAGCAATGGGCGGGGCACCGATCCGGTTGGAGGCTTGGTGGAGTTGGAGCCCAACGAGTAGGGCGGACGATAGCGATAACTATACTAAAAGTCTATCCCGCCCCGCCTAGAATTTCATAGGCGTATGTTTTGGTGTGATTACTTAATTAAATAAAGCGTACAAAAAAAATTCTATACATAAGCATACGCTTTTTTTGTAATCTGTTTTATCATACTGAATTATCGCCCCGCGGCTTCACGATAGATTATCACCAACTACCTATTGCGAACTACTTAGTCCGCTCTACCAACATGGCCCGCTTTCCCCCGCCAATGGTGGTAGGATGTCTAACGACCTGCGCGACTGGACTGGAAAGTATACGTTCCATCCTCGCGGGCATGTGCACTGCCGATCCTGGTCCCTCCGGCGCTGTAAAAGCCCAGCGTAATAACGTCCTGGGTCTCATTTGGGTCTTTCTTCGACTTGTGAGCCTTTGCACCCCTTTCGAACATTAGCGAGGTACAACAGGACAAGCGAGGTAAGCATAGAAAAATGGTCTCACTGGATTTCGTAGGATGCTACGTCCGTGCGCTGCGAGGAAGGGTAAGTCACCGCATTTCGGAAGAGTAGACGGTTTCGTTGTGTAGTACCTGACTCTCTATCGTACTCGCAACGCTCTGTACATTCTCTGCCCATTGGGACCCGCTCTTCTCGTTTATTTGCACCACATCTTGCAGAGAGACCCTTCCCACGAGTTCCAATAGCCTTCGGCTCGTAGTGGAGAATCCTCTTGCCGACATGACAGATGTGAGTGCAGGAAGTGAATTGGAAAATGATCGGCGAGATGAGCAATATGTGGATGGTTTGAGAGGAGTTTGCCACTTATCCTGACGAAACTGATATCAACAGTGCCGATTTATATTCGGTTTCTTGCCGCTCGTTGGGCCGGTGCACTTGGTCAGGAGGGTCACGCTTGGAGAAGCCGCTTCCAGTCACGGCGTGATTCGGCGGTAAGTGACACTGCTTTCCTTGCCAGATAGCCAATGAAGCGCGCGCCCAGCGCTAAAAGCTCGTATCGGAACAGCAGGTGTGGAGGCGCCTTGAAAGCGTTCAAGCGGGCGCAGCGCTTAGGCCACGGCGAAGTACTCTGTACTCTATCTGTGACTGGATAAATCGTGCTCTACAGATATTGTATACTCGAGTTATTACATTAGGCTCTTAGCACACCCAACCGCGTCTCTACACGCGCGCTAACGATTTGACAAATCACTGGTTCACCACCCCCACTTCTCCACGGTAAGGGAAATCGGGAAATTTTTGGACCAAACCGACCTCTAACAACGAGACCCTTTCATCACCAAACCCATCTTCCAAGCTCGCGAGCAGTTGCCATGGCTCTATACCGGGTCGCTTGTCGACGACTTCAGCGTCCTTGGCAGCCGGTCCTTTCTAGTTCTTTCTCCTCCCCCAGACCTCAATTTCACGCGTCGATGCCTTCATTAGGGTGGCTCAGTCCTCTTGCCACCAAAATGGGGCTGTCATCTCAGCGTCCGAGGTCAACGCCTCGAGCTTTCCCTGTGACAGGATTCGATGTCATCGGTCAAGATCAGCTTGTCGAGGAGGAAGCAATGCCGGAATACCGCGCGGATCATTTCTATCCTGTTCGCCTAGGCGAAGTCTTCAAGGATCGTTTCCAAACGGTGGCCAAACTTGGCTACGGCTCATCCTCCACCATATGGCTCGCGCGCGACCTTCAGTGAGTAATCCATTTGCTCGCGGTGTGGCAATGCGCTAATTGTCCGGTACGGACATCATCGATATGTAGCGCTAAAAATCTACATCCACAACTCGGTCCAACACCGTGAACTGCCATTCTACCAGCACCTGGAGAAGGTCCTCCCTACCCGGCACCCCGGCGCCAAAAACGTCAGAAAGCTACTCGATTCGTTTGAAATAGCTGGACCTTATGGCAAGCATGTTGCGCTCGCTCTTCAGGTTTCTCAAATGAGCATCCGCGACATGGATGCGGTATTCATGAAAGGCCGCGGGTTCGACGAAGGTTTTGTGAAGGGAGCTGTGAAGGAGCTTCTCGAAGCGCTTGACTTCCTCCATACTGAGGTACAATCAGTACACACCGGTAGGTGTCTGCCGCCCTTATCCTTCGCTCCATGCATATAAACGTGGGAACATGACGAGCATCGCAGCTGAGACGAGATTAGACGTTCATCCGGGCAATCTGCTGCTCGGTACATACGATGACTCGATGTTTCAAAAGTTGGAAGATAATGAATTCGCAAGTCCCGTTCCTCGCAAGCAATGCGATGGGCGGACGATCTACCTTTCCCGCCTGATGAAGCCCAAGGCTGGGCCATTACTGCTTTCTGATTTTGGGGAAGCTAGGCTCGGCCCCGGTCCCCATGCCGGCGACATCATGCCAATTATGTATCGAGCCCCGGAGACACTCTTGCGTATTCAATGGAGTTACCCGGTCGACATCTGGAGCGTCGGACTTACCGTATGTGCCCAGATCAAAGCTGTAGCCTACTATCACAACCCCTGACTATTCTTCTCATCTAGGCATGGGATCTTCTCCAAGGAAGAACGCTATTCAGCGCCCGCAAAGAAGACGGCAGCTTCTCCGACGGAGTTCACTTCGCTGAACTCATTGCAGCACTGGGTCCACCGCCTCCAGGGCTTCTCGATCGGCATCGCAGCAGAGCGCTCGAGTACTGGGACGAACAAGGTACGCATCACGGAAGCTTACATTAGTTTTGAACACTCCCGACGGACCTTCTAACCATTCAACCTGCTCAGGAAACTGGAGTGAGTTTGTGCCTATACCCAGGGAGAAGACTCTCGCGGCAGCCGAAACCAAGCTTGAGGATAATACGAAGTTCCTCCGATTCATGCGAAGAGCCCTTACCTGGGATCCCGCTGCACGCCCTACAGCGAAGGAACTTCTGCAAGACCCGTGGCTAAATAACTAGATCAGGTTGCCGAGCTGCTCCATCCCTATCATTATCCTAAGCAGTCTGCGACCTGGCAAAGATGTATATATGGTAGAGGCTTATACCAGCCACACCGCGGTTCAGCCACATGAGGAATGCGAAAAAAGGAATGATATTCAGACAGCGCACCGTTTATTGCCTTCCAGCAGCTATCTATATTTTCTGGGGGCTTCCAGGCACACCACCATCGACGTTGCAAACGTTTGAGCAAGACCCAGCATCGACCACGTTGTACGCAAGCTCGATCCACTGGATGTGTTGGTAAGCAGCACCACCAACAGGCATCAGGCCAGACCATTCTGGGTCGCCGTTGCTCCAGGCGTTGAAGACGATGCGGCTGGGGTCTGTGGGCACCTGGAAGGTCATGGAGAATGTCTCGTCGCCGTTGAGGTACCAGGTGGTACGTCCCGGTGTCCAGTCGAGACGGTGATCAGCCCACTCATCCCAGGGTTCATCGATGATCACCTCATTGGACGCGCCAGGAACGCTCTCAATCTCGCCGTCGTCATTGTACAGCCACGAAGGCTGGTTCGTGTAGCGGATCTTGTTGGTGGGGTCGTTGGTCAAGATCTCAATGTCGGTCTCCTGGGCATCTTCGCGGACGTCGTAGTCGTACTCGCGGTAGGTGAACATGGCGGTGCAGGCCCCAGGCGAGCCGCGGGTGCGTGCGCGCATGCGCATGGATGCGTGGTCGTAATAGTCGTTGGACTCGAACTCGGCCACGGTCTGGAAGCCTGGCTTGCGTGCGGTGCGCATCGTCAGGAACGTGTCGGTCTCGCCCGCTTCGTCATTCTCAAAGTACAGATTGTTGTACGAGTTGGGCATGGGGAACTCGTCTGAGCCGGCGGTCCAGTTCATGGGGCTCCAGAACTTGGTGAACTGGTTGCTGGCGTAGTCCAGATACTCGTTCGTAAAGGGAGCCTGGCCCTGGCCTTCGAGCGTGTCTGGGATGGGGGGTGGGCTGGAGGAAGCGTACTGGCTCATGGAACGAAAGTCCCAGAAGCCGTAGTTGCGGAAGTAGGTTGGGTACTGCCCGTCGATGAGGTAGCAGTCGCAGTTCTGTGCCACAGCCGGAGCTGCCATGGCGAGGAGGGAGCCAAGGATGAGATTGGGGCAAGACATGCTGATGATGCTGCTCCAGCTTCTCTGACTGCCAGTGGCGGACGACGGCTCTCTTTTGTACATAGCTGTGAGCGGACACAGAGGACCGACTTGCAGTCGCTTTCCCTGGGCCCTCATGCGCCAAGTCGTCGCCGCGCCTTGTTTTGTGCCAAATTGACCATACATAGTGCCGTTGTTGACTGCGTGGAACGGTGGACTGGAGGCGTCCTCGATCCTCCTGATACAAGGTTGATCCTACGACTCAATGCGACTCCACATTACTAGCGCAAGCCCTGGCCTCCAGACTCCATGGCTTGTAAGTGATGTGATCCTGCTCGTTTCTAAACAAAATGGAGAAGTCCATTGTGAGTGGCGAGAGTCCTGTGGTTGACCGTGATCACGCGGTTTGGCGACCCGTGCAATACCTATCCACATGGCTTCAAGTCGATATACATGTACTTGATAGTCGATCTATAGTCTCCATTCAAGGTGATCTGCTGCTGTATTTTGAGCTTTTCAATGATATTTTCCACGAGAAGTACCTCCCAAATGTGGCCTATGCATGCAGCACCCTGGACATTGGCACGCTGCAGCCTGGTTGTTATTTATAGATTTTGGCAATTGCACGTCACCACAACGCTTCTTTGAGCAATAAGAAGGAATCAATAAAACAGTCTAATATTCGACCAAGGATTTTAGTCCATACCAATGGCTACTTAGCCTTCATTTATCATGAACAGACTCAAGTAGTGGCTAACAGCTTTAATTCTAGGTGGGACTGACCCCTGCCGCCTTACCAGATTGGACAATACATTGAATGCCTAGGGACGCTTTGCTTGGTTCACACGCGCCACGCGACTACTTCAGCGACTGCAATTCGTTTGTTGGATTGAGATATGCACGGGAAACAGAGAGGAATGCCTTTGGGCGCGTATTAAGACTCGACCCTTGCATGATATTGACAACACAACAAGGGGGGGGAATGAAAAGGAAACATTGGTGCCCCGCACGTGACACGAACGCCAGCGCATTCATCAAGGGGCGACAGCACCCGGGCCATGAGAATTTTTTCACCTCAAGAAACTCAGCTTCGTCATCCAACATTGCAACCGTTGTTGATCGCCTGCGCTTCCTCGGTCTACACCAAGTGTTGATGTGACATGGATGTCCCACGCGTGAGCTACCACGTGCTACTAGTCGGCGATCGCGGTGTAGGGACACATGAACTGATCAAGCAGGTATGTAAGTTGCCCACTGTATGGAGGGAATTGGCCCCAGTTGACGCATTGGCTAGTTCTGCACACCATCGCTTGGATCATGGGGTCCCCATGATGAAGCACCGATGAGGACGGTAGATCTTGGCAGCACGAAGGCCAGCGTGCGGCTCAGCAAATTGGATTGGGACAATGTCAGTCGCGAAACGCTCGCGTTCCAGCTGTCAACATGTCAGTGTGTTGTCATGTCGTACAGCACGAGCTCAGATGCCTCGTTTCGATCACTATTGCCCAGAGCTCGTGGGATGAAGAAGGCGGGGATGCTGGACGGGCATGGCCTCCTGGTCGTAGGGATACAAGACTTCCATGGCAGCCGACAGGTGACGCCAGAGCTTGGCAGGCAGCTCGCTCGAGAAGTGAGCGCGGAGTTTGTAGAGGTTGCCACCCATGATCGCCACGCTATCCAGGCACTGATCGTTGACTTTGTCCGACGGCTCCATGCGAAAAGGGGAACCAACTTGCCAAGGATGTCTCCTGGCTCGAACAAAGAAATCACGCAGAAACCAAAGCTGGGGCTTTGGGCCAAGGTCAGGCGGACATTGGGTATGGAGAGTCGGAACCCGCGAGGTCTTCTCCGGAAGAGGCCGCCACCGCCAGCTGAGGAGGACAGCGCTGATGGAGAGAATCCACCGAGGAAGCGCGTCAATATTGGCACGAGGTTGGAAGTGGACCTCGGGGAGGAGTTGACAGGAGAGGATGTCTTTCAAGGGACATTGCGGAGACATCGTTGACGAACAGCACTGAGATACCCCGTTTGAGGTTTTCAAAATACGTACCCCTGGATTTTGAGCCACGTGGAGTCATTGTTCCCCACGCATGACGGCTCCGATTTGCCCTGACATGGACACGACGCCCTTTCCTGGCTACGGACGCTCCGCATCGGGGGTGCCTCTGCATCGGCGGTCCCGTCGGGAGCGGAACAGTCCGTCTGCATGCAGCTTGCCCATGGGGTTGGTTGCGGGGAAGACCCTTGTCACGATAATACCCCATGTTTGAACGGACCACAGCACTGCTGGGAAACGCGGAGTCTGCAAAGACCTCATGAAGAAGAATCCGTCCGTGTTTAAGAATGGAGCTTTCCCCTACCTCCTCTAGCAAGATCATCTCCCGCAAGACAACAACTGTGCACAATGTATACAAAGAAACTCCTTGCCTTGCTGGCAGCCCCCTTCCTGGCCCAAGCGGCCATCGAGCCGGGGGAGCTTGTCACAATCACCAGCGCCGCCGACAGCACCAACCAAGCTGCCTGGTGGGCGCCGCTGGACCAGTACGGCGGCTACGACTGGTTCGCCTATCTTCGCAACCCGCCCGGCGGATCTACGAGCAACAACAATGTCATGGTGGCGCGCCGCTCCATATCTGATGGGGCGATTTACCGTGACTGCGTCAAGACGTCGTCGGGCGAATGTGCAGTGTTTGCAGACGACGCCGGACACAACACGCCCAGCATCGCCGTGGACGGAGACGGCTTCGTCCATGTGTTCACCAGCATGCACAACGAGCAGTGGAAGTACTTCCGTTCCTCGGCCGCCTACAGCAGCACACTGGTCGACCGAAGCTCAGAGATGCCAGACCAGACGACCATATTCACCTACCCGATGGTGAAGCGCGGCAACAATGGTAACCTGTGGTTGATCATCCGAGGACAGGCCTCTGGTGATAGTTCTGCCAAGGGCGGATACTTCTATAGGTATTCCACGTCCTCCAAGCAGTGGACGCGCGTCAGCATTTGGGCCTACAACACCGGCTACTCTGTCTACCCGGACGACATACAGTTCTCCTCCGACGGTGATGTCCACCTGCAATGGGAGTGGAGCAAGTATCCAGCGTCCGCCGTCCGTCACGAGGGCAGCTACCTTCGCTACAGACCGTCTACCAACACCTACCGAACAATCACAGGCGCCACCGTGTCCCTCCCCGTCACGCAATCAACTCCTGATCTCGTCTTCCAGCCTCTCACATCGGGTGAAAGGTACGGAGGGGACATCAACGCCTCGCCAGGACCGGCGTTTCAGAGCGCCAAGCTCGCACTTTATGAAGACTCGGTCGGCACCGTCCATGTCTCCAGTGGCTACCGATTCAAGAACACGACAGATGGCGCGTGGCAAGTCCGACGAGCCACAGCCACCTTTGGCGCAACCAATCCATGGACCCGCGAGATTATCTACGCCGGCGTGGAGACGACCGCGGCACTTGGTATCACGCACGACCGCACGACGGTCCGAATCTACTACTGTCGCCAGGGAGACAGCGCCTATGTGCTGGAGAAGACGAGCAACACGGGCTGGACGAACACAGCCCTCGCGCCGGCCCAGGGCAAGCGGGTTGAGCGCCTGCATGCTGTCATGCAAGCCGATGGGGTGGATGTCCTGTACCTTGGTTCACCGACGAATGTCAACTCGTCGACGGGGAGTGTGTACCGGTTGGCCGTCGGTGGGAGAGCGTGAGCAATGTTAGCAGAGGGGAGGCGAGGTGTTGGGAAGATTGATTAATTCTCGGATAAGCCTAGAAATCTAGTCACCTCCATTATCAAGTTCGTCGTGAAAGTTCAGAATGCTGCTTGTGAACGGCCCGTCGAAATTCGCATGGCTGTTCAACACTGGCAAGCCAATGTCGTCCATGCCGAGCATCGGTGCCGAGAAGTACTCCCAGAATGCAAAGTCTGCGGGCGCCTGAGAGTCGTTCATAGTCCCCGACAGTGGCAAAAGACCGTCCGCAAGAATGGAGGCCATACCAGTGGTTTCGCCGAGTGGTGTCATCTCCCCACGTCCACTTGGTGTAAGCGGTACCGACATATCCTGGCCTGTCAAGCCACCTGCCAGAGGCGTCAGGGACTGATCCTGCGCATTGCATATGCCTGTTGGGAGGTTGTCGCGCTGCTCATGAGTGGCTGTTGCGCAGGACCGTGTCCAATCCTGGTGCACTGCGTTCTCAGGCACTCTCGATGCTGGCCACGGAGTGTTGGTCTGGTCTGTTGCGCCGATAAAAGACCTCGCAGGGTTGTTCCGCGTGAGAGATCCAGCTTCCGATGGCCGAAATTGCTGGAGAATTGATCTTCGACGTTCCACGTCGGGCACGTTCGCTTCTCGATGTGCGTGGACAGCATGGCCACTGGAAGACGCCAGTTCCCCTTCAATCAGGTTTGTGGTTGCGTCCGCCAGTTTCGCCAATGCCACCCTCGCTCGGGCAATGCCACTCCAGCGATGAGCGAGACGTTGAAGGACAAACTTCCACTGAAACAGGCTGCTCTTGACAGAGATCCAGTCCTTCTTCGCCTCTCGCCGACCCTCGACACTGTTCCATATGAGGAACACTAGCGTGATGCCACTCATGAACTGGTAGTGCAGGTCTACCCAGGTGAAATCCATGATATCCTTGTGTATCCGGATAAACGACAGCTGAATCAAGTTTCTGGCGGCAGAGAAACAGAACGCTAGGTCTGCGTTGCAGAGTGTCGGTCTGGCAGGCGAGGGCCGATGAAGGGTGAGAAGCGCGTTGTGGTACCAGTATCCCCACCAGTCCATGTCGTGACCATCTGTGTCGGCAAGGCCCTGGGCGGTGGCATTCCATTCACTTAGTCGTCTGTCCAGGGACTTGGTCCACTCTGTGAGTTCAGCGCCCTCCCTGCCTTGGGCGCCCCGTGCTTGGCTTTGGTGCGAGTACCGCACAATCTCGCTTTGGAGGCGTTGAAGATGCAGCCAGTGCAAGATCTGGTTGTGTCGCCGCGACGAGAGGTCCCCTCGAGGAAGCTTGACATCGATTCGCTCGTCGTCAAAGGTGAAAGGTCTTCCGAGCAAGATACTCAGCGTCCTGTCGAATCCGAAACTGACCCAGAAAAGCCTTCTCTTGGTGTCAATCTCGTCGTCCGTTGCCGATCCCGACCCGGAGATGGCAATGGTCCTTTCAGTGTGATAGCCCAGGTCGACACACATCCGCATGCAGAGTCCCGACAGATACCAAATGGGTGTCGAGGGGATGTTCAGGATGGATGCCAGAAGCAGAAGAAGGAGGCACTGCATTGTCAGAGCGTTCTTCATCTGCATGAGAAAGCTCAGGTCTGAAATGGCTGTTACACTGAACGCCTTGGACAGCTCAAGGCACTGTTCGTTTTCTTGTGACAACCCGTTCAACGATATTGAGAAGACCATATTGAGCATGAATTTTGTCCAGAGATCTTGTGGGCGGCTGTGGCCGGCGCCAGCTGTGCGGTCGTAATACTCAGACACAGTATTGGCGAACTCTGTTTCGTCGAGAATCGGGTATTGTACTTGATATCGACTGAAGAAGAAGTTGATGAGACTTGTGGCCGTTTCTTTGGGAGGCAATGAGGTATGCATAGCCGATGCATTGGTCTCATCGACCGTTGACTCGGCATCAGGCCTATCGTCACCTTGCGCCGAGTCAAAGCTGGTGTTGTTCTGCTGTGCCGATTCGAGGGCTGATCTCGCCAAGTTCATGCCTGTGTTAATGTTGAGCTGGGGCTTTTCTGCGGTTTTCAATCTGTACATACCACTCGAAACCCCCAGAAAGTGAGCATCGCCTCCGGACCGAAGTCGAATCAAGTTGGGATGGCCTCGATCCTCGCTTGCCTCCTCTGCTGTGGCACTAGACACTTCTTGCGATGCATCGTCCTTTTCTTGGTGACCGGCAATTTGACGCAGCTCTCGTTCCAGGTTAAAGAGCTGGCTGGTCTTCGAGATCGATAATGTGACTGCCAGGGTACACATTTTTCGATTTCGGATCCGTGTACTCACAAATCGAGTTGGAGTTCTGACATGGCTGACAGGAGGGTATCCCTGAAAGGTTCAGCCGGGGCTCCGAAGGCGCTCGTCATACGTACAGGCATCACATCGCGCCTTGCGTTTCCTACATCGATTGCAGGCATTGACGGTCTGGTGAATATGTTGTCAGCACAGTCTGATCACCATGGATGCACGTCAGGTCTGCCGTGGACATACAAAGTGTGGGGGCTCCATTGTACCCCATGTTGACTCGGGAGTGTCTTTTGGGCAGATGTGTGAGAGATGATGGTGAGAAGGAATGAGAAAGGACTATGGAGAGTATGGAATTACAGGGGCGGCGCGAAAGGGGCGGAATTGGCCCGCCACGTGGGAGCAGGTATCGGTGCCCCGTGTCTGCATGTGCGGGGAATCTGTGGGGTAAAGGACAAGGAGGATCGAGGCTACCCGGTACAATTGGGACTGTCTTGAAATATCTCTGTTCAAGGTCCATCTGTGATTCAAGAAAGCACTGTCTTTTGAAGAAAGAGTGTATTTAAAAAGCTGTGGAGACACTAGATACGGCTGGAAGCATCCATTGTCATACTGCTTGTTATCGAGATCTAATGTTACATTTAAGCCACTGCAGGTTATGGACCATTGCCACAACAATTGTTGCCAATACCAGTTCAGGCAGTCTTTCCAGAGATCTCAACATGGTCATGCTCAAAGACCTTTGCAGGCGATGCTTCAGCCCCGTTATGGATATTCAGCTTGCCAAAGTGGGCATCGAGCTCCTCCAGCGTCTTCTTCTTCGTTTCGGGGTAGAACAAGTACACCAGAACGGCAGAAAAGACGTTGAACGACATGAAGACGAAGTAGACGCGCGGGCCAATGTTCGCCACGGCAATGGGCCAGACCTGGCCTACGATGATGGAGCCCAGCGAGGCGCCAGAGACAGAGAGGCCAAGACCTTTCGACCGGCAGTTGGCTGGGAAGATCTCGGATGCGTAGATCCAGGCGCAAGGCCCGAAGCCCATGCTGTCTGTGAGCGCAAGCTGTCAGTATAGTAAAGGGGTGTGGATGTGTTGACGCTGTGACTTACATCCGACCGTGAAAAGAAAGATGAAGAAGATGTTGCAGTAATTCGCCGACGAGTTGGACTGATCGGGATAGGCTAGCTGTAGTGCACCGTTGATCTACACATGTCAGTGACCATTGCAATGCCTCGTGTGAAAGGGGGTGACCTACCATCAAGCAGAACGCCATGATGATGGCGCCAATACCCAGCGAATGCCTTCGACCAAGCTTGTCGATGAAGAACATGGCTGCGACCGTGCAGGCGACCTGGACTGTTCCATCGATGCCAGAAGCAAGCAAGCTAAGGTCCTTGGACGTGCCAGCAGCGATGAAGTTGGTGGGCAAGTAGTATCGGATGCCCGCCGCGCCACTCATCTGCTGCAGGAAGGACAGGGCCCAGGCACGCCAGAGTCGCGACCAAAGGGCCTTTTCCTTGAGGAAGACCTTGGCAGAGGTGATGGAGTTCTCCTTGTGCCACAGAATGTTGGCGTGGATTTCATCGAGCTCGGGCTGGACCTCCTCCAGAGTCGCGCCACGCAGCTTTGACAGGGCCTTGGCTGCCTCGTCTGCGTGATCGTGCTCAATCAGCCAGCGGGGGCTGTGGATGTCAGCATCATCTCGATGTAATTTTCAAGTTATTGAAACCATACCTCTCTGGGATAAACGGGACGCCAGACAGGAACATCAAAGCAGGAACAAATTGCATGGCATTGGAAAGACGCCACTCGAGATCGATACCGTTGCCGTAGTTCCAGAAGGAGTAGCCGTAGCCGACCCAAAAGGCCATTGAGATACTAAACGTCTGTCAGCCAGTTTCGTGCCATATGTGATGTCGCTCAACACTCACCCGAACACAATGCCGACCTGATTCGCAGCAACATAGAAACCGCGGTGCTGAGCGGGCGCAATCTCGCTCAGATACAAGGGAACCGAAGTCGACACAACACCCGTGCCCAATCCAGCAATGATTCTGCCAATGACCATCATGGCAAGGTGGATAGCACCAGTCTGCAGGGCCGCTCCGATGCAGAGAACCACCACGCCACAGAAGCCCGCCCAGCGACGACCCAGTCGGTTGTTGACGGGGCCAGCCAGGAACGCGAAGCCGATGAACTGCCCAGCATAGAAGATGGCGGTGATGAGTCCAATGTCGCCCGAAGAAGGGAAGCCGAGGGCGGCCTTGAAGCCAGGCGAAACGTAGATGGTGCTCAGAATGCCAATGTCGTAGCTGTGAGGTTGTCAATTGTCCGCTCCACGTTGTGAAGATTCTGATGCCATTGACTCACCCCCAGAAGATGGCAGAAGATGGCACCCATCGACATGATGGTGCAGCTGAACAAGAGCCAGCCATTTGGCTTGTGATTGACCGCAGTCATGATGGGAGCCCTTAACGTATGTGGTGGAGATGGCGGCTGCTGTGTAATCTATGCGATGGCAGTCTCTCTGGGGATTTCCATGGAATCTGGGGGACGCGCCATTGCCAATTAATAGTCATGTGTCTGGTGGCTCCGGCCACGACGACGAGGGAGGGAATATGGTCAGTTGACGGATGGATTCCGCTGGGAAGGACAAGGGTAGATCCAGCCTAACGTCGCTTGTCCACTTTAATCAGCCTTGTTTCCACGCTACCCCACGAACAGGCACGGAACCGCCGTAGCCAGGGGCTCTTTGTCGGATTGTCCCGATCCCGGAACCGGCGGTGCCGTTCTTTGCCTCCTTGAAGGCCATTGAAGTCCCTCGATGAGAGTAGAGTCGGTGCTGGGCTATGCCATGCTGGCTTGAAGTCTAGACGGACGGCTCTCAGCCTCTCATGTCTCCTAGCGCTAATACAGAAATCGACGAGGCAAATCTGAGAGACAGATTGTTGTAACCTGTGCCTTAGCAGCCCGCAGGCCCCAGGCCCCAGGACCAAACAAATCATCTTGGCGCTATCGCATTCTCCCTTCTTCCCTTAGCATCGGCATGTTCTTTATTTAGACAGTAGTCATCTTCTGGTTCTTCTCTCTCATCAGTGTCTTCATACATTTCAGCCGTCACTACTTCGCCAACCGAGCGGTCCCCGAGTCCCTGACACCTCCTTTCATACATGTACCATGTCGGAGGAAAATGGCAGCGTGTCAAGCGCAAAGAACCAATCCTTGGCCGAACTGACACATCTATCCTCTCATCGGATCACACAAAGCATTGTTGTTCACACCTTTGATGTTGTCTGGGGCGCCGATCACGACCAGAGTCTTCGACCTACACAGCATGTGGTCCTTCAATTTCCACCAGATCTCGACCCAATGGCGGGTGCTCACGGCCTGTCCGACAAGGAAAGACAACTGCAGCTTACACCATGTCGTCTCGGCTACACACAAGACGGCATAGTGAATCAGATTACGCTTCTTACGCGCAGTGGACGTGTGACAAATTTGTTGGGCTTGCCTCGTCCCAAGGGTCCCTTGACCGCCCAACTTATTGAAATCGACGGAGGTTATCCTACGGAAGTACTGAAATTTGATGAGGGAGCAATCTGTGTGGCCGGCGGCTCGGGCCTTGCCTGTTTCCTAGCAATGACATCCCCCGGTGCGTTGAACGGACATCATGTGCACCCTCCTCCTCTATTCTGCAGTGTGCACAGGGATGACTTTGGGATCATCGAGTATGCACTCGAGACAGGAATGCTCAGTCCTACGCAGTGGTCGTCCATTTCTATCTTTGTAACGCAAGGCATTGGCGCGAGCGCAACGCCAGTGGCAAGCGTCGAAGCTGCTTTGTCATCTCGGATGAAGAAGCTCAAGCAAGCGTCTGCCGGCCATCTCACCTGTGTAGGTCGTCGGATGGAGCAGACAGACCTGAGCAAATTCTTACCAGAGAACGGTGGGCGTGTCTTATTCTGCGGCAGCCAGGCACTCCAATGGCAGATCAAGTTTTGGACTCTGGGAAGAGCACACATGCTATTTTGTTGATATTCAAAATGCCTACTCGTCATAGATACGAACCTCAAAGATACCTCCCTCATAGTTTGTGTCCCCGTTGAGCTCTATAATCTCGATACCCAACTTGCTTACCATTCGTGCCGATTCAATGACGGCCTCTCTTCGAGAAAGGTGATTGTCATCCTCTGTGTATAGAACACTCTCTTGTCCCTCCTCTGAGAGATCAATGAGACGCCACTTCTTGACACAAAAGGGTACGCTCCTCTCCGGATGACCCCGCAGAACAGATTCAAGAGCGTGGTCAAAGTCAGTGTCAAAGGACACCACAGCTCGTCCAATTTTGACAGGCTGGTCCCAGTTCAACTGCAGCATCTTCCTGCCATCGCTATCAGGAACCGGCACCCAACAGTTCGTCCTTTTAGTGGGACGTGCCACGCCGTTACGGATATTGTCCACGGACCATGCTTTGAGTGGAGGGTCGATGCTCAAGGCGAGGTTGTGCCCCATGGGTCTTCTGACGGGTGTCCAGCGCTCAAAGGTGTCGACACCCACATCATCTGGCGGTTCTTGAGTGCACTCGTGTTCGACGGTCATGAGGGCGGAAACACGAGTTTGAGTCGTGCACAGTGCCACCGACTCGTTCTGCATGAAGCACAGGAAAACGTATTGTGTCTGGGGGTTCTTCACTTGCAGGTCGATGGACAGCTCGTGCTCCCCAGGAGCAAGCTCGAATGACGTTTCCCCGAGGATGACTTCAGGAGAATAGTTGTATGCCTTTTTGGATCCGCGGAGCTGTACTTTCAGTGTCGTCTTCTCCACCGACATTGCTGTCACCGATATGATGGGCACGGGCCCTTCGGGCAAAGGTAGCATCTGGGCAAGGCTCCTGGTGAGCACTTTTGGAGGTCCATTGTTTGGCAAGCTGGCAGGCTCAAAATCTCCTGAGCTGCCTTGAAAATGGGCTCGGTGAGTCAAGTCCTCGGGATCCTTGAGCTTGAAGCCTGGGATGTATTGGCCGAACCGCATGAGCTCCTGCTGGAGTAGCTTCATGTTGTCCTTGACCAGTAGTTGAGCAGGGTCGACGGCCTTTCTCTTACACAGAGCTGCTGCCATGCCAAGAGCGTTGGAATTTGCGCCGCATGTGGCCATGACTCTGGTCGACGCAAAAGCGACATGCGTAGCAGATAGCGTACGCCCACCGTACATCAGGTTAGGAGTCTGCGAGCAGATCATGGACGAGAAGGGGATCTGATAGACACCTGGGACAGAGTGTCAGCGTTCATAATCCAGTGTTGAGCATGGAAGTCACTTTACCTTTGGAGTGCCATTGCGTGCAGCCGTCAACCTCAGAGTACACACCATCTGCTGGATGAAGGTCCAGGGACCAACCGCCCAAGGAGACAGCGTCTGAGTGATATCGTTGCTCGACCACGTCTTGCTGCGTCATGATGGTAGGTCCCACTGTAAACGATTAGAGACTGATAGGAACAATATGCCTGCAGACCGCGACCTACTGAATCGCCTGCTCTCTCGCTTTCCTGGGATTGTTCCGACCCATTCAAGCGTCAGGTTCTCGGCATCGGGGAAGCGACCCGAGTTCTTGAAGTAATCCCAAACGCCATACACGACTTTCCAGAGCTCCCATTTGATCTGCTCCGTGTCATGCACCGTGTCGAGGCGCCCGCCATGCTCCAGCCACCACAGCCTGCACCCCATTTCTTTGGTGGTGAAGCTCTTGAAACGCGGGATCTCAGACTCGACATCCTTCAAGGCGTATGCGGGGGCCACAAACTTGACAGGGCGCCCAGTGTCTTTTGTGTAGAAGTAGATGGAGTGTCCTAGCAGATGTCCGTACTCTGAAGATGGCGCGAACTTCTCGCCAAACTCATCCTCCTGCTCTGCGCCCACACGGAATGGAGCTCCAGCCAGGAAAGACAGGGCGCCGTCGCCTGTGCAGTCGATGAATTGCTGGGCCTTGATGTTGAAGAGAAGGGAAGACTGCGATGAGAATGCTTGAATCTGGTCGATTCTGTCTCCGTCCTTTTCGCAGCCAACAAGCGCAGTGTTCAGAAACAGCTGGATATTTGGCTCTTGCTGCACTTTCTCGAGAAGGACCGTGTCGAGGATCAATGGGTTGCCTTCTGGGTTTCTGTACAGGTTCTCGAGCAGGATCTCGTCGACAAGAGCACCCTCTCTGGCGTAGCGGTTGTTGTTGAACATGTGCGAGGTCGCCCCCAGAATCCAGAGTCGAACCTCGCTGCTGGCATTGCCTCCCAGGACGGGTCGATCCTGGATGAGGACCACGGACACGCCATTGCGCGCCGCTGCGATGGCGGCAATAGTGCCCGATAAGCCACCGCCGCAGACACAAAGATCAACATTGAGTTTCTGGCTTTGGAATTGGCGACTCTGGGTGGCAGGCTCGCGCCGGAGAACAGGGTCTTCTGTGAGTCTGGCTGGGGCCATGGTGATGATTTTGAGCAGGTCTAAGTTGGACACGCGAAGATGATCCAGCAGTTCCCGGCTTCAGTGCAGTCACTCGACGACAGAGCCATAATTCTTAGTATAATATATGATAATTCGCCCACCTTCTCTCACAAACGTCCGACCGCAACAACAGGACCGTCCAGCCGATCTACAGACGGAGCCCCCGTTTCTTGGAAGCTGAACACGAGATGGTCTCGGTTCCTTGATCCATCATCGGCGGTTCCGTCTGCGCTCCCCGCTTGTCCCCGCATTCACTCCACATGCAGCTAAGATGCTAAGATGCGGCTAGAGGCACGGAAGAGACACAACAGAGGGCTACAAGCATTCTTGCAGACAACGCCATTGGTCAACAAATCGAACTGCATACTAATCTCCACTGGGGACCCCTTTAGTTCTCCTCTCGCTTGAAGGGCCTCTATTCATGCTCCCCACGAGCTCGGACGAGATGGCTTTGGATTGTCCTCCATGAGGACGACAATCGAAGATAAACCGGAGGACATGTGGGCGTGTAGTAAACATCAGATATGCATCGTAATTGTCGTTTATGTCTTACCGAGACTATCAATCCTCAAGACCGCTCGGGAATGATCCTTTCCTCACTTTCCGTATCGATGTTTGTCCAACCACGTCCGTCCTTATTGAGCCGCTCCAAGCGGTTGCTTTGCTTTCCAATCGTGACCAGGTGGTCGCTCTTGTTCGGGTTCATCCCCGACTCGTGACCCTGTGATCCCTTTGAGCGAACAGCACTGACCGTCTTTGTGATCCAGGGACCCAATACAGGTAAGTTCACGGCGATGATGGCGACAAACTTTAGAAAGTGAGTCAGTTCGCTAGTTCTTCAAAGAATATGGAAGCCAGGGCGCTAACGTACCGTTTCGCGGATCGACCAAATCGTGCCGACGTTGATGTCGTCGGCCTGCCGCAGACACAGGATGCATCGAAGAAGCGTTGCCACTACGATGAAGACGCCCGTGCAGAGCCACAGGTCACACATGAGCTTGCGTAAAGGCGGCATTTGGACTTGCCACAGCAGCGGGATCGGGATCGAAACAATCATGATGTCGGTCGTCAGGTTCGTGACGACGAGGGCATAGTAGTTGGGAATGTTCTTGGAACACGCATCTGCACCGCCGTCAGTGTCTGGTTCTCACTGATTCCTCCACATTGGCTTAGCTTGCGCGCGCATGGACTGACCGCTAGGTATGGGCAGGATTTGCCATGTCTTGTGTATCGGCGCGCAACGAGCCAGGATAACTATGATGGTCGCGACATAGGCCGCTCCACAAGTCCACGCCGTGAGCTGGACAAAGCGCTGTTGGTTGAGGTTGGTCGTGATCCTGCCCAGCAGGAAGAGCATGCATGCCTTGAGGCACCAGATCAAGGTCACGTACAAACACCAACCTGCTAGGAGACATTTGCTGCCAAAGACAATGCCCTGTCTCTGCTCCTCGCTGAGTGCCTCGGCAACCTCCTGGGTCAATCCTGTGATGGCGCCATTTTGCCCGATCAGCTCGAGCATACAAAGTTCAGCCTAAGCCTTGTCAACTCCTATCTCGCTGTGCCCAAATCATCGACCATTTTTCTACTCACCGTCCAGAAGAAGACGGATACGACGGCAAAATAGTCATCGCCTTCCCAGTGTTTCCCAAGGGTGATGGATCGGTAGATGATTCGAGCGAAGAGGACCAGCAGGCCAATGCCATACTCGGTCCAAGCCTCGAGTTGGAAAGGCGTTGCTCCCATTGTTGGACTTCCTTTTTCGGAGTAGGTAACAATATGGCGAGTGTTTGTTTGGTGTAAAAGTTTACGCGGAGAGCGTAACGGTCAGGCATCTGCATTATACTAACCTCTTGACACCCCTGACGAACAGTGCGACTATGCAGAGTAATTTTCTCTCCATGCTGTCGGATCCATCCCCTGCCCCTTTGAAGCGTAGTGTCTCAGACCAGCGTCCAAAGCGAGGGAAAAGCAGAGGCCCGCAAGTCGCCAGCGACGGTTTGCTCCCTTCCACATGGATCTAATAGTCCATTTTTCTGATGAAAGCATCGGCTAGTGTAGCTAGTACACTGGCTGAAGACTTGCCAACTTGGATGGAGACCACCATAAAGGGAATTATATGTCGACTTCCCACAGCCTCACCGTAATTATCAGTCATGGACCCTTTTTTTATCTGTCCGTTGGTTACATCGCACTTTGCATCACTGGGTCGCTGGCTTTGTTGTGTCGGTTATTGGCCGTGGTCCCGAGATTTGACCCCACGCTGCATGGTCCGAGTTGAGTCTGGGGCTATGAATAGGATCCTTCGAGGACCTGCACTGTGCAAGGTTACATTCAGCCCATAGAGGCATGACGGTGTGAAGAGGGCAGGTCATCTTCAATCCCTCTGACTTCTGTGACTACCAAGCCGATATAATTACCCCTCTCTCCTACAGGCATTCGCGGCAAGACATATCCAAGACCTTCGCAATGGCTGAGCTTGACAACGCTATCCCTGAGCACCTCCGGTGCCAACGCTCCAAGCCAACAAAGACTCCTTCCGCCGATTTCGCCCCTGCATACCCCTCATACAGCGTCCGATTCCCCGAAAATGCCAAAGATTTGGTCATGGCCATCATTGGCCTGCAGTACAAGTCGACCTCCGATTTCGAGTCCAGGTCCCGACCTGACGCTCCGTCCAAGGTCACTTCCCTCCTGAAGTCAGAGAGAAGCCCTCCTTCTTTCTCGGAGTGGGCCGCAGTCACAGACAACCAGGGTTTCTACAACATCTTGGCTTTCGCGTACTGGCCCAGCAAGGACCAGTACGAGGCTTGGGCATCGGGATCTGGCTTCCAGACATGGTGGGGGCAAGTCCAGCCGGATTCGTACGGTCACGGCCTGTTCCTTGAGCTCTTTTTCCCCAGCGTCGATCGTCTGGAGACTATATTCAATACCAAGACCCCGGAAGGCTCGGGCCATATGAGAGACAGCTGGAGCGGCGAGGTACAGCAGCACGCATACTGGGGAAGCATGCGCGATCGGTTGCCGGCGGCCCAGAAAGATGATTTAACCAGTGACGCGTTCGAGACCCCTAGCAAGATCAACACCAATGGCCTACGAGAGCAGCGTGTTCGAGTCTCTGGTAAGAACAACCTCACAGTCATTCGCTCGGGGCAAGATTGGCTGGCCACGACCGCCGAGGAGCGCAAGCTGTACCTCGAGACAATGCACCCAGTCCTGATCAAAGGAATGGACTTCCTGCGAGACCAAGGTGAAGAGGTTGGCTGCTACAACTGCCGATTCTTGGTCATCGTATCAAGCCCCTCTCAACCCAAGGCTGACCAGGATCGGACGTTTGGTCTCGCCTACTTTGACGACCTGGCGTCCCTGGAGAGCTGGTGCAAAGACCATCCCACCCACCTTGCCATCTTTGGAGGGTTCTTCCAATATGCGAAGAAGCTCAATAATAACCTGACCTTGCGAGTCTTCCACGAGGTGCTGGTGTTGAAGCCCGAGCAACAGTTCTTCGAGTACGTTGGATGCCATCCTAGAACTGGCATGCTCAAGGGGCACAAATAGATAGGGCACATTTTACAAATATATGTGCATCGAGAATTTCAAAAAGATACTGAGTTAGGAGCTGAGCCTCGTTAGCCCCTTTGCCACGGTTGCGCTGAGAGTCAAAAATACCCCACCCTGCCGGCAAATAGTCTTTACCTGAACTATTTATAACACTCTAGAGAGTTAAAGGGAGTTTTTACATCGGTCAATGTGAGAAGGGCATAGTCCGGTCCTGTCATTCGATAGAGCAATAAAAGCCATGATGTTAGAGTCGGATCCAGCGCTCTGATGAAGAAGTGTTGAACAGAGACGTCGGCAAGGTTCCCTCCTAACTACCTATTGCTCAATCCGTGACATTTATCTTTTCCACAAATAGTTTGATCGTTGGTCAAACCCATAATCTTCTAATTATCTCTCGTACTATTATCCTCAATAATGCTCAAATCTTGGGTTAAACGTTAATCTCCTAAAGATAAAGTAGCGACGGTGGAGTGATGTTAACGGCCTGTGGGGGACGACTAGTATAGCAGGATAGTGAACTTTAGTTTTTTTTTAGTTAACTTTTTAACTAAGCTATCCATCATCGGCGGTTCCGTCTGTGCTCCCCGCTTATTCCCGCATTCACTCCACATTCTCCGCAAATGTCCACGCGACGTGGGCGGACATCTCCTTAACTCGCAGGGTCCCCTAGTCATACACGAAGTACGGAGATCCTCTCATTCAGTTCTCATCCATGTCGGAGACTCGGGACCATGTCTCGTCTCTTTCTGTCTCAACATCGCTTGTCCTGTCTCGCACCGTCTCATGCCGTAGGGCACATGCACGATGCAAACGACCGAGGACATGACGCGTCCACGGAGACGTGCGGCGCTGCAGGTATCCCAGATCTTCTCCGCCTGTTCCTTTTGCAAAGCACGCAAAATACGAGTCAGTCATCCTCAGTGAACCATGCTCGCCACACGTGCGCTGACGTGACGCAAGTGTGATGGTGTCAGTCCTGCTTGTGGCGGCTGTGCGAAGTTTGGTCGACAGGCCAGCTGCTCGCTCCGGTCTAATCGCGGGCGAGACTACCCAACATATCTACAGTCACGGATCGAGAGCCTTCAGAGAACCCTCGAACATCATCGGGCCGCCTCTAGAGGTCATGCTGGACCAGACCCAGACAGCAGAGGCCATGGTGGGCAACCTACTGCACACTCGTCTGCCTCGCAGAGCGCCATCGACTCCCTCATAGCAGACATTGGCGTCCTTCCGATCATGGCATCAACATATTCCTCCACGCATGATGGTATTACGCTGTCTACCGTCGCATTGTCTACTGCGAGTATGGGCTATCCGTCTTTCTCGATTGCATCCCACCTGTCCCAAGTGCCCAACCTGGAGGATCCAGCATCTTTTCTTCCAGAACGGTCTCTTGCTGTCAAATTGATACAGCACTATCTGGCTCATGTCTACCCACGACTGCCCTTCTTCTCTATACAAGGACTGTGGGCCCAGTTCGAGCAAGTCTACGCACTACCACACTTCGAAGCTGGGGCACATAATCCGACACCACCCATCGATCCGGAGGCTGTCCTCTCACCGAGCATTGGGAGCTGCAACACGTCGTCTCATAGCTACGGGTATAGCTTCTTCACCGTGCTTCACGTACTGGCCATATCCGTGTCCAGCCTCTCTCGCAGTGCCGACAGCACGAGCTCCAACCAGGCCCGAAAGCTGTTCCAAGCAGCCCTATCATTCCGAGAATTCGCCATCCTGCCCAACTCGATAGTCGGCGTCCAGTCACTTCTATTCCTGATTCAGTTTGCCACATTAAACCCGTCATTGCTGGATGTATGGTACTTGATCGGCGTCGGCATGCGCATATGCGTCGACCTGGGTCTCCATCAGGATCCTCGAGACGTCGACAAACTTAGCGAGAGTTTGCTCGAGACCCGGAGACGACTCTGGTGGAGCATGTATTCTTTCGACCGTTCCATGAGCATAGGCTGCAGCCGCGCGCAGGAGATTTCGGACGCGGTGATCAATGTCGCTCTTCCAACCTTTCGAATCGAGACAACAGCCAACGAAGCTGAGATCCACGGATACCTCCAACGGTATCGTATCCTGCAGATTCAATCAGAGATATATGACTATCTAAAGGCTGCACCGAGCTCCGACTCCCCAGACCCGGCAACGATTGTCGCACGCCTTGGGCAGAAGCTCTCCGCCTGGCACGATACGAACTCAGCAGCGCTCAACCAGACTTTGCTGCGTAGTGAATGGCTCATGGGTCGTATTCTCCTCCTCCGTCCCTGCCCTTTGCTGCCTCACAGATCGGTCGCCGAGGTTGGCGAGCTATGGAAAGCAGCCACTGCCTTCACCACACTGTATCGGGATCTGGTCCAGACAAACTCCATTTTCTACGTGCAGATTGCAGCCGAGAAAGCTTACTGGATCGGCTTGATTGTCTTGCACTGCTATTGGCGACTGCAGGCTAGCGAAGAAGCGCGGCGCATGCAGGTTCGTCCGCTGGACCTGTGGACAACAATTAAGGACATTTTGTACATCCTGCGGGCCTTGAGTGATCGTTGGAATCGAGGCAAATGGCTCTACGAGGCCTTTGATGACCTGAGTGGACGGTTTATGCATCTGGTCGAGGAAGATGCCAACGGCACGAGCTTCGGTCATCGTATGCCAGCTGAGCTGCAGAACCTGAGCGATTACACAAGTCTCACTAGTATCTGGACAGACTCGCGTGCGTCGTGGGATGATACCCGTGGAGAAGGATTGCATTCTGAGGAGCTCGAGCGCTTGGTATCCGACATGACTTGAATTGCCTTTATTTACATGACTGTGAATACTTCTAGCCCAATATTGGGTTGGCGCGCTCATGATGAGAATAAAACAGCACGAGTTCAGCCTTTCAACATCGCTTCCTCGCTAACGTTGTCTTCTCCAACAACAGTCGCCGTTGACTCGTTCTTTCCAGTGGCCTGACTGACGTTGGCTGTTGCAGATCCAGCGTTTTCCTTGAAACCTCCTCGGCCGTCTGGCATGTCTTCCATCGCATAACCACCGAACTGACTATATCCCGTCCGGTGCCCGCGAGTGAGCTTGCTGCCGGACACGAGGTAGGGAGTCGCCTGGGACGGCCTCGAACCTAGCGAGTCGAAAAGCTTGGGTATGAATCGCTTTAGGAATTTTCGAAGCGTGGGCATCGAACCGCAGATGATAAACAGGTTGACTTCGACAAATCTTGTAACTTTGTCAGCAGATCCCTCGCCAAGGGCAGATTTAAAAGACTCACGACCACACGTTGGCTGGGGCAGCGACCCAGGGAATGTCGGTAGCTCCTAAAAGCAAAGGCAGATAGACCATGCGGACAATAGACGTTGCCACGGTGCTGACATGTCAGACAGAACTTCCCTCACAAAAGAAGATGACTTACATGGAACCAATACCGAACATGGCAGCAGCTCCAATCTTCTGCGCCACGGGCATTTTCAACCCCCAGAGCGTGGGGATGGGAATAATGAACAAGACCACATCTGACACAATGTTGGCAATGGCGATCGCGATGTATAGCGCCGCTGTGTCAAGACGGTCCCCATCAGCCATGAGATATGGATCCCATGCTGCCCGAATCGGTCGGCAGGCGAACAGCAGCAGGCCGGCAATGACGATCGTGTACGTCGCAACCATACCGATGGCTACCCAGATGGCGATCCTAAAGTACTTTTGGGGTGAGATCTGGAGGTAGAACATGAGGAGGGATGCTTTGCTGAGTCCATTGCAAGTGATGAAGAGGGGGCGACAATGTAAGAGCTCTGCACGCAAAGGGTCAGCGTGATAGGACATGTTCACGTTTGATTCTTAGACCTACCAGCATGTGTTTTTCGAATACTTGGATCGGCATTTCCCACGCATGGTGGCAGAGACCCCCAATTGATATAGACCCTACGGATAAAGGGGTATTGTCAGCAATCGCCTCCATCCACACCAATGCATTGTTCTCACATATTTGCACGGATTGCATCACCACAGACGCTATCCAAGCCAAAGTGATGAGCCCTGCCCGATTAGCCTACGTTCTCCAGCTGGCAGCGAGCAGCGTCGTCAATCGTCATACCATCATCGATTTGAAGGCCAGTCAAAATGAATTGTTTCGTGTACAGTCGTTGGCAGAGACAAAACAGGGCCAGTGATCCCAGCACAGCAGTGATCGCAAAGTGGTCATACTTGTTCTGGCTTTGGGGGTTCTCAAAGTCGACGTCGTGGCCTGTCGGGTCGAGAAAGGTTGTGATGCCATCGGTGACTGGGAAGCCCGACATGGTTGGGACGTCACAGGACAGTGGAAGGCTGCAGAACCGCGGATCGTATCACGGTAGAATCGTCAGGTCACAGGTTCAATGACAGGTGGCGGTCAGTGCAGCAGCAATATTGAAAGGGCTTGCATGTACACTTTGTAATGATCCGACCCCCCAGAATCTTGGGAACCTGGGTGTTGGTTCCAGGGACGAGCTGAAGAATTCATCTTGGAACAGGCGATGATCCCTACTGATTTCAGCAAATAAAAGTGCACATAAAACCAAGGATGTTGATTTGCAGATTGCAGTCCAAGCAAGCTGCGTGGCTCATTGACCGCGTCAGTCGATTTCCTCCAGCTCACTGCAGCACGGACGTACATTGCAGGACTCTGGCGCCAGGGTGGAACATCTTTCACCGAATCATTATGCCAGTGATAAACCCGTCAAGAGCATGAACTTACCAGACAGCTGTGCTTGAGCAACGGGTCTGGCGGCCCTTGCTACTGCCCGATATAAACCCCCTGGTTTCACAGCTGGGCCCGGACTAGAATAGGAAGGCAGAGAATGTTGTGATTTATGCTCTCGGCTTCGAATGAGCCATACACGTTGAAAGAAGCTTAATATGTTGGCTGGAGACGTCGGATCTGCAACCAAGCTGTTGGCGCTAGACAATGTGACCGGGAGCAGCGTGGGGGCTGGGCATGCCGTGTCCGGTGCCCCGGCCGAATAGAAGAAAAGGAAAGGACCGGGGGCGGAGAAGTGCTGCATACGGTGATTTGCGTATATACCCATGGCTCTGCATGTGTACGAGAAAGAACATGGACCTTGCTGTCCTCGTTGGCTGGACAGACGATTTCTGGCATCCTGATGAGTGATCATACTAATGCACTCCATTGAGGTCACCCTGTCTCGACTCGAGTCGTCAGCAACGCAACCACAAACGAGCACATATATTTGTAGTAGCGTTGATCTTGCCTAGTGAAAAACACCCAAAAATGCGGCCTTCCTAGTGACCTCCATATTGACGGCACATCCAGCCTCTTTGGGAAGTCGTGCTTGAGTCATGTAGCAGCATGCTGGCTGTGCTGCTGGACGGGGATGACATGATAGGTAGCTGCATGCAAGCCATGCAATATGTGAAGGCCCGGGGGCACTCGAGGCGAGGCACTTTCATGCTGCATGCACCAGCAATGTCTGCATCAAATTGCCATGCAGCCGAGGAATGGACTTAAACAGGCCAGATCCGTGCCGCACAAGAAGCCCGTTCGCTTTTGTTGATCTCTTCATCTGCGAGACACGTCTTACTTGCACATCTTTTGTCTTACACCCAAGGCACTTCTTAGCGCAGGCAGCGCCTTATATCACTAGCCATGTACTTCCTTCAAAGCACGTTGGCTGTAGCAGCTTGCCTGCTGGGCACGGTCCAGGCCTCCGACTGCCACTCGAACACCGGCCTGACCCAAATGGTCACATATGTCAAGAGGCATCCTGAATTTACACGCGAAGAGTTTTGGGCCTACTGGCAAGAACAGCATGCGCCCAAGGTCGCCCCTCTTGCCACACACCTCAACATTAGCAGATACCAGCAAGTAAGTTGTCACCAGAAAGGCCTCTCCCACAAAAATGCAATGACTAACATGCAATTCAATAGATCCAGGTTGGCGGCCAGATCCTCCCTACCGAGGGAGGGGCTTCAGCCCCAGCATCCGATGAGCTGGTGGACTTTGACGGCATCGCCATGTTTCTGTACGAATCCCCCGAGGTCCTGACGGCCATGCTGTCACATCCATACTACCTCGAGGTTGTCGAGCCTGACGAGCACGTTTTCATCGACAAGGACGCTTTCGGCCTCGGGATGGTTGCCACTTTCATTGGCACCAACGTTGAGATCGTGGACCGGGCCAAGGATGTCTGGATTGGCGATGAGGATATGCGCGAGAAGTACCAAGAGATATTTGAGGCCTACCTCGATTAGACACATGGGATTGCCAGATGTGTGGGTGGGATTATACAGCAGTGTCCTAGGCATGGCTCGGAACCCTATTCAAACGTCTGGTCCTTCACTTCATGTTCTGCACGAGCCACTACGTACAGAGATGATAGATTTGAAAGAACTTGAACGACCTTGTGTTCTTGTGTTTCTCTTTTATATTTCGATCACTGCATGGCTTTCCATTCTGTCCTATTTAGAGCTTATGGAGTTCCCTTCTTGAAGGAGTTGCATAGGCGTAACACTTTCATGAACACAATGCCATGAGCCATCGATCGCTCGATGCTATGCAACTTTTACATGAACAATTTTCTTCTCGAGGCTCCACGTTACACCAACACCTCGAATACAACACGTTGTCCCCTATTGATGTGCACAACATGGAGCCGCACAACTTCAGGGACTGGGCTCTGGAGCCTGGGGTCCATGACCAGGGGCTCCATATGGCCTCGGGTAGTGTGGTAGTCCCACAATTCGCTTGACTGATCGACAGACTAGATCGATCTAGCTGTGGAAGTCTTCGGATTGGTTCGAAAAGCGCATCACGATATCTGAGGCCAATCGCGTCGTCTCAAAGCGTGGGTTGACTATGCACCCGAGAGGTCTTTTTTCGCGATTCTGTGCCTGATTGTAGTATTCCGTCTGGATTCGTTGCCCTGTGCTGTGTAATACTTGATGAACCCGTATATCATTCATGTTTGGAATAATCCGCACTCACGTGCATCTTTCAGGGGAAGGCTGTATGTTCGTTGACAAGGTCGCCAGTGGCTGGCGCTTCCTTTCCTACCCAACGGCATCGATTCCGAATACGTAATTCGTACGAGACTTTTTCATATGAAATCTTCGAAAATCCATAAGAAATTTCAGCATTTCTCTGAGTCCACTGCTGGCAATGTACCTCACGAGTCGACTAAGAAGACTGAACGTACCATGTGGCTCCGTCAACCAACCATGCAGTGTTGAATGATGTAGTGCTTCGGAAAACCAAGAGGATCTTGCTCTAAATCATCAGATCAAGGTTATTTCTTTTCACATAGTACTTTCTCCACTCATTATCAGGTCCAGCGATGTTGCATACTCCGAGAGAATCTGCCGCAGGGTAGGCGTGATTCATCAGCCAACGCCGACCCAGAGCATTCAAACAGGTCCATGATGACATTTTCAACAAGGTAAGCTTCATTCTCCGCACGGATGTGATTGCGCCGGATTGGGACGTGGCATGCAGGAAGAGTATGCAGGATGGGCGGCGTGCTGAGCAGAGCGACACTGTGTTACCTTCGCTGCTCAGTCGACCAAGAGGGGCGCAGGGCAGCATCGTCACAGCCCAAAGGCAGAGACGATAAGACTGCTGTTAAGGAAGGTCCTAATACCAGGTGAGACGGAGTATATCTTTCTCAATGGCTTCTCGGACATGGAATAGAGTCCTTGTCGCCGGTTCGTCGCTTTGGTGCAGACGCATGCATGCACGTGAAGTTCGCAGGAAACTGACAGGAACCGTTCTACAATATCCATCCACAGATGAACAATGGCATACAGGAGACGGGGCGCCCCCGATGTCTATCTTTCCGGGGCGCAACTTGAAGATACGTCAAGGCCACATTTCGCGCGGGTATTGTCGTATGGTCACACATTGAGTTGCCCAGCAGGTCGCCGCAAATCCAAAATGGAAACACATGAAGACTAGCAACACAAGCTACCACTCTGTCAATATGGCGAAGATATCGTCAAACAAAGTGACAACCCGATCCAACTCGAACGACACGAGTGGGGTGCAATTCCGGCCTGGAGTGTCCGAGAAAGAAGGAAAAAGGACATCCCCAGCCTGCAGATGAAAAGGAGGTGCCGCCAGCACATCGACCGAAATTTGGACCCCCACAAGATGGAGAGCCAAGAAATGACGTGAAGGCTCCTAGCGCCGTCTTGTGACGAGACAGAATCTGTGATAGCTTTCGGCAGGCTGTTGTTAGACGCCAGTATCATCTCCCCAATGCGCATCATATTGAGAAGAATTAGAATTAGAACGCGATCACGCGAGCGCCGACTGGACCTTCCTCGCGCTGGGTAAGGTACAGAACAGGTCACAGTGCCCACGCGCGACAGCGGTCTTCCGCAGTGCCTAAGGCGCGGAAGGTCGGGGCCGTTCGGGAAAATGGACCGCCTGGAGTACAGTGCGAAATGACTATGGACTCTTGGCATCCCACATTTGGGATTGATGGACTGGCCCAAACGTGAGTCGCACTGTCCCAATCACGGCAATTAGAGCCGGAGCACACAGTGCCAGTATCATCCCCTATCATCATCGCGCCTGCCACAACTGGGGACATCGTCGGAGTACGTACCGTAATAGATCGCTCATCCATCCTGCTCGTTCTCCTCTTCTCCTCGCTCTGCTTCTACTCCGATCACACTCAACGACTCAACCTTTCCGTGCGGACTTGGTTTGAGGAGGCATTCTTATTCCTGCGCGCATAGCACCTGTTGTTGCTGTCAGACCGCCGTCCACCACAGAGTTCGGCCTAGCGAAGGACACCAGCGAGCATTTGGAACGAGCAGCAAAGTCCCTGGAACGAAATTCGGTTTTCGCGAGTCGCGTCGAGCTTTTGCGCGGTCCAATTTTTTTTGGCTGGAAGCAAGAAAGAATCTCAGCTCCAGCAGTATCACCAAGACTCTTTTTGACTCGATCGCGATTTGCCGTCCTCGACTGGTATGTCCTGACCTTGATGTTGCGGGAGGGTTTTGGCGCGGGATTTGCGACACACCGGCTGGACCCCTCGAAAAGTCTTGACGTCGTGTGTTGGCCGCGCCGGACTTGTCTCACCCTCCCACAACCGCAACAAACTTCTCTACAGTCCTCGAAATCATGCTAACGGCGTCTCGCAGCGTTCCGTGCATCTCCCCCTGAGCAGACATGTCCTACTACGACAGTCCCCAATGGGCCGGCCCCAACAGCCAGCAGGGCAGCAGCAACTGGGAACACCAGGGTGCCACAACACCCACGCGCGCAGGTACACACCATGCCAACATCCGCGGTAGACTCGAACGAAGCGCTGACCATGCAGGCGCCAGTGCTCCCCAGCCTCAAGACGACTACGCCTTTTCGTACCAGTTCGATGGTAAGAGCGCGCACAACCCCTGTTTTCCCCGATCAATGCGCTAACGAGACCAGAGGTTGACCGGGCCTACGAAAACCTCCAAAAGTCCGGCAAGGGCTTCATGGCAGGTGGCCGCCGCAAGTTTTCGCCGATGCACCACGGACCCGGTTCGGCTCGAAGCACGCCCGACTTCGGTAAGCAGCAGCACCGCAGCAGATATTCGAGAGGAGGGATGACTGATGGACGGTTTGCCGGATAGAAGGACGCATGTCATCGCATGGACCTGGCTCGCGCCCGCACTCGAACCACTTTGACGGTCCGCCTGGCCCGCCCGGCCGTGACTTGAACAACTTTTACGCGTCGCAGCGTCACCAGCCCTCGCGTGGCTCGAACGAGGCAGAACAGGTCATGCAGGCGAAGCGTAGGATGGCGGCGCAGCGTGAGCGTGAGCTGCGCAACCTGCACACGGAGCAGCAGTACCAACGAAGTAGGCCACCCTCTGCAGTATAAGCAAGACGAGACATGAAAAGAAAAAAAGAAAGAATTGAAACAAAGAAGCCATCCCCCTCCGAGAGCCGAATGGGGGGATGGACAACCCGGCTTCTACTACCCCTTGCGTGTTGCACTCTTGTTGACAGTGGGCTAACGGTTTGTCTCTGTAGATGCAATGACCGATGCCTCGCCGGCTCCCAGTGCCAGTGTAGGCAACAGCAACAACAACAATAGCAGCAGCAGCACTGGTAACAACACCAACACCAATAACAACAACGCCAACCAGCAGCCGCAGCAGAAGCAAATGTCAGAGGAGGAGACCCGTGAGCTGATAGCTCGCCAGCGCAGCGCACTGTACGGCGAAGGACCATTTGCCGACAAGAGCACATATGTCGACGAGAACGGACAGATCCGCACAGGTGCTCCCGGCCCCAGCGGACCCGGCAGCCTGCGTGGCGCCTCTCCCTTTGACAACAACGGGCGCATCGGCGACATTGGCACGCCCGGCTCCGGGGCTGACCCCAAGTCGGCACCGGCGGACCCAAGCTCCCGTCCTTCCGGCACCGCCAGTCCCAACGCGCCCGGCCCTACCAACAGGGTGTTTGACAATGCCGTCGGCCCTCAAAACCGCACCAGCACCTCGAGCCCGACTGGTGCCTCGCCTTCGCATGATCTCGCACCTGGCTCGAAGCCTTCTGTGGCGCCCATAGGAACTCGCCCCTCTGGCACACCGACGAATGCGCAGGGCAACCAGAACTCGCAAAACAACCGCTCCACCACACCTATGGGCTCTTCTGGCGGCTGGGGACGTGGCGGCAGCAGTGTCTGGGGACAGTCCGGCCTGGGCACCCAGGCGAGCGTATGGGGTTAAGTTCAACGATGATATGCGGCGCGCGCTATATTTGACATGTTTACGTGGGTGGTCAAGATTGAAACACTTGGGAACCAGAGGATGGCCTGGCGCACAGGATTTTGCTGTGGAATTTTCTACCCATGTTTGGCTTTGATCTGGACGACATGATTGGCGATAATGCAGCATTTGGAGAAGGCGACAAACGACAGGCGGAGGGCAAATGGACAAGGACAAAAAACACGGGACTGGACGGGATGGGTCGGCTAGGGACGTGCTTTGCTTGAATGGTTTGGTTGGGTTGGGCTCTGAGGTGCTTTCTCTCGCATTGTTGGTATGCTTCTTCCCGCAGGGATCGGCTGGGTGCGACGGTTTGTTTGATTTGCATTTTGTCGATTTGGACGGGCTGGATGCAGGAATCTCTCGACTTTTACTACGGGTTTGGCGGGTACGGAGGCGCACATCATTCACACTCTCTATCATTAATATCAGATTGCTTTGGACGGGAGGTTTGGACTCTGGCGCGATCCGTGAGGCTTGCTGCACGCTCAGGCTGGCCAGGATTCGTTTGGCAGCCCCAGGAGTCTGGTGTATTAGGCCTAGACTCTGGGTCTTAAGGCCATCCCAATGGGGAACATGCCGAGCAAGCATCTTGCTCAGTGCTGACGGGAGCGACCTGAAATTGGAGGCTGAAGCATTTCGGTTGGTCGAGGTCCGAGGAGGCAGCCCCTGACAAGCCGTTGTGGATTGATGGATTGCCGCTAACTATAGTCTGATACTTGGCACCGATCGATGTCAGCCATAAGCCTGCCGGATTTTCCATGGGAATTAAATAATAAAGCAGGGCATCCTCCCGAGAGAAGTAGCCGCCACGACCGACACTCATTCTACACGCACTCTCAAGTACGCACCGACGCTCGCTCAGACATCAACCACGCTCGTTTCCCCAAAGGCAAATATGAAGTACACCACTGCCGCCCTGGCGCTCGCCGCCTCCGTCTACGCCAAGACCGACCTCGACGGCTGCACCTCGTTCACCAGCTGGGTGACGGTGCGTCCCGAGCCCGGCTACGGCAACACCTACCAGAGCATCGTCTGGTACGTCCCCGACTCGCTCGAGATCTGCCAGTTCGTCGACTGCGGCGGCGGCCGCGCGCCTCCCAAGAGCGTCCCCGGCTGCCCCCTGTACCAGGGCACCGAGACCGTGACGCCCAGCTTCCTCGCGTCCGACCCCATGAAGACGGAGGAGCCCAAGACCGTGGCCACGGCCACGGCGCCCGAGGCGAGCAGCACGGCCATTGTCGAGGAGACCAGGAGCGTGGCCACGGCTACCGCGCCCGACCTGAGCAGCTCCGCCGCCACCTCGGCCATGGTCACTGTCACGACCACCTCGGCTGTCGTCTCTACCGTCACCGAGACGCCTGCGACTACCGCGGGCCCTGGCGGGGATGGTGAGGAGGATGGTGGCGCGGAGGAGACCAGCACGGACACCAGCACGGACACCCCTGGCGCGGCCATGCCCACTGCCATGGTTGGCTTGAACATGCTCGCTGGTGCCGCTGCCGCCGCTTTCCTTCTGTAAGCCTTGCATAAAGCGCAAGCAGAAGAGCCCCAATATGGAGCGCAATGTAGGGGGGGGTTGTGTACTGGACCCGGCGAGGCGCCTCGTATTGGATGGTCGATATAACGCGGGACATATTGAATCTACAAACAATATCAGAAAATATCTTCGACGCGACCGGAGGCTGTGCCATTGCAAAGAGTTGTCATCAAATGAATGGTATGACTGAGCAAAGCCAATGTTCCAGACTTTGCACAGCCGTACACACGACGATATCATATACTATGAAACTATGAAGACCCATTCGCCACAGCGACGGGCTCGGGCACGTGTGTGTGCTCACACCCACCCATAAGCTCCTTGATCTGCTGCACCGTCGCGGTAGCCCCATTCTTCAATGACCCATTCGTCTTGGCGAAGCCATTCGTGGCCATAATCTCCTCGACTGGACGGCCCTGTGCGTTGTAGCCCGTGTCACTGCCGTCAACGTAAGCCTCGATACCCTCGCCAGCACGGGGATACTCCTTGACGATACGCTTGTGCACCTCCAATGCGGCCGCCATCTCCTCGTGCTCCACGTCATTGAGGAAGACACACTTGCCCATGGGCGAGACGGGGACGGCAGCGCGGAGCTTGCCGTCGCGGGTCTTAAGGATGGCCTGTGTGGCCTTCTCGAGGCAGTCGCTGTCAAACTGGGGGTGGTCCATGGACAGGCCGGCGCGCGAGAAGAGGGAGAGCACGCGACGGTGGTCGGGCGTCGAAAGCAGACCGCGGATGTGGGAGAGCGTGGCTGAGTAGGCCATGTCGATGGAGATGGCGTGGCCGTGACGCAGGGGCGGGTCAGGCACCAGCTCGTGAAGGGGAGACCATCTGCAATTTGGGTCAGCTTTGATGTTCAGGGAATAAGGCTGGAGAGAACTCACGTATGGCCGTAGGCAATAACGCGGTCGAGCATAATCTCATGCAAGTTGGGCGTCTCAAGCTTGAGCATCTCGTGGATGCCCGCGCGGCAGATCTTGTCGGCCGCGACCTTAATCTCCTCGTTGGCATCGTCTGTGCGTCCAAAGCCGGTGGAGATGAGGTCCTCGCAGTAGCGGTCCAGCAGGTCAAAGGTCTCGCCGTGGGCGCAGGACGAGATCTTGATGAGCTCCGCGAAGCCATTGCGGATCTGCGCCGTAGGGAGGGTGCGCAGGAATGTGAAGTCGAGGAAGGTTTTCATGGGGGCGTGGTAGGCGCCCAGACGGTTCTTGTAGCGACCGTAGTTGACGGCCACCTTGATGGAGACGGACGCGTCGATGAGACCGATGACGGTGGTGGGGATGCGGATGTAGTTGGTGTTGCGACGGTATGAAGCACAGGCGAAGCTGGGAGAGGTTAGTAAGAATGAGAGAAACGATGGGGGAGACTCACCCAGCCACATCCGTGACGAGACCACCGCCAACGACGAGGACAGGCTCCTTGCGGTACACGCCGAAATCGTTCATAGAGTCGACGATGCCCAGGAGCGTGTCCATGCCCTTGGCCTTCTCGCCAATCTGGGTCTGGTGGACGACCAGCTCGATGCCGTGGTGGTCAAAGTACCGCTGCAGGGCAGGGCCGTACAGTCCGTACATGTTCATGTCCATGACGGCCAGGCAGCGCTTCCAGCGAGAGTAGCACTCTGCGAGCTGGGCGTTGGCCGGATCCAGGACATTGTCCAGGAACTCAAAGTCGTACTCGATCTTCTCGTAACCTGTGACGCTGAAGCCCTCGGTGGTGGGCTCCACGGTAGCCTTCATGTCAGACATGATGGCGGCAGGGTTGGGTTGGGTTGGGGGGGTGAGCGGCCAAGGAAAGGACCGGCTCGATATCTTCTTGAAAAGAGGATCAGGGGGTTGTTGAAAGGGTGTAGGAGGAGGCTGTTGAACGAGGAAGGATACAGGAGGAAAGAGGGAGAGGGAATGTATGAGGGTACAATGTACTTGGCTTTTTATATCCTCTCCCAGGCTGCTCGCGGTGGTGGAAGCAGGTACAAGAGATGGGAACAGATCTATCTCCCGTCGTCCATCTAGACTTTGCGTTCCACATTGCCGCGATCGACCGTGGGGTCCTCAAGTGCGGTGTAGGAAATCGAGTACAATGAACTTGTGAAAACAGCCAACGCTGCTGTCATCGACAAGTCCCGGATACGTTCGAGAAGCACGGGTCCAGGACGAGCGGCCCTGCATGCGAGACGAGATCGAGCGAGTGTACGTCCGATGCTGCCTGCGGTACCGTGCACTTTGCTAACGCAGGCAGCTACCGCATTCCAGTGCGGTAGCTTGTACATTGGGGTGGGAGAACATGGCATTCTCAGAAAGTCGATGATGCTCACGACAATGCCCCTGATCCGCTCGCCAACACCAGTAGCGGGCTTGACAACTCCACACCAGCTTCAGAAATTGTGTACACGGGCGATGCTGCCGCTTCCCCTGTGCAGGTCAAGAAGCAATGGTTAGAGAGTCATGATGCCCAGAGTCGGAGCCATCAAGCTCGAGTGGGCGCCAGGCCCTTGATCCTCCGACACTTGAGACAGTCGAACGAAGACCTTGCAGCACGTCTAGCCAACTAATCAATCAGACTCATTGACAGAACCTCGTGGTGGCCACAGAATCGACAAGCTCGGCTGCTACTGCTGCTGGGTGGGAGGGTCTCGTCGCCCCAAGCTCGGCATCTCTGGAAAGGTGTCGTGGGGAACTGAAGCCGGCATCGTCCTGCATGCCATCTACAGGAGGGCTGCGACCCTCTGCGATCTCTGCCTTGCTCCGATGCGCCCTCCCATCCCAGTTCCAGACGCGCACAATACTCGACTCGAGGTGGAGGGGACGCAAAAGGTTCAGGTGGCTCGACCCCTGGATCTGAACTCTAAAGCGCCTAGTGCCATTGAGATCGGAAAGTCAATCACAGATCTACCATTCTTAGATCTGGTATGAAACCTGCTTGGCGTTGTGAATGAGGGAGGTAGTCCATGACCGCTAGAGGTTCGACGCGCTGTGCAACATGTGCGCGTCATGGGAGTCGCACAATTGCGCGAAAGCAGGTGACTGCGTGGCGAGATGACCCCGCAAACGGCCTGTATGAACGGGACGGGTATGCAGGATTCGATCAAGGTCCACGATGGATGGGCGGGTAACCTGCGCATCTAAGACACGGCACGGCGAAGCTAGGAGCAGCTGCTCCTGGTGGTGATGGAGGAGGGGAGGGGAGGGGAAAGCTTGAGGAGCTTGGGAGCTTGGCTGATAGCTACTCCATAGTAAGTAGCTGATCTGCGAGCAGGGAAAGAAAAAAAAAGTAATAGGCTCACTTCCCAAGATCGTCACAGCACTCGATTCAGGTCCAGACACAATGGCCAACTTTGACGATAGCAAGGCGTATGCCGCCCAGGAGGAGGTCTTCTTCGACGACGGCCGTGAGATTGAGCTGCTGCACTTTGTGTACAGCAGACCCAACATTGACGAGATCCGGGGGTCGCCCGAGAAGGTCCTAGCTGCCATTGACGAGTATGGACGGACAAAGAAGTATCTCATGAACGTTGGCGAGGACAAGGGCCGGATTGTCACGGATCTGATCAAAGAGGTGAAACCAAACATCATGGTAAGACCCTGCTCACCAAGACAGGGACATTGGCTGACGAGAGCAGATTGAGCTGGGCGGCTACGTTGGCTACTCTGCCGTCCTCTTTGGCGCGGCGGTGCGTGATGCTGGTGGGAAGACGTACTACTCTCTCGAGCGCAACCCCGAGTTCGCCGCCGTCATCCTGTCCCTCGTCGACCTCGCCGGTCTCAGCGACGTCGTCAAGGTCGTCGTCGGGTCAAGCGACGAGGGCATCCGTCGCCTCGCGCAGCAGGGCCTCGACAAGGTCGACCTCATGTTCATCGACCACTACAAGCCCGCCTACCTACCAGACCTCAAGCTATGCGAGGAGCTGGGCCTCATCCAGCAGGGCACCGTACTCGCGGCGGACAATGTCATCAAGCCAGGCAACCCGCCCTACCTCGAGTACGTGCGCAGTCCCGTCGAGAAGAAGAAGGAGGTCTTCCTCGCGTCCACCTCGTCCAGCGGGCTGGGCACGGAGGACTTTGACGATCGGTACTCGCAGCAGTACGAGAAGACGCATGGGGCCGAGAGGCTGGACACGATGATCAAGGGCGATCCGAGGCTGGTGTACAGCAGCGAGCTGATCAAGAGCTTTGAGCCGACGGGCGTGCCGGTGAGTAAATGGACGTTGGGACTGCTATTTGGTGGCTAACATATCACAGGATGGCATTGAAGTGACGAGATGCAAGGGCAAGGTGGCTTGAGGACTCGAACGCATAGTACATGTCGATAGAGGCGCTGCTCGCTGTTTCTTGATATAATATTCTTGATGAAAAATAGACTGCGCATTGCTCATGTCTCAACCTCTCATCATTCCGCGTAAGCCATAGCATTAAGCTACCGTAGAGCGACATGGGTAAGTCCAAAGTCCCATACGCAGGCAACATGGCATTCTGCCAACGGAGTGAATTGTCCGGCCATTCTCGCCTCGTAAAATGCCTCAATTCCATAGTAAGGTACGTAGACACGCAGAAGACGGGAAAGAAAGGCAAAATCGAAACCCAATGATGACGTCTTTAACTTTTTTGGCGCGGCGCGATCAATCTCCCCGACGCGGCGACAGCGGATGCTGCCCGTCCACATCACCATCCTCTTCACCATGACCTGTGACAGCTAATTGCCGTCACCTAATTATCTCTCAATTGTAAACATCATTATTGGAGTGGCCTCGCCATCGTTGGCAAGATGCTCGACTTTTGGCGCCATAGAATCAAGAACCTGGCTCTCCTGGTGCTCAGCCTCGTCTTCCTGCCCATCGACACCCTCGTCATCCTATGCATTGACCTCTACTCGCGCCTCTTGGGCACGAGGCCAGGCCGCAATGGCGCCGTCGACAAAAAGACCGTGCTGGTGACGGGCGTCAGCATGGCCAAGGGTCTCGCCCTCGCCCGGCACTTCCGTCGCGCAGGCCACCGGGTCATTGGCGCGGACTTTCACGCCCTGTCGCAGGGCCGCGTCTCGTCCGCCATTGACAAGTTCTACGCACTGCCGTGGCCAGCGGCGGAGGAGGTGCCCGACGACGAGGACATTGAGGATGACGAATACGCCCTGGCGCTGCTCAAGATTGTGCGCGAGGACAAGGTCGACATCTGGGTGTCCAACTCGGACGTCAGCGCTGCGATTCAGGATGGTCTGGCCAGGGACATGATTGAATCGCAGACGAGTGCCAAGGCCATTCAGCTCAGCGCGCGGCACGTTCGTCTTCTGCACGAGAAGGACTCGTTCATGACGCTCTGCCACAAGCTGGGCCTGCCTATTCCCGACACGCAGATCGTCTCGAGTCGGTCGGATATCATTGAGTTCTTCGCCAAGAGAGGCGGCCTCAAGCTCACGCCGGGCGAGCCAACGCGCTATCTCATCAAACCCATTGGCGTCAACGACATTGCGCGCTTCGACATGCCGCTTCTGCCCCTGGAATCGGAGGAGGAGACGCTGCGCAGACTGGACAGCATCCCGCTCGGCAGCGGCAAGTTTATCGTGCAAGAGTTCATCCAGGGCTTTGAGTTCTGCACGCACGCCCTCGTCATCCGTGGCAAGGTGCGCGCCTTTGTGTCGTGTCCCTCGTCCGAGCTCCTGATGCACTACAAGGCTATGGACCCCGACACGCCCTTGAGCAACGCCATGCTGGAGTTTACCGAGAAGCTGGCCGCCTCGCTCGGCGAGACGTTCACCGGCCACGCCAGTTTTGACTTTCTGGTCAAGGCTGGCGCGGACAAGGGCGAGGTCGTCGTCTACCCCATTGAGTGCAACCCACGCGTGCACACGGCCGTCGTCCTCTTCAACGACACGCCCGAGCTCGTGGCCGAGTACCTCTCTGTTCTCCACGACACGCCGAGCAGGGGACCGCTCGTCGTGCCGCGCGACCCGCACAAGTACTACTGGCTCGGCCAGGAGGTTGTCGAGCGTCTCCTGTATCCCTTGTACCGCGACTTTCCGGCCCTCCCGCACAAAACGCCCGAGTTTCGGAGCTTTGTTGAGCACGTCCAGTACTGGAAGGACGGGACCTTTGAGACCTGGGACCCGTGGCCGTGGTGGTGGCTGTATCACGTCTACTGGCCCGTACAGTTTGCGCGGTATCTCGTCTGGGGCCGCTGGCACAAGGTCAACGTCAGCACAGGAAAGGCCTTCCAAGCCAAGTGAGTGAGATGATGGCTCACTGTTTTCCTCCCTTTCATAGCATTAGAATCATGGCCCCCTCATCTAGATTCATCATATCGTCCGACCGTGTCGCTTTACCTCCCCAGACCACTGTGCCCTTGGTGTCGACGGCAAAGGCGCCCGCCTCCTGCCACTTGTTGCCCAGGACGCCCCCCTCGTCGTCCTCCGACACGGCGCCTATCCGTGTGACGGCCGCAGCCACTTCGTCGCCGAGCCAGCCCTTTTCCTTCCAAGCCTGCGCCTGCGCGGCCGGGTGGAAGAGGTACATAAAGTTGCCGAGGCCCAGCCCCCACGACGCGTAGAGGCTGCGCTGCTCGTCGATGAGGACCTCGACGTCCCAGGCGCCGCCGATCATGTCGATCCATTTCTTGGTCGCGTGCGGGGACGAGTGGGACACGGCGACGCAGCGGATCGTGCCGACGTGGCGGTTCGCGATGGATCGGAGGGCGAGAAATGTCTTTTGCGCGACTGGTCTCGGTTAGCGATAGTCTAGGTAACACAGAGATGAGGAAAACGTACAGGCACAGCCCACGCAGCGCAAGAAGACGACCAGCGTCCTCTTCCCACCGAGCTTCAGCCGCGCATGACTGTCCACGGGCGCCTTGTCGCCGACATTGGGCACGCGCGCGACGTGGACTGGTGGCGGGGGCGGCGCGAACCACGGACTGATGGTCAGCGGTAGACTCTGCACGTTCCACGAGCCCATCCAGGACGCCCAGCCATTCTCCGCTTCCTCCTCGGGCGTGGGCTGCCTCTTGCGCAGCTTGTTTGGTTCGCGACGCGCCGTGCCAGTCGCCGGCGCAGACCATGTGGAGAGGTCAAAGGTCGAGGAGGGGAGGCCGACCTTTTTGAGGGCGACTTTGGTCCCGAGGCTGGAGAGCATGGTGATCGGCGGTGCGAGGGATCTGCGTGGTCGACTGGACTTGGAGGATGGTGTCAGAGGAGGAAATTGGTTGACGGACGAGCCACGAACCCCTGGGGCCTGGCTGGTTGGTTCCCCTGAAGGAGTGCATCATGCGGGCAGCCGGGTAAAAATGGAGATGCCGTGGGCGGCAGGGATGGTGTCGTTGGCGGCTGTGGGACTGTGGTGTTCTAACTTCTGTGACGACCAAGGTCGAGATGGATGCTATCTCGAGCTGCTTCACATGATGGACTAGATGCTCGAGTACTTGAAGGCTGTCGTGGATGGATGATACCAGACGGACGGATGGCATACTATGGTGAAGGTGAAAACGCTATCCTACACCGCGAGTAGACCCTTGCTTCAGACAGTGGCTCTAGGAGTAGAACACGTCAAATCTCTTTTTCTAGTGTGTCTTCGGCGCATCTCGGTGAACAGTTAGTTATCGCTCTCCCATTGAGGTCGCTTGTGGAAGAGCGTGCCATAGTCAGTCTCCTGGGCCTCTCGAATCCTTCGTGTCCACTATATCGTGTGCGAATTGGTGTGATCTTGGGCAAGAAAGAGTAGTCGTGCTCCCAAATACCGCGGTGGTTAGCAACTCGGCAACTCGGCGATGGGCCCTAATGTTGTAAATCCAGAATCTATAGCGCGTGCGATATTGAGATCTCCATCGACGACTATCTTGCCATGATAAAGATCTGGGTGGGATTGCTGTGGGCAGTTGCTGTTGCTATTGCAGCCTAGTGTAGGGTAGGTGTACGAGTGCAACATGTCGCCCAAGAGATCACCCACGATCAAGTTCATCAACACGTGCCGCAATACGCGGGGTCGTCTATCTTTAGGCTCCATTGCCCCAGTCGCCAATTAGAGTGAACTGTGAAGTGTCGCCATGGCCTGAGGGCAGGGCTAGAACCGGGCGAGTCTGGAAACCTTTGGGGATGGTGATGCGTTACAGCACATGTCGTCAAACTGCGCTGATGCTCGACCCCTCTATGAAACTAACCGATCCCGTTATCGGGCTGTGCTGCGTCGAAGAGGTGTAGTGAACAAGGCTGGCAGGTCACAAGGTGAGCAACGATCTCTCATCGAAATTACCACAAACGGGTTGGCGCTCCCGGTGTACGATGCCGATCCCGACTGTGGCGGGTCAAGGCAGCACGGCGTGTGTCCCCGGTCACGAGCTTGTAAGCCTCAAGAGCCATAAATGAGACTGTATAGGAAAATTTCATCATGTGAATTCATGTCCAAGGTAGGTGAATGAATCCAAGAGGGCATGGGTTGTGAAGGCCCAGCAGCTTCATCCCCCTTTTGTGGTTCTCCGCCGTGCTCTCTTGGAAATTACCCGATTAGGAAAAACCCAGACATCATATTAATGAGCCCCAATCCCCATCTTGTCCCCTCGCGCGCCTGTGAGAATTTGTGTGCTTTTTTCCAGCGGTTGAAAAATCCCCTTTGACATAACTAGCATGTTCGACGTCCTCGTCATTGGCGCCGGCCTGAGTGGCCTCCAGGCCGCCTACTCCTCGCAGCAAGCTGGTCTCAGTGTCGCCGTCATCGAAGCGCGCAACCGCGTCGGCGGAAAAGTATGGAGTGTGCCTCTGGCGTCCGCCGACGGAGTCGCTGACCTGGGTGCCGCATGGGTGAACCTGAACACCCAGAAGAGGATGGCCAAGTACACCAAGCAATTCGGCCTCGAGACGGTCACGCAGCGGCTGGAGGGCAAGGCAGTCATGCAAGAGGGCAAGGATGAGCGCATGGAGTTTCCCTTTGGCATCACGCCAAATGTGAGTCCCATGTATACTGCATGGCAAGACTGATTGAGTATTGATGTCAAAAGTTCGCTGCCGACGACAAAAAGGATCTGGAGCGCATCCGAGATCATATCCAGAAAGAGTCCCTCAAGAGAGAGCCTCCTCGTCCGGAAGATGACAATCTCACCCTGGATCAGTATATCAGGAATTTGGGTGCACGGGAAAAGACGATCAAAATGATCAATGTCTGGGCGCAAGTCATGCATGGGGTGAACTCAACAGAGGAGTCGGCAGCCTTCTTCATCGACTACTGCCGCACAAATGGTGGACTCTTCTCCATCCGCGCCGACGACAAGACAGGCGGCCAGCATCAGCGTCTTGTGAAAGGTGAGGATATCTGTGTAGCTGCCCTCAATCTGTCTACTTTCTGACAACGTAGCCAGGCACGCAGCAGTACGCCGAGGGCCTCGCCGACTTGGTAGGGCGTCAGCATATCCACCTGTCCCAGCCTGTCGCCTCTATTCAAGACCTCGGTCGTCACGTCGCCGTCACAACCACGCATGGCACCGTCTTCCACGGACGCAGGTGCATTATCTCCGTTCCCAGCGCCATGTACAAAGGGCTCAACATAACACCGCCGCTCCCACCACCCAACCGCAGCGTCTACGACTCGACCAAGCTGGGCCACTACAACAAGTGCATAGTTATGTATCGCAAGCCGTGGTGGCGGGAGCTAGGCTTCAACGGATTCTTCATCAGCTACACCGGCCCAGTGAACATTGGCCGCGACACATCCGTCGACAGCAAGGGTGTATATGCCTTGACGTGCTTCGTGAATGGGAGTAACGGCGTCGAATGGAGCAAATTGTACCCCCACGAGCGGAGGACGGCAGTGATAGAGCAGCTCGCGCAGGTATACAATGTCGGCAACAAGAGGGACGCCGACGTCTATCATCCCTCTGAGGTGTATGACTTTGTCTGGAAGCATGAGCCGTTCAGCCAGGGGGCCTTGGCCCCTATCACGGATATTGGCCATCACACCAAGTATGCAGATGTGTACGGGAAACCAGTGGGCAACGTGCATTTCGTCGGCACTGAATATTCGAAGGAATGGAAGGGCTACATGGAGGGTGCGCTGTGTTCGGGCGAAAAGGGGGCTGCTGAGGTCAGCGAAGCGTTGAGGCTTCAAGCGCGGTTGTGAGGATCCTGGTATCAAGCTTTCATTACAGCAAGCACTGATTTATAGTTTACATGATGAACACCTTGGGCTCAGGCAACAGGGCTGGCCAGTCCACGTCTCCACCAGAACTCCACACAGCTTCCAACAGATCTAGCGCTCTGGGGATATTCCCGAATCCATTCCTTGTATACTGCCTGGTCAGAAATGCCCTGAAAAACTCCTGACTGTCGGGATTCCTCGTTTCCGACGCCACAATGAAACTGGACCACGTAACAATATGTTCCCCTGGCGCGTCACGGGGAAACGTTCCAAAAGTCTCGATAAAGTTCTCGACTCTGTCCTCGTTGACCCATGGTACGCCTAGCACACGGTCGATGTATATGCTAAATGCCTGACGCCGTAGATCAGCCAGGATGAAAAACTTCTCTGCATGCTGTGGGTATCTGTCCATGTAGTACGTTAGACAGTCGAAGCTGGCGGCTGATTGTGCCGTCATGGCATGGAGGCCTGCGTCCGGACTGAGTAAAGGGGCAGCATACACGCGCATTCTACACGCTAGTTAGCCAGTACATTCAAATGACCTTTGGAATGCCCTACTTTCGGATCTGCCGCAGAGAAAACTCGGCCACCTCTCCACCGTGGACTAGTTCTTCCTCGCCACCAATGGCGTCGAGCGCCGACTGGAGCATCCGGAACATAACCGGAAAGTCCGAGCAGCCGTTGATCATGACCACCACCAGAAGGACCACGATAGCCAGGATAACTCTCTGTCTTGTCTCGACATCGCAGCCCGTGAGCTCCCGCCGCTGTTGTAGTTTGCGAATGGCGCCTGCGTACAATGACTCGGGATGTGCGTTGTAGCCTTTATTGCCCGCCAGGTGGAAGGCGGAGGCGGCGAGCACGGCGCTCAGGACGAGATCGTCTGTGAGCGCGATGGGCAGGACTAGATGCCGGAATCCATTGCATGTGCTGTCGATGACCACCATTTCAGGTGCAATCTGCTCGGAAACTGGTTGGTCAGTCATGGTCTTTTGGTCTGCTGATGACGTACACACAATGTGACAATAGGAATCTCGTGGAAGAGTCTAATAAGGACAGTCCCGGAGACAAGTAGGCGTATTCAGCTCGGTATACGTCCTCAGTCGGGCTGGGTGGTGAGGCCAAGGCCAGGTCGCCATCTTGATGTTGTTCTACTGTGGCAGCTGCGTCGTCGTCACTGAAGAAACAAGTGTCGCTACTTGACGCATACTCGGTCAAGATACCAGAGGCACTTGGTTCGTCGTCTTCTGTGGTATCTCTGGGCGATTGGACTGCTTGCGTGGTGTTGTTGGAATCGATGCTGCATGGCGCCGAAACACCTGCTGCAGCGCTCGCCATCATTCTCCAGTATCTCCTCTCACCTGGCTTCTTGCTCCCTCTGCACAGTCCGTCGCGAAACCTGAACTTGACGGGGCCAAAGCCACTGCAGCTGAGGCTCTTGGAGTCACACTTTCGGCAAGACGGCTCTGTTCTGTCGCAGTCTATGCGACGCTGCGAGCATTCATAGCAGCCTAAGACGATTCAGCATGAACAACTAATGATGAGTGAATTCCGGATGAGACGAGCGCACCTTTGATCTTGGGAATATACGACCTCTTTCTGCGAGGCATGGTTCCAAATTCCAGACTTAGGTTCCAGTCGTCCACAACATGAGGCAGCGACACTCAGATCGCTTCAGGCGGCGGCACGTCTGTCCAGATTAAGATGCCTCGCGATTGCAGCTGTTTGGAAGAAAGGGCGGCCCTCGCACGGGACATTCAAGTCTGCGATTATCGTGATAGTGGCAGCGATTGGAGCTCCGAAGGCCGGTGTGGCTGTTATCTTGTTGGGGTCTCCCTATCTACCGTCTACCCCGCAAGCAACGGCTGGTGACAACGTCGACGACAACAAAGCATTCTCTCAGTCATAGCAAAGGGCAGCCTGGCCAGTCAGCGGTCACCGCTATGCCAGCTGACCGCCTGTGCAACTGATTCAAGGTTTGGAAATGGCCCGGCTAGCACAAAACTGCCGGATGTCGGTTTCGCGGGGACGGTGTCCGTGCTGAGGGGTGTGTGCAGTGCGCGTGTGCAGGTGACACTCGGTAGCTGGACGCGTTCTCCTCCGCCTCTTATCCTCTGTCTGGTCATCTGCGTGCCTTGCAGCCTTGGTGTTGATATCATTCTGAACGGTATATTACGATTGGTCGCTCTCAGGCGCGTTGACCGTCTCCTGCGCGCGGACCGTCGAAGTCGAACCAAGTGTCACGCTCTGGAATGCCGAATTTCTGTCAAGCATTTGCTTCTCTGTTTGGTAACCAGACAGTATCGAACGCATGAGACTTTCAAAGAGCCTCTATCCGGACTGTCGACTTGATGCAACACTCCAGGCCTGTTTGTCAACAAACTTTCCAGGTCTGATTCCTATCGCAATGTCAGGAACGGCTTTGGGAACGCACAGCATGCGAGATAGACTCACAGTTATGACCACACATCCGGCCTCACCACAGTGATCCGTCCAAGCCGGTCATGGTGCGCCATTCAGCTGATCGGGTTTGGTGTCCGTCCGCCGTCTCCCCAACCATCCTCGGGACAGAATGTCCGTCTTTGTTCCCGCTTCGACCCCAGATTCGATTCGAAACCAACATTGAATCTCCGCAGTCGGGCTGCTTATCCCCTCCCCCGACCTTTGCATAGGGTCTCAGGGAGGGTGTGTGCCTACAAAGCTGCGTGGATGCCCGGTGCACCAATCCAATCATGGCCACTGTCCTAATCTGGTTGTGAAACGACAAACACTGCATGGGCTGCCACGATGGTATCTCAATCTAGATTCCGCAGAGGCCCAATGAGATACCTCTCTGTCGGCCTAGTTCATGGCAGAACCATGATGTGTGCACAACAGCAGATTGCTCCTGCGCACCATGTGATGTTCGTATCGCTCATGATGGCCTCACTTTTGGCCGCGCACCGACGCAGGACTCTCTCCCATCCTTCTTCTTTGGGGCCTGGCGTATGAGTTTGATCATCATCTAGCCTTCTGCCGGCATCGGGGATGGCAAGTGCCCCTTTATGTTCATGAGGCAGCCTGGACAGTTATATAATGGGTAGAGATCTAGTCTCGAAGCGTTGCCCATACTACACATTCTTACATCGCACTAATTTAACATCTAATTAGAAACCTATTGCTGATAATACAAAGCGCTAAGCTAGAGATCGACAACTCATCCCCCATGGCTACTTCAGTACTTCCCATCAGCTTGCCTCCACTGGCACCACCAACCGTCGTCGGACCCAAAGTCAGATGTCCCACTCGCCCAACACACTCTCTGCCACAGTATCTCATCGACGAAGCCCGCATACCGGAGCGCGTGGCGTTCGACCCGAAGAAGCACCTCAACTATGTCGAGCCGGACAAGATCTACTCCATGCGGGAGATTGGCCTCGAGGGGCAGGGTATCTCCAACACAGCTGCTTCGACGCCGTTTTCACTGTTCACACCCGAGGCCATTGCGCAAATGAGAGCCGAGATATTCAGCCAGCCTGTCCTGGAAAGCTGCCAGTACTCCTCCGACTTTGCCAAGAATATGATCCGAGGGTTCGGTCCCAGGTGAGGGTGTTCCCCCATTGCGACACAAGTTCCCAAATTGACCTCAGTAAAGACTAGCACCCTTCATCTTCGCAGCTTGGCATAGCCCAGAGGTCTTGGCTGCCGTCTCCAAGATTGCAGGCATCGAACTTGTACCTGCCATCGAGTTTGACGTCGGCCACATCAACATTTCCGTGAACAATGCCAACACCGAGCTGTCCCAGATCAAAGACACGACCAATTCGGACGATTCAGCATTTGCATGGCATAGAGACAGTTTTCCGTTTGTCTGCGTGACGATGCTGTCCGACTGCACTGGCATGGTTGGTGGCGAGACAGCCCTGAAAACTGGTTTCGGTGACATTATGAAGGTCAGGGGACCAGCAAAGGTGGGTTACCCCAGATGCAGACCCAGACACCTACTGATAAGAGTTCTAGGGGACTGCCGTCGTCATGCAAGGTCGGTACATTGAACACCAGGCTCTCAAGGCGATGGGTGGCCGAGAGCGTATCTCCATGGTGACCTCCTTTCGACCAAAGAACCCCCTCATCCGCGACGAGGTCGTCCTCACCGGGGTGCGTGGTATCAGCACGCTCCCTGAGCTCTACGGCCAGTACACACAGTACCGGCTCGAGGTGCTTGAGGAGAGAATTCGAGCCATGGAGAAGAAGATCAGGGACAGAGAGCGCTGTGGCCGCACATTTGATATTAGCGAGGCCAGGAGTTTTGTCACCGAGCAGAAGCAGTTCTTGGAAGCAACGTTGTTGGAGTTGGTCGAGTGAGTGGGTGGATGGTGTTGATCAAGGAACATTGGGTGGAATGAAGCTTTGGTTTAGTGATTACGCAGCGTGATGATAATGAGCAAATGATTCTAGGCATGAATTCACTCATGGAATTTCTGTGGTTAATTGGAAGGTCGTCTTTGTACAACTCGACGCTCCCAGCACACTCACAGTGGCTTGAGCATGTGTCTTTCCATAAACTTGGAACATCGCTGAGGCGTTATTTGATCAGCGCGGGTCGACCCTAATAGTAGCACCGTGCAGCTTTGGTCGGCAATGAAATGTCCCTTCGGTTAGTTTACAACGTGTTGATCAACTTCAAGCACGGGCATAGGGCTGACTCGGCCTTCCCTACTATTCGAGTCGGCTTGGGCAAACATCAATAGCGAGTGTGGCCGACCAAAAAAATCCACCGAACAAAAACGCGGGGGATTCATCAAACGGTGCGTATCTACATGTACGTAGTATGCGTCTCATCACCTTCACGATGCCTTGGCCAGTGTCATGCCAAGCGCTGCTGCTTACTGTAGATGCAAGGGTCAGGAAGGTTCCAGCCACGAGGTCCGTGCCATTGCAACCAAAGCTTAGGCAAACTTAAAAGGAAACCCAATGGGCAATAGACTCGTAGATCTGGTATTAAACTTGAAGTCAATTCCGGCGGAGCGTGGATCTGGGCAACAGCTAAGGTTTCGCACAGTCAACACCACTGCGGCTGAAATCGCGTAAAATACTATTTATACCGCTTTGGAGTAGATGGGGAATGTTTTCAGGGAATCGTGGCCCTCCTATATGGGTCAATGTCGTCAAAAGGTCCGAGATCATCCACTTATTCCAGGCACGGATGCTGCCAGATTCCGGGACCCTCGTTACTGTCAGCATTGTCATGCTTGGCCCTTCTGCTAGATGAAAGATTAAAGTTTGTGAGTACGCTGCTCGATGCAGGCATTCTGTTGCTTGGCATCTCTACGCCAGCGCCCCGGCGCATAATTGCAGTACGAGGACATCAAATGTAAGCGACCTGACACTCGCTTATAGCTCGATACATGTTTTTTGCGTCGAGGTCGATAATCCCGCCGAGTGCTATTGCCGTCATGTATTATCACTGGTCGGCCTTATTTCTATCCTATAAAGAGGGTGCTTGCCCTTGTGGCATTGATATCATTGACGCCTTGAGAGAGCACGCGGCACACCAACGCTGGCTGCTCAGACCTCATAACAAGGCAATGTGTTCACGTACAACTTTCCACCCATGGGCCAAATCGGAGGCGAGACCGGAGTTGTACTCCCGAACCTTGACCACGCCCGAGTTTGTTCTCGCCATGCTCAATGAGTATGCCCTGGGCCAAAGCTGCCCATCTCTAGGGGTGACTGTCTCGGTCGACCGCTCTGTGCCTTCCACGCTCGATATCCAGACACTCAGTTCGCGTCTAGAGCAGGCCTTCATAGCTACGCGATGGACTCATCCGACAGTGGCGATCCAGGTCAGGGGCAGCAAGGAAATGATTTATCGTGTCCACGATGCAGAGGGGGTGGCCACCTGGGCCAAGCGCACGGTGCAGTATGTAGAAGCACCAGGGGGCTGGCTCGCCAAGTACGAACAATTGAGTCGCGAGGCTGTCTTGCCCACGGCTATCGGCGATTCTGCGCTTCTCCATCTCGTTATGAGTCCTGAACAAGCTAGCAAGTCGCAGATCACCGAATTCGACCTACTTCTTCACGTCCACCACTCTCTCGTGGACGGTGCAGGTCTCAGGACCATCATGAATTATATCCTGACAGAGCTCGCCACCTCTGATTCGTCAATCTCTTTCTCATGGGGCGAGGAGGGAGACAGTCTTCAACCGGCGGCTCTAGACGCTGCTCCCATCTCCAACGAATTATTGAAGTCACTGGCGCAGATGCCAAAGGAGGTACCGTCACTACCCTTCCCAGTTGACGATTCATAATGTTAACAAAAGACCCCAGATATCCCTCCCGCCGTTAGTGAAGCCTGACGAAGCGAGGCGAGGGACAGGCGTTGTGACCTATACTATTCCAAACGCTCATAATGGGGAGACGGAATTTCTCAGCCATCTTAGGACGCGGGCCAGGGCCAACAACGTCCGGCTGGCTGCCACTATCCAAGCCGCACTGGTCATCACTCTCTACGACGAGGTCAAGCCCACTGAGGACAAGGTCGCCACCGTCATTTCCGGGGTTGACTTGCGGGCGAGGGATCTGAACAAGCCGTGGGGCGAGCGCAACAGGTTTGTCGGTTTCGCGGTTGGTCTGTTGGAGATTATACGGACACCCGTGTCCCTGCTCGAGGACCTAGAGGGCGAAGAGCGTTTCTGGACGGTTGCGCAGCAGATTCAGAACGAATGGAACGCGGTTTCTGAGCGCCAGGATGTGGCAGCATTAGGTGAGCTTCGTCGACCAGCAACAGCGTTCGTTCTCCAGATGGCTCTGTAAGTCATCCAGTTAAAGTCTGCAATACGTGAGACTGCGCTCATCCACCATCTTCTCCCTAGGGCCGGCGTCAACAAGTCATCCCCGAAGTTGGATATGAGTGTCAACTATGTGTCGGATCCGCCAGGGGACAACCAGTTTGATGGCGTCTATCAGGACGAGCAGAGCAGGTTCAAGCTCGCAAGGTATCAGCTCGTGACGGATGAGAGCACGCCCAGGCTGTAAGTGCCCCGGCTTCCAAGAAAGCGTCTGTCACTTGCGTTGACAACTTTGCTCCCGTCACAGATCATGTCGGTCGCACTCGTGGAATGGCGAACTTGTTCTGGGGATCTCCTTCAGCTACAAGCACCACACAAGAGACGCTGTTCAGGGCTTCTTGGACAAGTGGGCGCGCTTGGTCGAGTCGCTTGGGCAGAGTGATACGACTGGTATTTCGGGAGACGTGACCGATCACAACGATTCGTGATCGCCACTGGCCTGGACTCTCAGGGTGACGGCGGAGGAGGAAGAAGTCGTTCTCGGGGAACGTTCATAGCTGCTGGTGAATGACCACAGTGGCGATGTGAACGACGTTATTTCGGAAACATGGTGCATTGTAGCATCCTTTGTGCCGTAGACATCTACCGTATCTGCCCACTTGGAAGCCCAGAGGACTTGGCCAACTTAATCAGAACAATTACCATCGCTCATGGTCTTCGTAATGAACTGATGTTGTTCATGTTCAGCTTGAAAATATCGAACAGTGAACAATATCTACGAGCGCGATGTATCGGCTGCTGCGTCGTCGTGAGTCGTGGACTCGTGACGTGTGCCAAGCTCGACGCGGAGGTGTAGCCCACTAATTCCCCGCCGATCCAGCCCAGGTCCTGTGGGGTTATGGGCAACTTGTGGCAGGTCGGAAGCTCCCTTCTGGACAGTGAATATCCACACGATCTAACGGTATGTGGCTTCAATACCCGTGGCAACAGTCTACCTCGTACGTATAAAAGGGGCGTTGAAGGCGGGGTGAACCTTGATGTCCAAGTCAAGTCCCGAATTCATCGAGAAAGCAAACGCCCAAGTTCGCAAATATGACCACCAAGGGAAGCTGCATGTGTGGGGAGGTCGAGTACCAGTTCACTGGTGAGCACCCTCTTGGTGATGGTGTGTCTAATTGGAGCCCCTACTGATCATTTTAGGCGAGCCTGCAATGAAGGCTCTGTGCCACTGCATTGATTGCCAAAAGGTTAGCTTCCGCCCCTACATGGGATATTGTTTGCGCTGACATTGGAGCAGTGGACTGGCAGTGCCTTCACCTCCAACGCTGTCGTGGCTCGAACCTCTTTCCAGGTGAACAAGGGTATGTGTGGTTTGCCTGTGATACCGCCGAGCGTACCATGAGATGCTGATGCGAATAAAAGGAAGCCCAAAGGCTTATGACATCACGGGTGACTCGGGTAAGATCAACAAGCACTTCTTCTGCTCCAACTGCGGATCCAGCCTGTACACCGAGCTTGAGATCATGCCTGACATGACCGTCATTAAGGCTGGCGGTCTGGATGGCGGCGCTGCAAGCCTTGGTAATGCGGTTGGCGCCGAGCTCTACGTGAAGGATAGGGTCTCCTACCTCCACAGCATCGAAGGCGCGAAGCAGGAGCAGAAGATGTAAAGAAGACGACGAAACAGATCAAATGATGAAGATTGAAAAGTTGCTGCACTCGTCGATGCTGCTGGTGTCGTGAATCACGCTGTAGACATAATGTTGCTTGGGTTTCGGCGCGTATTGCCCGGCGGTGCTCATCCGTAGTCTGCAGAGTGACAACATTCACCCGGCGGGGAAATCCTTCCGCAGCACCGACATATGCTGCGCCGGAAAGGTGCGGTGAATTTGACGACTCTTGCAAAAAGCTAATCGCTCTTAGGAGACCACCCAGATTGAGCACTGCAATGTCTCTCGCGGGAAAAGTATTCACAGTCACCGGGGGCGCCAGTGGCATTGGTCTCGCTACTGCTCGCAAGATCGTCGAACGAGGAGGCACCGTCTGCATTGGTGACGTCGACACGTCAGCGTTGGAGAAAGCGGAGGTCGAGTTCTCGTCCAAGTCTTCGCCGTACTCTGTGACGAGGATTGATGTTTCGCAGAGGGCGGAAGTGGACAACTGGATTGCCGACTGCGTGGCCAAGTTTGGTCGTCTCGATGGGGCCGCGAATATCGCGGGCGTCACAGGGAAGGATCACGGCCAGAAGGTAGTGCGGGACCAAGACGATGGCGAGTGGCACAAGATCATCGGCGTGAACCTGACGGGGGTGATGCACTGTTTGCGAGCGCAGCTGCGCGTGATTGAGGACAAAGGGTCCATTGTGAACATGGCGTCCATCCATGGACATCGAGGTGAGTGCCAGTATGTCACGACGGTCGTCATGCTCACCAGTGGGCCAGGCATGGCCAACTATGCAGCGTACTCCGCCAGCAAGCACGGTGTCATAGGGTTGACTGAAGCGGCTGCTCAAGAGAACGGTCAGCGGGAAGTGAGGGTGAATGCTGTGGCACCTGGACCAATATATACGCCCATGATGCAGAAGCATTGGGACATGACCGGCCGGCCTGCTGGTGCGCCATTCGACGACCCGATTGCCTTCCCCAGACAAGGAACGGCGGAAGAGGTAGCCAACGTGGTCCTCTTCTTGTTAGGGCCAGAAAGCAGCTTTGTGAGCGGTAGTTGCTACGATGTTGATGGTGCCTGGACATAGACACGAAAGAGACGCGTGAAATAGTGCTGCTGCTGGCTCAACATGTGCTTCATGTTAATTGGTGATAAGTCCGTACCTCAGGTTTAGGTCCTCCGGCGGCTGATTTCGTACCGAGTTTTGTACACGCGTAGCAGCAGCCCTTGAGAGCGCCTGTAACCGGGAATTGGCCAGGCCGCCAGGGCTGCTATGGACCCATTCAGGGTCTGGAGATCTCGTCCCGCAAGACCGTACCCCTGCCTGCAAATACCATTTGAAACCTTTTCCACTTAAAATAGATGCTTCAGACCTGAGGCTCGTGAGAAACTGTCTGGCCTCATCACAGTATCATTGACTTTTATCAACCAGCAGAATGCGTGCACTGTGACGACATGGAGAGCATTTCGTTCCTGCGCCGGGCCGCTCTTTCTGGCGGCTGATAGCATGGGCCCAGGCCGTGGCTTGCCAGTGCGGCCGGGCTTTAACATGTGGGGTCAAGGACATTTGCGTGGCGGCCCCCAAGAGACTCCAAAGACCACTGCAAGTTTGCAACTGCGCCCTGACAGTGAACGTAGATGGCGACTGGGCCGTGATCGCCCGCTTGCTAAGCCTATCTTGACCAGAAACTCAAAGTCACTGTTACGCGGAAGACAATTCACTAGTACAGCATAAGCAACGAGCTAATACAGTAACCATGTTTCGCCCCTGACTTATAGCTGGCGCTGTTCACACACAGAGTTCAAGGACATGAAGGTCCACTTTAGTGCACCCGCCCGCCCTACCAGTCCTTGGAACTCATCACCATCGGCTCAGAAGCCACGTCCCAGGTTCTAGATCGACTGTTGTTAATGAGATGGCGGGTTTTGTAGTGGGAGATATGGAAGTGGCGAGGGAGATTGATCCCGTGCACGTGTTTAAGTCGTCTCTTGTGGCAGCAGCAACAGTTATGGGCGACGTGCACACCTACAACTGTTAAGACCGCACCTGCCCCACAGATCGAGTCGGAGCCAGAGCCCCTTTCATCACCACCACCACTATCACCGTCCGGGCGCGCATCACGTCGTTCCGTCCTTCCAAAGTATCAATGCTGCTGGGGGACAAAGACGACCACAAACGATCATCAGAGCAGCTGATACTTTCATCCTCGCCCGAACATCATCTCTTGTCTGTGCACTTCTGAGCACCGTCCGCCTCGCCCACTCATTCGCCCAGTACGGAGTACGCTCACTCGGATTTGTACCTGCGCAACCATCTACGACCGGCGACTTGCAGAGCAAGTTGCGTCCTTCCTTGTTTTCTTTTTGTCCATGACTTAGCCTGCATTGCACCATAGACTCTTCGAGACTACGATACCGACCTCGCATAGCGCAGAACTGCCTCGTGAACGACCGAACGGCCGCCACAGTCGACCAGGCTTCCAACGACAACAACGCGCCTCGCTCCATGCGCTCCGCGTGCAGCTTTACCGGTTGTTTGTCACTCGACGCTTGAGGCGACTGGACGTGAGACTATACTGTACAAAGTGCGACAGCTCGGCGTCTTCCTCGGTGGACGGAGTCGAAATAGCGTGCCCCTGGTGTGTACGACGTGCTTCGATCCGAAAGGTAGCTGCACTTCGGCCAGAGATTCCTCCCGACCAGTCGCTCGTCCGCTCACCTGGCCACTGTCTTTCAATATCGCGGATTTCTTCCCCTTTGGTGCTTGTCCTGCGCCATCATCGAAGACCACACTGTCGCTGCCTACCTGTGTCGATTGCCAGAACGGCGAGCTTCACCTCGGTCCCGTGAGCCTCAACAGTGCTAGCTAATACCCGCTTCATGGACTCCAGCATTTCGACGGCAGAAACCCAGCAGTCTTACCCGTTCCCTTTGATACCTGCTTGGAAAAACACAGCAGCGTCTCTGTCGACGACATCATCGGCCACTGCACCTGTGGCAGCGACCGGAACAAAGGACGCTTCTGCCACCAGACCCACCTCGAATACCTCCACTTCCTCGACCACCACCTCCACCACATTTCCGAAGGCGAATTCTACAGTCACATCCACCGGCTCAATTCCGAACTCGTACTCCTACCACGCATCTCGAAGCCATAATCTGGACGGTTCGCTTGAGCTCGCCGCGCATTCTACCAGTCTCGCGCCCGCGCCGGCTTATGCTCAGACCTTGATCCCCTACTACTGGCTGCCGCATCAGTTCCACCTCCACCACGCCCAAGTCGCGAATTACAACAAGCTCGTGTCGCCTACGAGAGGGGGTGGCCTTCAGAACTCGCCACTGCCGCCTGTGCTGTCGGCTTCAAACGCTCAGGCAGCGACACGGTCGCGCTCGTCAAGCAAGGTGTCTCTCAAGGATCATTCGTGGACAAAGGGGGCTGTAGCTGGAGGCCATGGGAGCCGACCGCATACACACTCGGACAAGAACAGATCCGTCATAGTATCTAACAAGGACGCCTCGTCTAATGCCAGCATGCCTCGACATACGCAACTCAAGGACAAGGCCACTGACGCTGGTAGCCGATCGACAACGTCCTCTGCGCCGCTACATTCCCAAAGTGCTCCGTACTCGAGCTCGGTGCCGTCCACTCCCCATCAGCGAGCCCGGCAATTCTCCGTCGAGTCACGAGAGCCTTCGCCTAGTGAGCATTTTGGCGGTAACCATTCTCCACGATCGGTTTACTCCGAGACAAACGGCAATGTTCCTTCCCTGAAGCCTCTCCCGCCGCCAAGGTCGGACGCAAGAGGTTGTCCATACGAAACGTCGCAAATGATTCAACGACGTCGGTTCCCGTACGACGACGGTGGCAAATACAGTGTCGAACCTATACCGTTGGGCAGCGTGAAAGGGAGATTGACAGAGGAGGAAGAGCGCAGTCTGGCCAAAGACATGCGCGAGCTCTACGAAACCCGCTTATTACCAAGCGAGAGAGTCGAAAAGAACCGTCAGAAACTGCTGCGCAAATTGGAGAAAATCTTCAACGATGAATGGCCGGGACACGATATCAAGGCGCATCTCTTTGGGTCCTCTGGAAACCTGTTATGCTCGGATGATTCAGATGGTTAGTTCTCTTTGCTGGTAGAGCCGGTCGATTTGCTAACCTCGGGCAGTGGATGTGTGCATCACCACCGACTGGAAAGAGATGGAGAATGTCTGCAGGATAGCAGCACTGTTGGATCGGCGTATGTGCTGCCCCTGGCCCACTTACTTATGTTCGAGAACTGACTTTCCTAGACGGCATGGAAAAGGTCGTCTGCATCTCTGGCGCTAAGGTGCCCATTGTCAAGATCTGGGATCCAGAATTGTGCCTTGCCTGTGACATGAACGTCAACAACACTGCCGCCCTCGAGAACACTCGAATGGTGCGAATATATGCCGAAATCGACCCCAGAGTGCGACAATTGATGATGATCATCAAGTACTGGACACGCAAGAGGATAATCAATGACGCAGGGCTGGGGGGTACACTCAGTTCCTACACGTGGATATGTCTTATCATTGGCTTCCTGCAGCTACGGACGCCCTCGGTCTTGCCGACTCTTCACGCGCTGCCCTTCAAAGTGTCAAGACCTGGTGCCGAGCCAAGTAGTTTTGCGGACAACCTGAAGCGACTCAAGGGGCTCGGCAACGACAACAAGTCCTCCGTGGCGGATCTTCTGTTCCAATTCTTCCGGTTCTATGCACACGAGTTCGACTACGAAAAGTATGTTTTGTCGATACGGTTGGGTAGAGTGATTCCGAAATCAGACAAAAGATGGCGAGGTGGAGGTAATAATTGGCTCTGCGTGGAGGAACCGTTCAATACAGAGCGGAACTTGGCCAACACTGCGGACGAATACACCTTCAGAGGACTGCGGTGGGAGCTGAGGCGGGCTTTCGACCTGATATCTGATGCTAAGCTTCACGAAGCATGCGAGCAATTCGTGTATCCCAAAGAGGAGCGGATTGAGAGGCCGCGCCAGGCTCCTGCGCCACGACCGGTCCCGTTGCGAAGCGCGTCCCAGTCGAATACCAGCTCCAACGCCCGCGGTGGTCGTGGCGGCAATAGAGGAGGTCGGCACAACAACCACCGAGGCAACGCTGGTAGTTCTCAGTCTAACAGACGGTCATCCTCCAGCCAGCCAGCTTACGACCACGCGAGCAGCATGTACCCGGCGATCCTCAACACGCAGCAGGATCTGTCATGGTACACGAACCCGCAGTATGCCCATTATCCGTATCCACATGATTACATGGCTTTGTATCAGTCCCACCATATGCAACAGCTGTACGCGCAGCAGGCCTACAGCCATCAACAGCAGCAGCACCAGGGAATGGCGCAGCAGATGATGGCAACCGCTTCAAGTCCTGGGCAGTCGGCCTCGTCGGACAGGTCGCGCACCAATTCCTTTGACAACCAGCCGCAACCGCTGCCGCAACCACAACCGCTACAGGCTGCAATGCGGCCAGATTTGTACCAGTTGTATGGGATGTCCTTGGCGCCAGCGCTGTTTACCCAGGGAGGATACGCCTTCTCGCAGCCGCCTGCAAGCACCAACGGTGTTGCGCATTCGCAGCAAGACTATCGGCGATCCATGCAGAGGTCAGCGCTCAACGGCGAGAAGGGCGCAGCCGCTTCAAGCAGCACGCTTAGATCGCAGTCTCAACCGGCGGCCCGCTCACCATCAACATCGCACCCCGCTATCAACGTTCAGGCATTAGCTGGTTCCATGCCGACGAGCCACTCGGTGAACAGCGCGAGTATGGCGCAAGCGAACGGCGGACTGCCTGACGTTGCATCAACTCCCGACGAGGTCGACTTTGACGAAACTCCAAAAGCGATCGCCATCACTCCGCGAACTGATGAGGACCAACGAGCAACATACTTCTCGGAAAGTCCACACTCGATGCAGCCTACCGCCGAAGCACCCAGTGCTCCTCTTTCCAGTGACGCCAACGGGACTTCCAATAAACGACGCCCTTCTGGAGACCTCCCTCAAACCATCCTTGACCGAAGGATGAAGCGAACTTCCCGGTCGCCATCCCCTGCGCCTCCTCGGGACTATGTGACCCAAGGTCCAGCCAGTTCGCAGCCGTCTCCCAGCAAGCGGGTTAATGACCCTTCCCGGCCTCTGGTGGTGAACGGTTCAGGTCCTAAGGCTAGCCTGTCCGCCGCCTCACGCTCTTCTTACGGTGAGCAGCAGGCCATGTACCAACCATATGGTTTGCCGCACCTGCAACCAACCCCGTATCAGCCCATGAACGGATCCGTTGCGGCACTCCCCGGCAATCCTCCGATTATGGTGAATGGGATGCAGTCGACAACCAACCATCTTGCGACAGAAGACCCGTCGTTTCGCGAGCGCATTGCCATGATGAGCACTCAATACATGAACCCACAGTACCTGAGCCAGGAAACGCCGCCGGTGGGCAATGGAGGATTGTCGGCTGCGGCGCGACAGCAACTCATGAATCAGGGACCACAGAATGCGGTCATTGCTCCTCTCGATCTGGCCATCTCAGGCATCTCTGGAGAGATGGAAAACTCGCTCCTTTCGCCTGTTTATGAGAGCAGCGCACAGACACCCCCTGTGGCCAAGCCGGCTGAGAGCAGCAGGGCTGCCAAAGCGGCACCTTGGACAGGCGCGGTGAAGCAGCATCTAAAGCTTGATCAGCCTTTGCCTGAACTACCCAAGCCGTCTGCAAAGGCAGGCGGCAAGCCAACTGCGCAGGCGAAACCAAGTGGATCACATGGTGGTCACGTTCGTGGAGCCAAGAGCGAGAGTGACGGAGCATGGCAGAAGGCTGGGAAGGGTAAGAAGAAGACTGCAGCTGCCGGGACCCAGCATGGCTTTGCCGAGAGACCGCCCAAGGATTCCTCTGAGCGCAAGGGTGGTTGATTGTCGTTTTGAATCTCGCTGGAAGGAGGCGCGCAGATTCTACTCGAATGGCAGCAAAGCTTCTTTGGATACCGCACAGGCGAGCGTGCGCTTGGACATGTCTCTGGTTATACAGCCTGGGGGAAAGTATGTACGATTTGGTGCTGTCAGCGGGGCTCGCACCGGCACACATGGTCGACAACAAGGGCATCAAGACGAGATTGACTAGTATGGGAAACGAAAGGCATGGTACAGGTGTGCATATAAGGGACCGGATAACACTGGAACGGCGTTTGCACTCATTTGGTCTTTCAGCACAGCAAGCAAGCAAGCACAGCACAGCACAGCACAGCACAGCACAGCATGTTGAGGCATAGTTTCGGCAGGAGGAGGGCTCAGGGCAACTTGAGAGCATGGCGTCCATTTGTCATTGTAGATGCGGGTATCAGCACGTACGTTTCTACTGCTGGGAGATGGCTGGCTCTAGGTCAGTTAAAGGGGAAGAATGGCGGTCCATTGAAAAAGGATATACTTTGCCTTGTAGACACAAAGAAGGAAAAGGCAGCATTGGCAAGGAGTAGAAATAGCAACGAAATAAAGCGATGGTTTGAACGACTAATCCGGGGATCCGGGGGTTTGAGTGTCTGTTCGTGCTGTAATTAAGATTCCCTTGGTCTTTGGGGAGGATGCGGATGCCCCAGACGTGGCCAAGCGCTGGGGCGATGCGACCGTCAGTGAGGGACCGAGGGTACCTGTCAGGCCTACAGTTTCACGTGGGCTGAGATGTACTCCTCGTGTCTCCTTAGCATGTGCAGTCCCCCGCAATCGAACCCTGGGACGCGGATTTGAGGCGGGCAGCCAGTGGCCGCTGGGGGGATTTTTTGGTGGAGACTGTCCCTCAGCTGGCTGAAGTCCAGCCAGTCCAGTCCAGTCCCGTCTCGTCCGCCGAAACCGATCCAGCCCTCGCCTCCAGTCCAGTCGTACTTGCCTCCATGTCGTTCATTCATTCTACTTACTCGACCGTTGCTCCAAACTCCGCTTCTCCCATCCCCATTGACTGACGATCTCTCTCCCACGCCCCGTTTCCCGACATCTCCTTGCGCATACCCATCCTCGAGCACGTCTCTGCATCGCGACTTGACACACACACGCCCACACTCTGCATACTTCTGCGTATCCACAGACGCCCGCCACTTCGGCTCGCTCCCATTCTCCCTCTCCCGTCGCCGCTCCAGGCCGTGCCTCGCCCGTCTGAGCGAGCGTCGGATGACCACGCGAGCAGCTCCAACCCTGGCCAGCAAGGAATTGAACAGCGCGCGCTGCGTGCCCATTCATTGCCAGACCATCCTACGAACCATGCCACAAGCGGTCTCTCTCCTACACGACCCAGCTTGAGACTGGACCGGACTCTAGGCTGCACCTATACACCCACCCTTCCACCCATCCACGAGCGAGCGAGCGCCACCTCCCGCCGCCGAGGCCAGCTCCGATATCCATGTTCAAATCACCGAGCCGCGTGCGCACACATGCCCTCGATGCCTCATCGGCGTCTCCAAAATCGGCAGACATGGTGCAACGCAGCGAGATGAAGAAGATCTGGGGGTTGCCCAGGCTTTCAAGAAAGTCCAGTGGGCTGTTGTCGACCAAACGGGGAAACGTACAGTATACCCCTTCGAGGGAAATTTTGAGGAAACTGTTGGCTAACTATGTTTGCAGCGCTCTGATCAGACAGACTCCTACGACTCGCTCGGCATCCGAGATGGTACTGGCAGTTCGATCAACGAGGTGGATGGCAACCAGCGACAGCTGCGGGAGCTCGTGCACCGGATGCGGTCGGGGCCATCGGGCCCCAAGGAAATTGACAGCGCCTACGAGCTGTACATGAAGCACAGGGATCGCGCGCATGCGCTGTGCCGGTCGATCTTGGCAGACGAGTTCAAGCCGAGGCAGCTCTCCAACGTGACCGAGACCATGGCACGGCGCGACTCGTCCCTCGAGTCACCCAGCGGCATGTTCGACCATAGGAGCTCCTTCAGCGGGCGCAGCCTGACCGAGGTGGTGACAGGTAGCGCGGGCCGCAGCACGCACGTGAACGACAACGCACTGAGCATTGTCCGCGACTGGCGGATCTACCTGGAATCTCTCGCCGAGTCGTTCAAGCAGAACCTGGCGGACACGTATCGCAAATTTGAGACCGACGCCAATACAGAAAAGATTGAGGCGCTGTTCAACAACAAGAGATACAGAAAGGAGGCTGTGAATCGGATGAGGAATGCGAGCGTGACGAGGGTCATGTCCGCCGATCCGCAATTTGTGAGTTTCTCAAAGTGTCTCATCAGGTACGTCTTGGGCCTCCGGCTAACAGGAGATGCAGTTTCCCCGCTATGAGATACGCTTCCGCAACTACGAGAAAGTCAAGCAAGACCTCATCGAGACGCGCGCCCTGGTCCAGGCCGGCGAGTCGGGCATCTCCCCCGATCGCGAGTGTGAGGATATTGCCATTGCGCCGCTCGGCGATGCGATCCTCGAGTTTGCCAACCTCTCGCCCGAGGCAGTGGGCACCGAGCCTGTCGTCCGCTTCCGGGTGAACTCGCAGGTGCTCGCCCCGACGTCGCCCATCTTTGCCCGCATGTTCCCGCAGCACCACCAGAGTCCGCCTATGCACGACGACGACGACATCCACATGCACCTCCCGCCGCCTGCGACGCGGTACCTGTGCCGGGACGGTTCCGAGGCGAGGCTGTACCGCATGCCCCAGGTGGAGACGAACCGATGGAGATCCTTGGAGATCCTACTTTACGCCGCTCACATGCGCGCCGACAAGATACCCCGCGAGGTCGAATTTGAGCAGTTTGTGGCCATTGCCGAATGCTGCCTACGATACAAGTGCACGTCGCCCCTGGAGCTGATCGTGGAGCATCGCTGGCTGCCGCAGTGCATACACAATGGCGGCGACGACATGGCCGACGGGATGCTGGCCATTAGCTATGCCTTTGGCCTGCAAAGCATATTCACGCGCGTTTCCAAGAGCGCCATCCTGAACCTCGTCGACGAGAGCGACCTCCACAGCAAGCCCTGGCCCCAGAAGATTAAGAACAAGATATGGGCCGTGCGGTGCGCCAAGGTGGCCCAGGTCTACGCGTGCTGCACCAGCGCCATCCAAGAGTACATACGACGACCGTCCAGGAACCTGGCCGATGAGGTGCCGCCCATCACGCCCTCCGCCCTGCGCAGCAGCACGCTTCACCCGGCGAGTCTACCAAAGCCGGCGCCCTCCGTCTTGAGCACGACGCCGCGCTGTCCCAAGGGGAGCCATTGGTGCGACGCTGGGAATCTGGGGTGGATCATGCTCGTCTACAACGAGCTCAACGTGCTGTCGCAGATTGTGCGACCGAATGTGCTCACGCACCTCCCCGAGTCCATGCAGCAGCCGTCCCAGAGTCTGGCGCAGATTCTCGAGACGCTTCGCAGGACGCCGAGCCCCCTGTCGCCCATCCACCGAGGCGGCGTCTGCGACCCGAGTCCCGCCTTCCGGGCGGCGGTGAACGACGTGTTCAACAGTATCTCTGGACTGACGCTGCACGACGTCAGCGGGAAGAGCCACGGTTGGGCACTGACAAAGTACAAGGAGGCAGAACCCCAAGAAACCGACGCAGCGGGTCTCGACAGAATGGCGGCCCCCGATCGTGGCCACCACAGCGTGGCGGCCGAGTTCCCGGAGCACGTGCGACTCAAGCTGCTCAGTATGATGAACGACCCGGACGACCTGCGTGCGGCCGCCATGATCAACTCGGCGTGGTACGACACGTATAAGACGCATGAGCTCTTCCTAGTCCGGGGCATTTTGCGGTCAGGCCACTTCCGCGCAGACACGGTCGCGCTGCGGCCCAACATACCCAAGAGCATCAGCAACGCGGAGGAGAAGGTGCCCAAGGAGATTTCCGATCGCATCCAGGAGGAAGGGTCGCCTGACGCCGCTGACACAGTGACGATTCGCAGCGAGGAGGAGTCGGAGTTTGACGATGGCGAGAGCATAGCTGGCCACACGCCTGCGCCGTCCATCACGCCGTCGTTGACGCGGGAGATGCGCACGCGGAATCAGAGGACGCAGCTCACCGAAGAGGCTCTCCAGCGAACACGGACAGCGAGTCCTCCTCGGTTGCCGTACACGATGCCACCGCCACCAACCATCTCGGACGGGACGAACACACCGGGGGCATCGTCGACGCTGACCTCCTCCCCCACCACGCCGCGCGCATCATCGCCAACACCCTCTTCTGAGATAGACGACGACAGCAAGGGCCACGTTGTCTACGCCGAGTACGCAGACGAGCCACCCCTCACCGACGAGGAAGCCCGCCGGATCCTCTGGGGCGACGATGAACCAGAGGAGCCCCGACAGCCGCCGCAGGAGGAGGGTCTGCGGGAGAAGTTTCGATACGGCGACGTGTCGTTTGTCGAAGGGCTGGAGGACAAGATGCTCCTCGTGGACGGGCAGAAGCGACTGCTCACAGAGGGTATGGAGGTGCGCCGGCAGCAGGGCGCGCATGAGTAATGGGGGGCTTTTGATTTTGATTCTCGAATTTCTGGAAACATATTTGGATTTGGGAAAACATGTGTATTTAATTATCCATCTATACCCTGTGTTGGCTACGTATGCTTGGCGGGGCGCAGGCGTTGGGCAATTCTGGTAGATACCTCATTCTTTACATGCTGGGTGGGATCATAATACATTGGGCAGACGAATAGCCATGCGATTTGTACGTGTATATACGTGTCCGGTGGTATCATTGTCCTCGCACCTGACACCCAGTCCACTCTCTAAGCGAACCGGGTCTCGGGGTCGGCGCCGGCCTTCTTGGCAGCCTTGAGGGCCTTGAGCTTGGCGGTGCCGATGCCGAGGACGCCGCGCTCCTGATTCTCGCCGAGCCAGGGCTTCTTGCTCTCGCCGAGCATGCTGCCGCTGAGGAAGTAGGTGACGAGGCCGAGGATGATGCAGACAAAGGCAATGGGGTACATGAAGTGGACGTGGAGGTCAAAGACCTTGATGCCGATGATGACGCCCCAGAAGTTGGCGGTGAGGAGGGAGATGTTGTAGAAGCCGGCGCTGGACATGCGCAGGACGAGGGGCACGAGGGAGTAGAAGAGGAAGAGGCAGAGGGTGTAGCCGACGAGGTAGCCGGCGACGTCGCCGTTCCAGGTGGCGCCCTGAAAGGCGTCGCGGTCAAAGATGGCGGCGGTGATGCCGTTGATGACGATGCCGAGAATGCCGATGAAGGAGAGGACCTGGTACATGGGGGCGCGGCTGACGAGCCACTCCTCAAAGGTGTTGCTGAGGCCGTAGCAGGTGGCGCCGGCGAGGGCAAACATGTCGCCCTTGACGAGGTTGCGGCCGGGCCCGCCGTTGCCGCCGCTGAGGTGGTCGGAGCCGATCAGGATGCCCATGCCGCCGATGCAGATGACGATGCCGACGATCTGGAAGAGGCGGTAGCGGACCTTGAGGAGGAGGAAGGAGCAGACGACGACGACGACAATGGCCCAGAAGTTGATGAGCTGGGCGGAGAGGATGTTGGTGTAGTTGTAGGCGAGGACGGTGAAGTAGTTGCCCTCGACGTCGAGAAAGGCCATGATGATGTACTTCCAGCCGTCCTGGCGGGCGACGCGGGCCCAGGTGCGCGGGCCGTCCTTGACGAGGAAGACGATGGTGTAGACGACGGCGAGGAGGACGTAGTTGAACATGGTCTGGAAGGCGGGGATGTTGGTGCCCTCGCCGGCGAGCAGGCTGGTGAAGGTGTTGGTGGACGTGATGCACAGGGCGAGGACCTGGCCGATGGCGAGGACGATCCAGAAGTCGGGGGTGAGGAAGTACGAGTACCACCGCGTGGACTTGGCCTCGAGGAGGTGTAGGCCCTGGTTGACGGCGGCGTCGGTGTCGTCAGAGGGCCGCTCGTCAGAGGGCTGCTCGTCGACGACGGCGGGACCCTTGGCGGTGGTGGTGGTGTCGTTGTCGACCACGACGGGCGTCGCGGGGGTCTCGATGGGTGCGCCGTGCGCGGTGGTGATGTCGTTGGTGTGGGACATGGTGAAGGTGTTGTAGTTGCTCATGGGCTGCCGTGTGTTAGCCTCCGTCTTGCGGGCAGAAGGCATTGGCGCTCAGATACATACTTGTATGAGATGTGAGTGAAGTTGGTCTTTCTCTCCCCAAGCAGGCGCAAAGACTCAAGTCGCCTGCCTTTTCACGGTGCTGCTGCTATCATGAACCTGCGCTGTAGGACAGGGCAGAAGTGTGTAGTGAGGAATCTGAGGATGTCGAAGCGGGCATGGGTCAAGTAAGAGGAGTTCCTGGGGAAGTGAGGAGGTCAAGAATGAGCAGAGACTTTCAATCCTTCTGTCGCAAAGTCGAGTTGAGCGGGTCTCGCCGAGGGGAAAAGTTTGAGGTGGAGACGGGCGGGCGGGAATCGAGGTTGGATGCGATGTGCCGCGCTAGGGGGGGCGACTGCCTTGCATGGTGGGGGCTCCGACTTGGCACCGCGAGGACATGGACTGGAGCTGGACATAACTTCAGTCTCTGTGGTCAAATGTATTTCAACCAGACTTCAATGGACTGGCTTGAAAAGAGTTGGGAGATATTGTCAAGCATACCATATCTGTTATTGAGCATACCCAGCGGGGGCTAAATATGGCGTGAGCTGCTGCAGCCCCTGTTTAGCCGTCAATCCACTGCCTCGTAGCCTACGAATACTAGTACTAAATTTAGCTATAGGGTAGGGAGTCTTTATACTACAGCGTCTACTATATTTAACTCCACCGGATACGCTCAATAATAGATGTGGTATGCTGGATAATATCTCCCAAAGAGTTCATTACCATGTGAGGCAAACACATTGAGTTTGATAAGAGCAGAGCTGAAATGCAAACCTACAGTAGAGGTGGTTGTCTCACTCGACGGCGCCACGTGGGGGTTGTTAGTGATGGTCCAGTCCATGGGAGTTGAAGAGGTGATCAAAGATGATTGTAGGTATAGTCGCTTTCCTTCCCCGGTCTAGGAGCTGATGAAGCCTCCCCTTTTTCAAGAATATTCTAATTTTCTCTTGCCCTGCATCACAAGCAGTCAACGCTGCTTCCTGGGCCGTGGCGCCACGAGTAGTTTGGCCTACCCTGTTGGTAGCTGACCAGCGGTCATCGTGCTACTAGTTGATTCTTATGCCTGCCATTGCCAACCGTATGGTGCTTGCGATCGCTGCATTTCTTATGTCCAGGCTCTCTTGCTGTGCTTGAGAAGTCTGTCTTCTTGTCTCTGCGATGCATCAGGGACAGCTCTTGTGTGAAAATTCCTGCACTCACCTTTTGTAAACGCAGCCTGCTCGCTTTCACAACAGTCATGCTCACCGGTGGGGCGGTCAGGAATCAAGTCGATCTCCTTAGCTAGGAGATACAAGCATTCCTGGTCTGTTCTGCCTGCTTGCGGCCCCTCGTCAGTGGCTTCTCGTCAGCTTAGGATTCGCTGTCTTTCTTGCCCGCGAGTGCGCATACCTGCTTTTGGGGGGGCTGACATTGTCACAAGGCAGCTGGACCGGAACGGCTTGTAGTTTGACTTGAAAGAAAGTAGCAAAAAACGCAATAGAAAGGAGAGACTGGACCTGGTTACACAAGCAAGGCTTTATCGGGAAGGGGACATCTTCAAATGATGTTTGGGTCAATGTTGGTGATCCGGACGGCACAGCGGATGCTGGCGGGGTTGTCCCTAACATTCATGCAGCACCGGGCGCGGACATCTGTTAGCGTGTCTGCTAATAAGTCGTATTGCCATCATCCGACAAATACGACGAGATGTCGCATTCGTCGCATCGGCTAAGGTTCCGTTCTAGAACCGTTGCGTTTAGCTGTTTGGAGGTCCCCGAATTTGATTCTATTGCGGTAAGTCTTCGAAACCTTCATTGTGATCGATTGTCTGTTTGTCATGTCGTGCAAGTTGTATCTACGTGGTACTATGGCAAATGGATCAAAACCGCATCATGTCGACATCACTATCCGTATCGACTTTGGAATCGCTGAGTCCTGACATGTGGATGCAGGCACCGGGCTACTGACACAATTACTGTATAAAAAGTGTGCCTATAAGTCCCACTAACATCGTGTTATGTATTCTGTCAGCCTCTTGCTCCACTGATGTGCATCTGAGCTGCACCCGGTGACCCGCACTGTATCATCAAGGTCCCTCCCTGGACCAGATTCACGCTCCCTCCTGTAGCCTCTCCTTCATCCATCATCTAGACATAGACGGCGCGTGCACCAGTGCTCGATGTGTGCAAGGCCATCATCACCAAAATGATCACATCGCTACCCCTTATTCTCGGCACAGCCGCTGCTGTTGCACGGGCGGCGCAGCCAGGAGCTGTCGAGCCGGTCGCGGCGCCCATGCGCAACCTGACCTGGGGCCAGCTCAACTTCCTCCACACGACCGACACGCATGGCTGGCTGGGTGGTCATTTCCAAGAGTCAGTCCAGCCCATTCAAGGCAGCTCAATGACTTTGTCTAACATCATATAGACCACAGTACTCGGCCGACTGGGGTGACTACGTCTCCTTCGCCCACCACATGCGCAAGCAGGCCGACGACAAAGGCTCTGATCTCCTCCTCATCGACACCGGTGACCGCGTCGAGGGCAACGGCCTGTTCGATGCATCTTCGCCAAAGGGCCTGTATCAGTACGATATTTACGCCCAGCAGGATGTTGACATTATCTGCACGGGCAATCACGAACTGTACCAGCACTACTCGATCGAGCGCGAGCACAACACCACACTGCCCAACTTCAAGGAGAATTATGTCGCGTCGAACCTCGACTATGTCGATCCCGAGACGGGCAAGCAGTCCCCCATGGCGCAGCGCTTCAGGCGGTTCAAGACCAAGAACCAGGGGCTCGACATTATTGCCTTTGGCTTCCTCTTCGACTTTACAGGCAACGCAAACAACTCGGCCGTACAGCGCGTGGAAGACACCGTCAAGGAAAAGTGGTTCCTTGATGTTCTCAAGGAGAAGCCCGACGTGTTCGTCGTCATCGGCCACGTTGGCTTGCGGATGGAGGAGTTCGAGGTCATCTTCAAGGCCATGCGCCAGGCAAACTGGCACACCCCCATTACATTCTTCGGCGGGCATGCGCACGTCCGCGACGCGCGCAAGTTTGACTCCATGTCCGTAGCGCTCGCCAGTGGACGGTACATGGAGACGATTGGGTGGATGTCAGTCGATGGCCTAAAGAAGACGGGGGACGTGGAAACCCAGGCGTCACCCACCTTTACGCGTACCTACATTGACAACAACGTTCTTGGGATGTATCACCACACCGGTCTGGACGAGTCCACTTTCCACACCGACAAAGGTCGCAAGGTCACCGAGATGATTGACAGCGCCCGCAAGGAGCTCGAGCTGGATCGCAAGTTCGGCTGCGCACCCCGCGATTACTGGATGTCGCGCGCCAGGTTCAACGAGGACGGCAACATTTACAAGCTCCTCATGGATGAGGTATTCCCCGACATTATCGTCAACGAAGACCGGCGCAATCAGTCTCGCCTGGCCATCATGAACACGGGCGGCATCCGCTTCGACATCTTCAAAGGTGCCTTTACGAGGGACACGACGTACATTGTCAGTCCCTTTGTGAGCGAGTTCCGCTACATTCCCGACGTGCCGTACAAGATAGCGAGTCGCATCATCGGCATTCTCAACAGTGGGAGTCGGATCTGGGTGAACCCCCTCTTGCAGTCTGACATCTTCCATGTGGACGATGATGCGCCGCCGAGATCGAACAAGTTGATGAGCGCGCCCGAGCAGCAGGCTCATCCTGAATTGATAAAGGAGGCGGCTGATTATTTTATGAAAAAGCTTGCGGCCTCTTCAGGCCGAAGAGGCCGCCGAGGCCGCCTGGCCGCGCTCGAAGAGCCCGAATATATGGCTGAACCTCAGCGAGATGGCCAGATGCCGCTGACAAGCCAGCCTGATCTCATCGCCGGCTACACCACCAAGGATGACTTTGGCGACGACGGCGACGACACCGTCCATGAGCCCTTGGAATTCTATTACCAAGCCAACGCCTTCCAATCCGAGATCAATTTCCCGGCTTATCACAAGGACAAGCCCGAGAATGTGGATGTCGTCTTCATCGACTTTATACAGCCCTGGATTATCCCAGCGCTCAAGTTCTCCGGGGGCGACTACTCCGACAAAGATGTGCGGAAATACATGGAGGGCACCTTTACATCCAAGTTCGCCGAATGGGTTGGCGAGAATTGGCAGGGTGACTGTTAAGTCAGTACATTACATTGCGCATCAGCGAGCGAGATAAGAATGAATACAGCGTGTCTTTTTTTTTATAACAAAATGAACCTGATTATATGACAATATGTCTTCCGTGTCTGGTCTACTCTCCTAATAATAAGATCCACCACTAATTGACTCCTCCGCGCCTCGTTTAGGCAAACACAAAGTCCGGGGGCACACAGTACGGGCTCTTGCTGGCCTCGTAGAACTTGCACACCGTGTCGGGCGGGCAGACGCCAGCGTGCTGTGGACTTGTTAGCTGTTGGTTCAGGGAGAGTGAAAGCAGAGGAACGCACGACAAAGTGGCCACCGACATCGCATACCTGCCAGCCCGTCGAGCCTTCGCACGCGTAGGTGCCAGGGTGGCAAGCACCGTCCACAGGGGGGCTGGGAGGTTGCGGCTTGATGGGTTGGGGGAGGTGCTGGCATGGGCAGGGCTCTGGTTGCTCATGATGATGCTCGGGCTCTGGCTCATGGTGATGCTCGGGCTCATGATAATGCTCGGGCTCATGGTGATGCTCAGGCTCATGGTGGTGCTCTGGCTCATGGTGGTGCTCTGGCTCATGATGATGCTCTGGCTTATGATGATGCTCAGGCTCATGGTGATACTCGTGCTCATGGTGATACTCGTGCTCAGGCGGAGGCGGAAGGGGCCTCGGCTTCATCTCAGGAGGGCCATGCGGCTTCTTCTCTTTACCCTTTGCGTTTTTCATAGCTTCGTAATTGGAGTCGTACGCGGCCTTGTTCTCCTCATAGGCGGGAGGCCATCCTGGGGGATACGATCGCCCTTTTAGGTTGATGAACTCTCTATACCCATCGAGACGGGCGCCAGAAGCAGAGTCGCCTAGCATATTTCTGCCGCAGGAAGGGCAGCCAGGCACTGCCGCCGCAGCTAGCGAGAGCACCGGAGCGAGAAAGAGTGACGGCTTCATGATGGCTGTAAAGTGTGAAACCCAAAGCTGATAAGGGAGGTGATGTAGAGGACAGGAACGTATGCTAGGCTTGTCGTCTGAGGCAGACCAGCTATATGAGGGGATCTCGGATGGCATGGAAGATTGCTACTGACGTTCAGCATCTGATACCAGTCGATATAGGGGTAGTGATGCTCGACTGAGCTTATCAAGCGATTTTTCGGCGCTTGAGGCTGCTGATGTCGTTTCTAATGATACCCTTGAGTCGAACCCTGGGAGGGTGGCTTTGAGCGGCGCATTAAGTAACCTTGAGGAAACATTCTCTGCGTGGCAAATGCCTTGCAATGAACTCCATACTAGGCTCGCGGTAGTATCGGGACATTCAGAGCATCTGCGATAAGTCTTCTCCAGACGGGAAGCACTCACCAGAGGCCGGGGAATGGAATACTCAGTGGCGTTCTTGTTTCCAGCAGCTTCACATTTCCCCCAACAGCAGACAACTAACGAGAACACTACACAAGAATAGCGATGAATCCGGCTGTAAAGGATTCTGGACTCAACAGACGGCTGTTCTTGGTGGGTAGTCGAAACCGAGGCGCTTACACAGTGACTTAAAGTTAGAGTTAAGGTGGCGGACCGAGCCACGAGGGCGCCACGGCTGTCGGATTCCACTGCCATCTCATGAAGGGCCCCTTTTATCAAGAAAAACTACCTGTTTGGAGTTCTTAGTTCCAGGCTTGGGCAGTTAGTGCACGGTCAACGCTCATCACCACGTGTGGTGTTGAATAATGAGTGAGTTACAAGACAGGTCCCGGGTGGGTGATCCGTGGCAACCGAGATAAAAGAGACACAGGTATCAACGCAAATCAACCCCCTCTCTATTGCAGCTCGGGTTCTGATAAGGGTAGGGTTATGACTTTCGTGCATATGGTCTTCGCACTTGATGGCATCATAGTTCCTTTAACGGCGGCGTTTTGAGGGTGCAGGGTAAGTACAAGGCGCATGTCGAGCGACAACGTACACGTATTATTTCATGTTCTCGACAACGGGGGTAGAGAATGTGTTGCGTGATGAAACTATACACATTATTGAGAAAGTAGAATATTCAAACTGGTTCTGTCCCCAATAGTCGCTGCAAAGTCAAAGTCCAACTCACGAGAATGTTCACCTACGTGTAGGCAGTATGTAAGCTGCAACCGCATAAACGGAATTGCCTGTCCTCCGACTCCTCCCAAGCCCCAGGGGCCGAACTCTTCGAGAAACCAAGCGTGGTTTTGCTTGTTCGGAACGACACTTGGTTGAGAGGACATGATCAACGCGCCACGAAGGCTGTGAACACCCCTGTCTCTGATCGTCGCCCCCCGTGTGAGTCAGCCCCGGGGAAGAGTAATCGTTCATGTGGAGGACCAACATGGACCCCACAGGTCATGCGTCCCGGTGTTGGCATCTGTACTTGTAGATTCCAGTCCTGGATATATATTCAGTTCCTCCTTCATGCGATTCCGGCGTGCAGATTTCAGAAACAATCATGGACGACAGCACCGCACAGAAGCTGCGCAGCGTGGAGCCGCGTGAGCAGGCGCTCATTTTGCGGAAGGCGCTCGACGAGACCAACGCCCAGACAGTCACAGGGGATATCCTGCATCGCATCCAAAGCGGATCTCTGCCTCCTAGGATTGTCCAGCGATGGCTCTCTGTATCACGGAGCGCGGCCGCTGCGGCCATGGCTCTGCGCGAATCGCGAAGCGTCTCCGTACGAGACGAGGCGATAGCCTGGCTGGGCTGGCTTTCTTCCAAGCAAAGGTCGTGCGAGGCGACGTGGAAGGCTCTGGGAGGCGTGGAGGACCTGGCTGCGCTCATGTCTACCCTCAGCACGCGACATCTAAAGGAACTGTGCAGGGTGCTGGGACGCCCTACTACGGGGCTGAAGGACAGCGAGACCCTCCGATTTCGACAGAAGCGAGTCACAGAACTGTTTGACTTTGTCACCGACCCGAGCAGGAATGTCCTCGAGAAGAGACCCGTGCGTCAAATGTACGGAAACCTGCTGCCGGCATGTTCACCCGAAAGAATTGCAGAGTGGCTTGACAAGCTCGACAATAGGAGGTGGCGAAAAGACGAGGCCACGAGTGTTTTTGGGGCTCGCACCGACGAAGTCGAACGGGCCATGTACAAAAGCGACATAGACTTCTTCGAGAGGCGCGCTATGCGCAAACTCGTCGACAGTGACCGGTCCATCCACGTGCGGGAACTCAAGCCGTTTGTGGAACAAGGCGTATCTTTCGGTATCCAAGTGATGGAGGCTATCGGTGTCTCAAAGAGCCTCCGCGGTATGTCCCCGCGGGAGTTTATGGTCGAGGTCGTCCTGCCGACAGTTCGTCGAGTAGTCAAGCACCGCATGGAGTATGGCAGACGGGTCTGGGATGCCTTGAATGCGTGCTTGGCCAAGCATGAAGGGCTGAGGACACATGTTGGGCATATCAGGACAAAGCACTCGTCATCATTCACATCAAAAGACGTTTGCATTATGCGCTGGGCAATCATATCAAGGAATCGAACCACCCAGGCATCGCAGAGCGACGACCAATTGGCGACAATGATAGCTTTGGCGTCAGAAAAGGATACAAACTCAGAGGCTTCCTTCGATTTGTGGCTTAGGATTGCCCGCCCCGACAAGAGGTACCGTCTCCTGCAACTATTCATGAAGCATACGTCTTGTATCAACTACGATATTGGCACCCAAGACTGCGCTTCTCCTCTGCCGAAGACTGTCCGCATACCGCTAAGCACTTTGCCGATATTGCCTCCTGTCGACAGTCTGAACTTGTTCGAGCGGGCGACGCGGCCGGAGAAGACATTCAAGCCGGTAACCGGCAAAGAATGCCCCAGCTTCCTTTCTGCCAAAACCGACATGCAAAATGTCGTGGGGATCGACGCAAACGTTGTTCATGCGTACCTGATCCAGCGTGCTGGGGGCCTGGAAGAGACATCCACGACGGACCGCAGAGCAATCATCACGCAACTGAGCACGAGTGAGCTTGACCGGCGCAGGAAGCTCTCTGCCCAAGGGCGAACCTCCATCGACCGCGCATTTTGGGCCCTGTCGGCTGTACAGCTCGCCGTCGCCATTGGTGACCTGGGGCTTTTGGATGAGACATTGCTTTGGTGCCGTCGGTTTCTCAAAGACCCCCTGAATTCGATCCAGCTTTACGGAGGCACGAAAATACCTGGCGAAGTTCCTGCTGCTCTCAAGTTGGAGGATAACCATATGCGTCTGACACGCGAGAGCGTTTGCGAATTCATCACCGCGTCCAACAAAATTGTGACCACGCTGATCAAGACGGCTGTTCTCGCAAAGAGCGAACCTTCCTTTCAATTGCGCCACTGGCTCCCTACCTTGGAAGTGATAACGGCGATTTTTGAGGACCGCCTCTTGCACACGGGTCTGGTTGTCAAGAGGCTCAAGCTCAGTAACGAGGAGTGCTTCGATTACATTCTCAAGCCAACGATTGACCTGGTTATTGACATGGAGTCCCTTCTCTTGCAGGAGGAGAACAAAAATCTGTACCATCCTAAGCCTGGAGGCCTTGCTCAGTTTCATCCCTGCCTCGACTACAAGACGCACGACAATGAGGTATACTGGTATGTGAACTATTTGGAACACCTTGCCGTTCGTCGTGACGAGCTGTGGACACAGCACAGGGTCAAATCTCATCCAAAGGTGGCTGAGCTGGACCGACGCTGGCCCAGGGGCTTGCCACTACAGTACCTGATGCCCTCGTCTACGGCCGTCGATCAACTACGCAGGGTTCCTTACCTTGTCAAGAGAGCGGAAAGCTTGGTACTGGGCGACCCAGAGTTGCTGTTGACGCCTTTGCCCGAAGACAAAGACACGATAGAGGCCATTGGGCATTGCATTGATTCGTGGGACTTTGCAGTAAAGGTCTGGGTCAACGCGGAGGGCGAGTCGCTCCAATCCGAGGCTAAGAAGAGTCGACTCCTGAGGGCTTGGCATCATGCCACGGTCCCCCTCAGTAAAGACCAAACACTCGACCAAGAGCAACTTTATGACTTCTGGGCGGACCACGGCTTTCGCCAAGTCATCGAAAACAACTTGGTTACGATCGATCGACGGAGGATGCGATTTCCACCTCGCTTGCCAACACCTGGATCGTCTGATGATGTCGTCGAGTACGACCCTGACCCGAACGGTGATGATTCTTGTACATCAACTGCCGCTTACGAGGTGGTTGTGCCAACATACCTTGGCGCGCTGTTGCAGATCGCGCGAGTTTCCAACGAGAAAGGCCCGCCAACCTGGGCCGATACGATCGTCCAGAGACGTGCTATCAGCCCCTTGGAAGGATTCTTCAGCCAGTTCGACCTCTACACTCCAAGCGCGGGCCTCAAGCTAAGCACAATGACAGTCGAGGCGGTAGATGCGCTGGCAGCTACTGCCTTGGCCATGTACTCGGATGGTAAGGTGGGCGATGCGGACGGTGTCTTACAGACTCCGTTTCCTTCATATGCCGACTGCCGTTTCCCCCGTCTCCGCCTCAAGGAGGACTTTCTCAAACGCGAAAAGGACCAACAGACTACCTCTCGCGGCTTGTTGGGAATATTGGCGAGAGACATCCCCCCGACAATTCTGGTAACTCTGGCCGAGTCCTACCGGACCCAGTTGACCGTGTCTGACAAGCCATTGCCAGCCATGGATTTTGTCGACGTGATCAAGCTGCTCATCCAAAGCGATGATCCCACACTCGCTACGCCTTATATCCGGGACTTTGTCCTCAGCACGCCAGGTGACAGTGCTTGGCACAGGCAGTTGCTGAATGCCCAGGTCATGGGTCTCTTGGACGCGAAGAGCGCAGAAGAACTATATACCTCCATGGCCAAGTTCGTGCTGCAGGGCCTGAGAGAAGACCCAGCTCCAAGCAAAGAAGGGAAAGCCGACGATGGCAAAGTCAAAACGCCACATGTCAAAGTCACCACCGTCAAGATGCTGGCCCAGCTCCCCAAGACAGTCAATTCCCTGCCCACATCCGTCTGTTTACAGGCCCTCAGGGATATTGCCAAGGCCTCGTCGCACATTGACATTCGCTCCGCTGCTTTGGACAGTATTCGAAATTTGCCAGACGAAGCTTCCATCGTCTCGGACTTCTTGCGTACCTGGGGACTGCAGACTATCGGCGAGCTCAGTGAGCGACGCGTATTGTCTGAAGAGGACTGGATCCGCGCAGAGAACGGTGGCGATACGCCGGAGATCGCGCTCCAAGCCGATGAACGACCGATGATGGGCCTTTTCATGACCGGGAACCAAGCCATGAATGAAATTGCTCTCGAAGCTTCCCACGCCATGGCTGAGAAGTACCAGCGGTGGATGCGGATTTTCGCCAGAAGATTAGGCGTCGTGGACCTGGACGTGCCACCCGTGTCACCCTGCCCACAGCTTTTCAGCGGGCAACTATCCCCTTTCATAAACAGGAAACCAGGGGCTCGCTGTGCTTCGATGCGCGATTTCGAGCTGGCGAGGAACTACCTGAGAGCACACGCAAACCCACCGGCTGCAGTGGCAAACATCACCAAGCTGGTCAAGAGCGATTCCAATTTGAAGGTGTCCAATGCAGGGAAACACTGGCTGGCCATGTGGGACGCGGAGTCGCTCCAAAACCAATCTTTCCTTCTGCAATGGGCTTGCGATTACATCCAGCCCTCGGACAAAGACCGCGAACCGAGCCCAGACGAAGTCCCACAATCCACAGTCGAGGATCTCCTCTTCGACCTGCTCATGCACTTTGTCAAGTCGGGTGACATGAAGTCTTTCCGGAATCGCAGCTCTCGCCTGCTACGCGCGCCAAGCCGAAAGCCAGTCGCAGGTGTATCTGACCACTCATCACTGATTAGGCGTCTCATTGAGGGTATCGACAACATGAGAACGGACGAGTGGAACATAGACCCGGAGAGGAAGCCAGCACGACTTCCGGACACGTTGCCTTGGAAACTTCAACTTTTGTACTTTTCTCCTCTTGCGGATGGGGAAGGATATCTCCCTTCCAGAAAGAACGCAGCCGCCTATGTGGACGGCGAAATCATCCCGTTGCTTACTGGTATTGCGCGACAGGGGTGGTATGTTGAGCAGTTTCGCATGTTGGAAAGCAAATTGATGAGTTTCTCTGGGAAAAAGCTCGGTCTTGCCACGGTCATTGGACAAGTACACTCGCCAATGTCTCTGCTGGATATATTGCGCGTCCGTCTGGCATCCGCCATCCTGCAAGCCGAGACCGGCCTGTTGGCGGACGAGGACGCTGGTGATGCGGACGCAGCTCGACGCATGATCTCGGACTGGGAACAATGTCCCCTGGAAGAAATTCGAGAACAAACTGTCAATGTGCGGGAGAAGACTTTGGCGGGCAAAAAGGGAAAGCGACAAAAGACATGGCTGGACGATGCCGGGTCAATCAAAGGTGAAGAGGTTTGACATCTGTCAGTCCCAATGCCGGACAATGCTTTGACAGTACGTACTCTATCGAGTTTACGTTTCGCAATTCGCTCTATTATCATCCAGTATATATATGTATTTTATCCCAATACCTTCCAACAGCGATATTAAGACGGAGCCTCCCACAGCATATTGATCTGTTTCCTCCTCACCTACACCAGTTAGCAATCGAGTTTTGAGAACGTAGAAGAAGGGACCTACCATGGGTGCAAGGAACATAACGCCACCAAACAACGCCAGTACCGTCGCAATCAGCGTCGCTTTGCCGAAGCCACGGCCCAGGATGTCGAACGCGCCACTGGGGGCCACCCTGGTGCCGAAGATATCTCCACCATATGCAATCACCAAGCTCGTGCTTTCGACAATGGCGGGGCTAGCAAGAATACCCTTGACGCCGAGTACGTCTCGCTCGTGGGTGATGATGCTGCGGGGATCAATCTCAAGGGAAGGATGATACCTCATCAGACCTTCAGCCTCCATCTCAGCAGCGGTAGGATCGCGACCGACTGGGCGGCGAGGATCAACCGCCTGGCGGGGAATAGCAGCGATTGCTTGGCTCTCGGGCAGGAGTGCCATGATTTGGCGGTTAGCGATGCCCTGACGAGTGGACGTCACGGCGAGATGCGTCAGGGGCTGACTTGTCACCCAGCTCTGAGTCACGACCCACGGCAGTGGTGCGCCAGTCGGCGTGTCGACGGGGTTCAATGAGGAGAACTCCGCGGCGTCGCCCAGCGGGCCTCGGTCGTTAGGCGAAGGGGACTCGTAGAGGTCGGTGGCGACAACTTGGTAGCCCTTGACCTGGCGGTTCGTGCCGTCGGTGAGCGTGAACTGCCCGAAGAAAGAGCACACGTGCCAGTTCTCAGCCATGGTGCAGGACACGTCCTTGGTAGTATCGACTCCATCGTATGACTGCGAAGAGAGGACTTGGCCGGAGACAGTGTCGATGGTCTTGATGACGAGAGTACTGGCAGCGTCATCGATGACAGCAACAACTATCATGTTGGGGTTGAGGTACTTGTAGTTGACCTGACGATCCCCAAGCACACGTCCGATAGAGGCAACGGGGTCGTGAAGGGGTCGCGTGGCAATCTCGACAATCTGCTGACCGGGGAGAACCTGGTGCTGCCAGATATCCTGCCTAGAGACAGAGTCGCCATCGCGGACGAACCGGATGCCTTTCAGGATCTTCTGATCCTCGCTGCGGATCACCAAGGTGTCGTTGGGGGCAGACTCGACCGTCATGTCGCTGACGGCATTGCCATCTGGGCCCAATGACAGGAGCCAATGGCCGTTGGAGCCCTTGACATAAGCAGTGCTAGCAACGTCCGCAGCTGTGCCAACCGTTGCAAGCTGAAGGACTTCGCCCGTGGCAGCGTTGATCTCAGCGTACTCGCCCTTGGACCCGCTGACAATGACGGTGCTGGAGGGACCGTCATGGTAGACGAGACCTTTCACGTTGAGCTCCTCATGGCCTTTCTGAGGGAAGACCAAAGACGACCAAATAACTTCGCCGCGACCACCAGTGCTGAGGCCGTAGAATCTGCCACGACGCGTAGCTAAGACAATGATCTTGTTGAAGCCAAAGGAGTCTCTCACCAGACCTTCCTCCTTCCGTGCCGCGCCGTCCCCAAAGACACTTTCCATGAACCTCGAGGGGACAGATTGCAGCCACGCAGGTAAGTGCTGGAGGTCGCTCGCATGTCGCTTCACTCGATGAATGTAGGCAGACATGGGGTTTCTGGTGTGTGCCTCCTCCTCCAACACCTTAGCCAGGTCTGCTGCCTCCGGGATCTCAGCCCACACGGCAGCCACAGCGCCACTGAGGCCCTCGTGGCGGGTCCAATCCTTCTCTCCATTGCGCACCATCACCCACTGCTCGTCAGCGGTCAGAGCAGCAGAGCGTAGTGCAAACTCGTCACCTCCAGGCTTCCTGATCACCTCGGACACGGCTTGGACAGGCTTGAGTTGGTGTTCCTTCTTCAGGAGCCACCTCGCCAAGATTCCAGGGCCGTCCGAGGAAGTGATGATAACCTCATCTTCTGCGACACGGACAAAGTATACATTTGCTCCCTCGGAGCTGACGGAGAAAGCACTATCGGCTTTGAGATGGGGCAGCTCGTATGCCTTGGTGATCTGCGCATTTTTCAAGTTGATGTGGTACACCTCGGCGCGGTTCCCACCAGTGCTCTTGGTATGAACGAGAAAATGAGGCTGTGAGTTGGGCTTGTGAGGCGCATGGATGCTGGCAGCTGTCGTATCGGACGCGAGAGGGATCTCTTGCAGCTTGTTCTTCGCGCCTAGAACGTGGACGTTGAGCTTCGACAGGGAGCTGTCCGTCCAGGCCAGGATAGGGGCAACAGAGTTCGCACCAACAAACATGACATCCTCTGGCTTGTGCACCTCGCCCTTTGTGCCGACGTTCCAGTCGTGAACGCGCGTGCCGGTAAGAGTATCCAATGACGTGATCTTGAGGCTGTACGAGGCAGGTGATCCGTGCAAGCTGATCACGTAGATGTGGGCCGCATCGGTCGATACTTGGAGAGGCATATCCTTGTTGTGGTCGCGGAATTCCCAGACGACTGTCCCGAGTGTCCCATGAAGCCTGCGCAGGACTGTGACGCCCTCTTCGTCGAACAAAACCAAGACATCCTTCCGAGCCGTCTCGGTAATCTCCATGATTTCGAGGTCCTTCACTTGACCCGCAAACTCCATGTGCCAGACATTACGTCCCGTCAGCGCGTTCCAAGCCTGCACTGACGACCCATGTGCTGCCGCGACCCAATCCTCGCCTTCAGCCGCGCGCAGGTGCCCCGCGCCTGGTGCGTCAGCATCAGGGACTTGATGCCTCCACACAACCTGGCCATTGCCAGGGTTCACAGCTCCAAAGACACCCGCGTCGCCCGATGTGAATAGTAGGCTCGCTTTGTCTTCTTTCCTCGGCCGGTGGAAGAAGGTTGTTTCTTGTTGTGGCAGACCGAAGAGTGCATGGTGGAAGTCGACTTCGCCAACCTCGTCTTGGAAGACGGCAGACACTAATGATGACAGTCCGAGGACTGCCAATGGATTAAGGAGCCGCATCGTGGGCTGTGGTGGATGGGCGGTTGATGGTGGTGGGATAGAGGGATAGCTGGCAGTGGGAGCTTCCAAGTGACGTTGGAGTGGGGCGTCTGACACGTGACGCCCGTCGCGGTCAATTCGCATCGCGGTTGCGAACTTGCGCATCTGGTAACCACTCCTCTCCGGCACGAACATTCGCAATTGGCGTGCGATCCGCCTGTAACATTACTACATTGCATTCATACTTGCTGTCGCTTCTCTGACAACTCGTGAACGTATACCTGGCTTTTCAGACTCGCGCAATGGCGCCCGGGGTGCGTCTTTACCATCTCTTTTCAGAATACTGTTCAACGTGCTGACCGTCCTGACAGACCAGACGAGCCGGCAATCGGGGTGGCTACGCTGAACACGACGACTTCGAAGGCCTACCTGTGCGACAATGGCGGCAAGAATGGAGCACCATTGTGCCCCCACCTCAGCAAGAGCCCCAGTCGCAGAATGACATCTGGGCGATCGAGCTCATCCACGGCATGCCCAAGGACGCGAATCTCCTTCCTACACATACGCAGGAACTTCTACGCGCAGCGCGGTCTGGTGCAATCTATAAGCGCCAACCTCTGGTCGAAGAGGAGGAGGGTCCTGACCCTGAAGCAATTCTACCAGAGAAGCCCGAAAAGAAAGAAGAAGAGGACGAAACAGTCAAGGGGTACACAGTGCGGACGTGGAAGCAGCTGCCCAGAAATGTGGAAGCGAACACGACATCGTATCTGGCCCCGCGGCGAAAGGGCATCGTTCGTATAGCAAGCAAAACAGTGGAGGAGAAGATTGTCGGGGGCGCCACGGTGACACGCGCGACTGTGCGGAGGATTGACGCGGCGGGCAACCCATACACGGAGGAAGTGACCTTGGTCGATGGTCAGCAGGTGGAAGGAGAAATCATTGCTACACGACAAGCGCCGGTCGCAGGACTGGGCGAGGGACTTGCGCCTCCGCCGGTGGTCCGTAAGAGGCCTCCACCGCCGAAGCGCAAGGGCGGACCGGGTCGAGGCAAGAAAAAGATCAAGTTGCCTTTGCCGGGGCCCGGTGTCCCAAGCGCTGGGGGTGCTGTCGGTACTGATGCAACTGTCAAGGTTGAAGGGGACCAGGATGTAAGTGGCAGAAAGCATATGGCTCACGGTGGTCGTGCTAATGAACTTCAGGGCGAGCGGAAAGAGGGCGAGGCAAACCAAGACAGCGAGATGGCCGAAGGCGACGAGAACGACGAAGACGACGAGGATGATGAGGATGAGGGCGATGAAGGCGATGGTGCGGAGTCTGGCAACGACAAGGAAATGTCAGATGTCACACAACCGATCGAACCCTCTGTGTTGGACAATGCCGACATTGAGATGACTGATGGCCAGCCATCGGAATGCAAAACACCACCTCCCAACCCTCTCACGCTGGCGCCTCCAGCGGCTAGCCTCGCGACAGCGTCACCAAAGATCGATGGCAGCCCTCTGAAGAACGTCGCTGTCGCGTCGCCGCCAGCCTTGGAAGTAGCGCCTGCTTCTGAGGGCCCTGCAATCGTGGAGGTACCGGCGGTCACTCTTCCGCCCATCGACAAGCCACCGGTAGAAGACTCCGTCGTCGCCGAGCCACCGTCCACCATTGTTGGCGAGGAACCCGACAAGGCTGCTGATCGCGACATTCCCAAAGATACCCCACCAGCAGTGCTCCCTCAAACGTCGACAGAGGAAGCACTTCTACCTCCTCCCCCAGATCAAGTGGGCAACATTTCGTCACCAAAGGATTCCCCTGCCGTCGATAAATCGTCAGAAGCTAGCACCACCGGCGGCAAGGCAGATGTCCAGCCTGGCGAGGAGGCCGCGCCTGCTCGCCCCGAGCTGCCACATACGTTGACCGAGGATACGATCAAACCGGATGACTCTGCCTCCGCAGTGGATGTGTCGGGACCACCGAGCGAAGCTGCGCTTGCGACGGCTGTGCAGTCTGATGTTGAAGTGCCCGCTGTCGTTGAAGAAAAGAAAGAATCGCCAGAAGAGCCGATAGCCACTGAGCCGACCACTCTCACGGAGGAACCTGCGGTCGCTGAGGCTCCTGAAAAGGGGGACGTCACAACGGGCCAGGTCGATGTTGAGTCTCAGGCCCAGCCACGTCAAGGATCTCCGTCTGCTGAGGAATCTAAGCCAAAAGAGGAGCCACCTGCTGAGCAGAAAGCCGAGGACAGTGAGCCTACGCGCGTCGATGACACCGATAAGGAGGACCCAGCCCCTGCGCCCATACCTTCGGTAGCAGAAGATGTCGCCGCGCCAGATCCCGCGACAGCTGAGGAGACGCCGAAGCCAGCATCGCCTCCAGCCGAGGAGCAGAAACCCGATGTCACCGAGGGCTAGACTCGCACCCTCAGGAGATTGTACAGCAACCCCGGGCGCTTTGTCTGTCTATGTTGTGCTTTGCTAAATGGCGCATGGTCTGGATGGAGTTTTTGCGGTTATACGTGCTCCCTGGAGTTGATGGGAAATTGACCCCCCATGTTCTTGGATAACCCCAACTTGCTGTTATTAGGGGATAGATAGCGAATGGCAGCGAATGAAGTTTCGTCTTCTTGATTTCCAAGGCGTCTTAAAAGAAAGCACCATCTATTACAGCGCTTGTGATCATAAGCCTGGATAGCGATGTATTTTTACAGCACGGCCTCAGCCTAGTGTACAACCCAGTTTACCTCTCCCCATCATCGATTCGCGTCCTTTAGTCGTAACTGTCGCAAGGTTAGCCCGTATCCCAACATCAACGTAGACAGGAAGGTCCCATACCCTTGTTCCTTTTGCCTCGCAATCTCGCCATGCTTGCCCGTCTCCTTTCCCTGTTATCGTCAGCATGCGGTCACAGCACACGGAAGCGTGGGCATCCTCACTGATTGTCCACCCTCGATGACCAGCCTGTCGATTTGGTAGAACTGTCCGATGACCGTCTGCCTCTGTTGTCGCAGTCAGCACAAACCTGGTCGGGATTCGCGATCGTGGCGAGGCAGGTCTACCTTCATCATCTGCAGCTCTTGGAGACCCTTCTGCACCAGCTCCTGCACCTTTCGCTCATCCTGCACGCCCTTGTTCTCGTGGAAGGCATCGATCGTTCGTCGCTTGGCGTACTCGCGGTAGTTGTAGGCGGTGAACTGCTTGCCCTGGCGGAGAAGCTGCCTGTACTGCGAGACTGTCAGCCCGCCATCCTCATTTGGTCTGCTGCGGCAAGGCCTGGTCGCGGAGGGCTTTGGGACAGCGTGGAAAGAGGGCGCATAGCCAGGGCGAGACTTACTAGTGACCGTACTTGCTGCGCCATGTTGCCTTGTGATGGTGCTGGCATGTTTGTTGGAGGACTGGTGAAATCTGGATACGGATGATGATGTTTGCGAAAGGTCGGCCCCGGTGTTTGCGACGGGTGGAGAATTTACCGAGCTCCGAGGCCGGAAGAACCACCTGCACCGACTAGAAGTCCGAGCAGGAATACCTACAGGTAGGAAGAGCAACCAAGGGGACTATTGTTGTATCGACATTGGCAAATCGCTCAAATTTATTACTTTCATGAAGGTAGATTATTGTAGATCGTACTTCACAGCCTTCACGACCGTCTAGCCCAGAGGACGGCACTATCAGTGGCAGTGGCGAAGCTCATGAGGCAGCTAATGCTATAAACCTGCGAATGTCGTCGCCTTCATCGACTCTACCATGCCAGGAGGTACTTTCATACCATCCTCGCCTTCGGCGCCATGGCTCTCGAAGCTCAGTAACGCCTCCTGGATCGTCTTCTCCGAAAATCCCGGGGCATTCAACATCTCCTCAAAACGCGACCGCCCCATCAAGTTACCCTGCAGCTGCGCTGTCAAGACATGCTGTTTCTGCACCTGGTTCGGCTTCACCACGGTATGAGGCTTCACCTTCCTTTCCGCGCTGATGAGCGGCGTGAACGCCAGATTTGTCACCGAGGCGTTCAGGTTCGCCAGCAACGTGGGCGGCGCGTTTGGCGCCAGGGTCCATCGGAGGATTTTCCCGCTTGCGTGACCTGTTAATATCGTTGTCCCGTCGTAGCTGCTTGTGAGACAGTTGAAATCCCCAGCATCGTCATCCGCCACGGCGAGCGGCTCGCTGGCCTGCACGACGATGCTCGGGGGTTCAGCGGCACGCCCGCCAAGAAGAGGCTTCTCTCCGAAAAACTCGACGAGGTGCATCGCACCGCCTTCTGCCGCAACATAAAGTGCCCTCGCACACGGGTCGAGTGACAGACACAATGGCGCGGTGGGAAATAGGATGGTCCGCAATACCTGTCCCGTTCGATAGTTCCATACTATGCATGTCTTATCTCGACTGGCAGACACACATAGGGAGCTAGACTCGGCCAGGCCAGGGCCGGCCACGAGGTCTGTGATGCCACCACGGTGGTTCGACAACACGATCTGAGGCTCTGGCTCGGAATTGTTGGCGTCGAGGTCGAGCAGCGTGGCCCGGGCCCAGACGTTGATGTTGGAATCATCCGATGCGGTGAGTATGTGATGCGGCGTGACGGTGATGCAAGTAATGGGCTGCACATGGCAGGGCGGCGTCGTGACCTGACGTCCCGTGCAAGTCTACGTGTCTCGGTCAGCGTGTGGTGGGAAGAGGAGGAGGAAGGGGGTCTGAGAAGAAAAAAGAAGAAACGAACCTCCCATGCTATCAGCCTCCCTTCGGTAGTGCCCACTAGCAGCACTTGGCCAGCGAGGGCTGTGCTTTTCACCCGCTCGGCAAACGAGATGAGGGCTTCCTGGTTGCCACGCAGCCGTGAATAGACGTGGACGTGCGCTTTTCCATCTTGGGCGCTGAAAATGTGTGTCTCGTTAAACGCGAGGCCGTGTCTTGGGCTGGAACTTTTCTTAAAGGACGACTTGACTGTGTAGGTGGGTGTGAGGGTCTGCGTGTAGATGCCAATGTCCTTTGAGATGGCGGTGTTGGCGGCCAGAGGCGGTCCGCAAATCGACGAGACAAACTCTTCTGTGAGCATGGTGGCGTGGTCGAGGCTTGAGCGAGGGACAGAGGTGAGTTTGTTGGTGAGCGAGTGAGTGAGTGGGTGGACGCAAAAGCATGCAGTAGTAGCGCCAGGCAGGTGCCAGGATGGGAACGGGATCCCCCAGATGCGATGGGATGAAAACAAGGCCCTTCTCGAATGACAAATTCTGGCTGGAGAGCTGGGCGTTGGTGACTGCTGTCTCTGCAGTCTGTCCGTGGTCGTTGGCGAGATGTCCTATGTCGTTGTGAAAAACTGGTGATCGCCGCCGGGATGTGCAGATGCTGGCGCGATGCGTTATGCAGCACAAGGACTGGACCCGAAGCTGCAGCGCCCTTGCGCCCCTTGCCGTGGCGGGCATCCACCAAATGCTCTGCATAAAGTACGCTCAGACCAGCGCTCAGGTACTTGTGCAGGTGCTAGTGGGCTTTGTGCAGCATGCACCCCGCCAGCCGCCCGCCCAACTGTCAGCGGCCCAGGCGCGCCGCTAGAGGACGGTGGATCGTCACTAAAAGATCCATCCCTCCACTGACGCTTCTCATCACCAGACCAAGCGTCCCTTTTCTTTTTCCTTCCTCCTCATCACATCAGCATCATCGATTGCCTTCAGCGCTGTCAAGCTATCAGCCATGCCACGCCGTGCAAGCCGTCCTGTCCCCGTGCGTGCATGCATTCCCCGAGCTCGCGTCGCTTTGACACGCACAACAGCAGCACTCCTTCGTGGTGAGACCTCTCCCACGCGATGACGACGCTTGTCCGTGAGGGTGTCAAAGGGTCCAGCTCCAGCTTTCGCGCATAAGACAGTCCCGGTTTTTGAGACCATGTGGGCAGCTACACTCGCCCGCGCTCTGGAATGGAGACGCGGTGTGGTGCGAGTCGCAAGGGAGAGATCCAATACCCGCAGCGTCATCGTGGAACAAGAGGTTTTACAAGTCAGCTCCAATTACGGCAGAGTGAGCACCTGCTGTGCGGCTGACAGAAACTGTGCCAACTGAGCTTGACACGGCAAGCAGTAGTAATGCCAATTCAGATGCCCACGCGCGCAATCTTTCGATCAGTCGAAGCACGGTTTACCGCCCGCACTGACTGCCTGCCTGCCTGCCCGGAGACCTGATGAAGTCGCTGTGCCACCGGATGTTTCGTCGATACGAAGCCTGGTAGACGCGCCGTTTCAAGTGAATGATATCACTAGATCTGGTTGGTGCTGCGCGTGCAGAGAGTTGCGAGCCTCGAGGTAACACAACATTGGGCGATACAGTTCCTGTCGCCGTATCATGCTGGCCACCGAAGGCTGGATCTTTTCATCAAGGATTGACCAACTGTTACTGACCGGTCACGCCACACCATGGTATCCCCTACCGCGAACCGCCTCTGGCTAGTTCGGGGTTCATCTCGAAGTGGGGTGCCTTGTTTCTCGAGGTTGTCTCGAGTGTTACGGAGCTTGGCTGGTACATGCATGCCCTCGAGGCACGCTTCGATCTTTGAACGCCCGCCCGTCATGCCAAGCTTCACATACAAGAATTTCTCGGCCATCGCATGAGAAAAGCTGCGATCCGTTTCAATAGCTCGAATCATTGGGAAATACCGGTCGTCATCCTCCACAGTATATCCTGGCATCTGCCATGCGGTTGAGCGGGAGCCCACACCGAGGCCACCCCTGCGTCCACCGGCATACACTAGTCCAGTCCCACATTGCCTTGCTTCTTCTTGTCGTGTGCTACCTCAGATATAGTACGCGCGACACCTGGGCGGATGGAGACACTTGCGTCGTAGCTCAGTAAGGGTCAATGGGTTGCAGCCGGCCGTGCGTTGCGTCCCTGTCCATCGCCGTGGGTCAACATAGTCTTATTACTGCGGGCTGTCGCCGCGCTTTCAACGAGACCCGGACTCTCTTTTCAGGTCTCGTCGACGCGGGACTTGCGACAATAGCCTTCAAATTGTCTCGGTTTGACGAGGGGCCGCAGTTGCACAGCAGGAGCCCCTAGCCAGTCCTTGTCTGTCTTGGCCTCGAACACTGTCTGCATTCCTGTCTCGAGCTGCTCGTGCTCTCGCCATTGTCTCGCCTGCACTGTTATATCAGAAGCCACCTCCCGACCAGAGGCTGCCTGCCGGCCCTGCTTGTTGGGCTCGTACCCGACAACACACATGCTTTCCCCTGACCCCCAGTCGAAGACTGGCCGTCGCGTTGTCGTCACTCGCTCATTTCCCTCCCCGGAGCAGGGCATATCCCGAAACCGTAAAGAAAGCACAGCGCCAGCAACACGGAACCGAGCGTCTTCTCTCAGCACGATAACCAAGCGCAGATCGGTCACCAGCATGCGAGGGCTTATGCCGCTCGCACTGTCCCCAGCTGGTTCGGCAGAATCTAGCCCCTCGACACCAGGAGAGCAGATCGGAATCATGGTGGACGACTACTTCCCAGAGATACTCGCCAAAGATCTACAGCGGTCAAACTCGACGTCCGGATACCGACTCAGCGGGCGTGAACTCCCACGCACAGCAAGCCCTGCCAGTGACTGTGGACCCTCTTCAACCATGTCTGGGGCTCATCGCTCTGTCAGTTCGCCTTATCACGGCGTCTCTGGAGCGAGGCGGTGCCTTGGCCCTATTCAGGAGCGCAACTCGGTCGTATCCTTCCTCGAGCAGCAAAATCACCATCATCAGCAGCAGCACTCCGCTTTAGACGAGGACTCGAGCGACGAGGACTCCTTTACTGACTTTTCCGCATCAAAAGACCCAGTCGTCCGCGCCTTGAGCTTCCGGGAGCAGTCCATCATCACAGCTGCCACGTCGTTGGCGTCCTCGACCTGGGTACCGTCCCCCAGCACGCCTCCATGCCGCATGGGCAGAGGACAAAGTTGGATTGAAGCGGACTCGGAAGACGAAGGTGTACCAGTCGACGAGACGAACGAGGATCAAATGCCAGGTCTCTCGCCAAGGCCACCTTCGCCCCCAGCTTCCAACAGCAGTGTTGGCTCAGCGGCCGAGATGCCCGATGTAGCGCGCCGAGCACCGCCACGTAGAGGACACCGAAAGTCATACTCTATTGGGGGATTAGCAGCACCGCGCCGAAGGCCTTCTGCTCGCCGACCGGATGAATCACAGAGAGCTGGTGCTTCATCACCTGCCCCTGACATCCCTCGCCACGCCACTCAGACTCGCTCGAAATCGACGTCCCCGGCGATCCACCGACAGCGAGCGTCCAGTTTGCAGACGAGCCGTCATGATGGCTTCACAGCTCCTGCTCCGCACTCGCGACACAAGGACACCATCGCTGCGTCACCGTCCGATTCTCACTTCTTACATCGACCTACCCATGCCGAGGAGGACGATGATTTGTTCAGTGACGAGGATGTCCCACGACCGAAACGCAGCCGCACGACCAACACAGTCTTCATCCGCCCCTCACCTCCCCCATCTCCTCTCCCCAGCGTGCAATCATGGCTCAACGGGAGCACACAGCCCTACACTGCACCAACCCCTGGCGACGATCTACCAAAGGCTGTTCCCCTACCACCCAATGTCGTTGAAACCCTCAGGGTATCCATTGCTTGCTTCCCAGAGACAATGCTCCTCACCGATAGTCTCACTGTGGAAACTATCCGTAACTACGCCAAAAAGGTCCGCCAGCCCACCAGCGACGCCCTACTCAGCAACCTACAACCCGACTCACCCAACGGAGCGCCTCGCAAGTCGTTGTGGAAACGAGCCATGTCATACAAACGCTCCGCGGCAGCCCAGCTCCACCAGAATCCGCGATCGTCCAACTCGGGGGCCACAAATCTCAAGTCACCCAGCACAGCAACCCTGGAGAACCATGCGCCCAAGACCTGGACGCCCTTGAAACACGTATTTGGCTGCTGCTCTGACTACATCCTCGATGCGCTCTGGGCACACGTTGTCGCCTACAACTGCATCTCAGCCCTCGTGCCCCGTCTCCCCGCGGGTCGCGCACACAACCGGCTCAGCAGGCCGCCCACGTCCCACGACAAGGAGGAGATCCCCAAGAAGGCCGCCTCCCTCCTCGGACTCGCTGCGTCTCCGGACAACTTTACGCGAAAATTCACTTCGCAATTGCCCTGGGGTCTCAACAAGGAGACCATGGTGACGGAGCAATCTGCCAAGTCGATCAACTACGATAATACCACGAGAGATATACAAGCCGGTCTTATGAGGTGCATCATGCGCCTGATCGCGACGGCGAGACTCATGTCTGAGAACGGATCTACAGAGGACAGGTCCGTGGAGGTGGAAACGGGTAATGTGGACGTGCTGTTTACAAGATCGCTCTGCGAGATTGTGCGCATAGCCGAAGATAACGCATGAGCTGCCTCTGCTCTTCTCTTTGTCTTGACTGTGGCCCGGTACGGTCTGCGCTTGGAATTTGCGAATCGGAATTTTGTTTGGCGTCAACTCATTAATGGTGTTTGGTGGACTTGGGATACCCTCATTTATTTACTAGCTTTTCTTGCTGTTCAGCGATGGTTGCAGAGTTGGTGAATATACCTGATGTGATCAAGCCTGAGCTTCACTCTGAATACCCTACTCTACTGCGTGCCCACTTTCTAACATAAGTGCCCGCCGCGTGATTGTTGCAACATACTAATACTTAGTCCAGAAACATTTTTTACTAAGATGATGGGCATTGTATTTGCGCATCTGCTCAGAGAGACAGCCGTACATGAAGGTAGCGCCGCACTGCCCCTGTATCAACAATGCAGACAAGAGTTTTACACCCAACACACACCTCGCTATGAGTTCCACTCCGCTCCTTTTGGGTTTCATAAAGCACCAGACAGATACGCAGGCGTTGCCATGGGAGTGTGTTTCTATCACCAAGCTCAAGAATCTTTCGACTGAAGCGCTGCCCTCAAACGCTGAATGTCCTCCGCACTGGCCATGCAGCAGCCTCCCACAACGACGCATCTCCATTCCCCTCCAGCAATGGCGTCTCTGACTACACTCTTCAACTGTTCTTCCCAGCTTTCCCTGCCTTCCGTTTCAATTCCAGAGGGAACCTCCCACGTCTGCGTCTCGGTGTTGTAGACTTCACCGTTTGTGCCGTCGGGGTAAAGCACGAGTGCCGGCCACTCGCCAAGTTTATTTTGACCGATCAACTCGCGAATGACACTCCCGTATACCTCCACAATACCCTTCAGCTTCCACACCTTGGTGCAGTTGATCCCAATCCCCCATGGCAGTGGACCGTCAGCTGGATCCACCATTGCCCTGACAGCGTCGCCCGCGGAAGCACCATCGGGAAGTGTCTCGTCCTCTCCAGGATACAGGCAAGAGACCCAGTGCGGGACGTCCGAGAACACTGAGACAGAGTTCACGGCCCTCCTCATCGCTCTAATTTCGTCTAGTCGCGGCACCGTTTCGAGAGCCACATACCCAACGCGCGAGTTGATGTCATTGACCTCGGCAAACAGCTCGAACCTCTCCCTGTGCCACTCTTCAAGCGACTCCATCGAATCGTGTCCCGCATCGTACTGGCCGCTGTACTCCTGACTGGGAATCATGCATGCGCCGTAGGGACCGATGCTGAGCGCTACTTGAGCCGAGCCTGCCTGGTTGGCAACGTCCACCGCGGTAGTCAAGTATCGACTGATCTCATCTTGTTCAATCCCACTGGGATGACTCTCTGATTTGGTGGCCTTGAAGCCATGTATAGATGCTTGGTATGTTGCCGTGAGGAGAACATCGACAGGGACGTTGCCGAAGTCGGACTGACAGGCGAGCAGGGTTTTGGGATCAGACACCAGGAGGTCGGTGGACCACAGGGGGGTCTTTGACGATGAAAATTCAACACCGTATTTCTGTTGCAGGGAGGTCCCTAGACCACCGTCTAGAATAAGAATTGGCGTCATGATCGAGGTTTGTGAACATCTAGCGGAGCGATACCCACGACGGGAGGTCTATGGGGACGTGGAGTGAGTCGAACGGCTACGTGCATACATCCAATACCTGCATACGTACCTCACGCTGCACGCATCGCATCTTGTTTCCACGAGTCTTCACTCACCTTGCAAGTGGTGGCAGCAATAAACGATGGGCCAATTCGCTCATGATGTCGTTCCGGAAGAGGCCACGCAAAAAATCGACCCTAACATCGTTAAGAGTAAATAAAACCCTCCTACTTCTCGTAGACTTGAGTCTGACTATTCCCAGCTCTGCCTCAACGCCCTCTGGTTGTGTCTATCGAAACCCTGCAGAGCACCCCCTGGGCGCGGACTGCGCGTGTATACGCTGAAGAAGATGTCTCGTACTTTCTCAAAGTGACTAAAGGCGTTGACTCCTTTTCAGAGTTTTACTAAGCGCTCCAGGTGACAAAGGGACAACAGAAGCGCGACATGGTCCGCGGTGAGTTCGAGGCCATGTCCATCATCCACGCCTCAGCCAGTTCACTGGCCCCGAAACCGATTGCGTGGGGCGAATATTCAACCGTCCCAGAACTCTACTTCTTCCTCTGTGAGTTTATAGACTTGGACAAGCGGCTACCTGACCCCCATGCTTTGACATCGTCCCTCATCGCACTTCACGAGACAGCCACGTCTCCCCAGGGGAAGTTTGGGTTCGGACACGCTACGTACCACGGTGGTATTCGCATCGATCATGGATGGCATGACACCTGGGAAGGGCACTTCTCTTCCACCACGAGAGCGTTATTGCAAAGAGAGCAGCGCGTTTGGCGCTGGACGCCTGAACAGATGGAAATGGAGAGTACTTTCTTCGAAGAGGTGGTTCCAAAGCTTCTTAAGCCCCTGGAGACCAGCAAAGAAGGTATCCGACCAAGCTTCATACACGGAGACATGTGGCACGACAACACTGCAGTTGACCGCAAGACGGGCAATGTTGTGATATTTGATTCTGCAGGCTTCTATGCCCATCATGAGTGTGAGTTGAACTCGGTAGTCAATCCAAGGGTGCACGGGACTGACAATTCAAAGATGAGATGGCGGTCTGGCGTCAGTCCTGGAATAACATTGGGAGGGACTACATTGACGCCTATCTGGCGCAACGCCCACCCTCTGAGCCGCAGGAGGACTTGGAAGATCGGGCTCTTTTGTATGGGCTGAGGGTCAACATCCTCGATGCCATACTCTACGATGAAGAAGAAAAGTACCATCTGAAGTAAGTGACCTCTGGCACAACTCTTGGGACAGCAGCTGACAGACAATAGTGTGATAGACTCGATGATGAAACTGGTGTCCAAATTTGTGCACAATGAATAGCACGAAACTGGTCAGCTGCTTGGACATGTCTACCGGAACTTCTTGCCCGCCTCGTCAAAAGTCATCCCCTCCGCCAATGCCTTGGCCATGTTCGTATCAGCCTCGACTTGCTTCCTCATCAGCGGCAGCGCCTGCTCCGCCAGCCTCCTGGGCAGCACCACGACACCGTTCATGTCCGCAATAGCATAGTCCCCAGGATGGATCCGGATGCCCTTCTGATCCTCGCCACTCTGCAGCTCCACGAGTACATTGACACCCGTCACCTTGACGACCTCCCCCGGTGCGGCGGTGCCCACGTCGCGCGCCCACAGCGGCCACGCCTGGTCCCGCTGCTCCTGGAGATCACGGAAGCGCCCATCGACAATGGTACCGGCTGCTTTCTGGTACTTGGCACGGGCGGTCATGAGGCCGCCGTAGACGGCGTTGGGGACCCTCGGGGAGGAAATGAAGATGACGGCGCCTTCTGGGACGCTGTCAATCTGAGCGAGCCGTCAGTGCTGTGCTTTGCGCGGGATGGAGGGGACCTGCATAGTGCTTCGCCAGCTTTGGCGCTGGGTCATCTAGAGGGGAGTACTTGACCGTATAGAGAGGACCTACGATCTTGGTGTCCTCTTGCTGGCGAGTTGGCGACCAGTTGCTCAGGCCGGAGAGGAATCCCCCATTGCGGACCTCGGGGTCTTTCAGCTTCTGCAAGGCATCGCTGACGTCGCAGCTGCTGCGGTCAGATACGGAAATTTGTATGAAGTGAACTAAGTGTACTCACGTGGTGAACTCTTTGAGAGCTTCGACGATGGGGTCCTTGGTCGCCATGATAGCCGAGGTTGTGAATGGCCGTGGTGATGTGAGCCGGAGACAAGGCGTGATGGCGCGTGTGGGAATCAATATCCTTTGCATCGGGCGTCCGGTGGTCAGAAATCGCGATGAGATGCAGAGCTTCGCCAGATCACTTTATCATTTGATGCGCCGCTTCAAGACTTTTACATGGACGTGGATGCCGACTCGAAGCAGCCGAGATGGGGCGCCCGCACGATCCGGTCTCGGAGCGGGATCCGTCCGCACTCTGTATGTCCGGGGCTCTTGGACGGAGTAGTCCGTTGCAAGTGGTGATTTACCATTATATAATACGACAACAGGTCATCAACGAGATCACACGTTTTAGACAACGTACACAAGCTAGAGCCGCCGCCATGTCTCCCACCACCATCGCTGTACTCGACCCCTTCCACCCAGACGCCATCACCCTCCTTCAATCCACGCCCAGCATCACCACCATCCTTCCCAACACATCCCAGCACCAGAACTGGCACGGCCAAGCCGATGGCGTCATCTTACGATCAGACACGCGCCTCACAGAAGAGGACTTTGCGAAAGCGACCCCTCGTCTCCGCGTCGTCGTCAAGCAAGGCGTGGGCGTCGACAACATCGACCTCGACGCGGCCAATAAATATGGCGTGGCAGTACACAATACGCCCGCTCTCAACTCAGAAAGTGTAGCGGAGCTCTCCGTCGCGCTGGCCTTCAGCCTCTCACGACGCGTCACGGAGATTGACCGGCGCATACGCAAGGGTGAGACTATCATGCGAAGCCAGACGCTGGGCATCAGCCTATTTGAGAAGACCGTCGGTATCGTCGGGATGGGCAACATTGGCATCCAGGCCGCTAGGAAATGGAGGGGCGTGTGCTCTGCCAACATCATCGCGTACGACCCCGTGGTGCCCAAGGAGGCGTGGGCAGACATCCCTCACAAGCGCGTCGACACCCTCCAGGAGCTCCTCCACGAGGCAGACGTGGTGACGCTGCACGTGCCCCTTTTGCCGACGACGAAAGGACTCATTGGCGAGAAAGAGTTGTCGCTGATGAAGGAGAATGCGATACTGGTGAACACAGCGCGAGGCGGGCTGGTTGATGAGAAGGCGTTGCTGGAGGCGCTGAAGAAGGGGAAGCTATGGGGCGCAGTGCTCGATGCAATGGAAGTCGAGCCGCCAACGACAGACGCGTATCCCGAGTTGCTGAGCTTGGACAATGTCATTCTGACACCCCATATCGGGGCATCGACGGTCGAGACGCAGAGCCGCAGCGGGTGCGCCGCCGTCAAGAGTGTTCTGGCCGTCCTGAACGGCGAGAGCAATGTGCCAGGGAGACTTGTATAACATGGAGTGACACTCTTCTCTCTCAAGTCTTGACAGGATGCATCATAAAATTGGGCGCGTAGACCTGGCCCTCGTGAACGCGCATGAATCCCGGGAGATCCGCCGCGTCGACTTCATTGCGCATCCACACATCCATGATCCTCCTCGGCCAGTTGCTCACCCACCAGTACGTCAGCCCCCTGTCGGCAAAGCTCTGCGGATTCGCCATCGACAGGCCATTCTCGCTCCTTTCCGGCAGGTGACCGAAGAATGGTCTCTTGTCGTGATGCCTCCACTCGTCTTCCAATCGTGATGTCTCGTCATTCTCGTTCCCGGGACGCTTGTTGGATCGTTCGGCCGAGTAAGGGTGCATGTACACCGGCAGCGGCGGATAAGATACCTTGAGACCGAGCCAGAGCGCCCATGTGGGCATGGTACTCTCCGAGGGCAGACTAAGCCCCGTCTCAAACTGCGCCCGATGCGCCTCCAGCAGAACGGTCTTCGACACCCTGAAGATGGCAGGTGGACAGAACCAGCGGGGCGTATCATGGCCCTTGTTCAGATGTCCCTCGAGCCAGCCACCAAAGACCCACGTGGAGGTCCTCACATCGGCGCAGAAGCTCGTCGCAATAAACGCTGCCTCCTCCCCCACGCCCCACGAGAATGCGTCGTCTTGAGACTTATCCGGAGGAACGGGTCCGACAGGCTTGACATCCGAGATCCGCAAGGCTGGCCAAGCGCGTGACTTGCCCTTGCTCGCCTCGTCGACCCTCACCATTAGCTCCTCATAGTCATCGTACAGCTCCTCGCTGTAGGGAAACGTCGATCTCTCCAGGGCCTGCTTGCGCGGCTCCATCCGCGCAAAGTCCGCCATGGCGTCCAGCATTTCCCCGGCATGGCCCATGAAGCGCTGGTCCAGTTCAATCTGCCAGTAGTGGTCGAACTCGGGGTAGTGCAGCGCGAAGAGTTGCAGCGGCTGGTTGATCTGGAACATGGAGCCGTGCTCCTTGACCTGGGGATACCACGACGCCAGCAGGTTCTCGTCCCAGAGGACGGCAATGGAGACGAGTTCGGGCGGGAGCTTGAGGGAAGCGAGAGCCTTGCGGTAGTCTTCTGTGGAGGCGTGGATGTTGCGCTTGCGGTCTTTGATGTTGATGAGTAGGATTACGGAGTACTCGGCGCCTGTGTCCAGGCTCGCCTCGGTGATGAGCGAGCGGAGCATGTACATGTTCTCGGTTTTGTACTCGACGCCTTCCCAGGAGCGGACAACGATGGCTGTACGGCGGGAGGGTTTCACAGTCGTTGTCCAGTGTGGCGTGGCGTCGATCGTCGAATTTGCCAGGAGCGTGAAGCGAGGTTGGTAGATTGTCGTCGGGAGATTCGGGAACCGCTTCGCATTGGCAGCAGCGCAGTCGTCCTGTAGGTTTGCCCACGAGACCTTGTCCCAGTCTGGCTGGGATCGCGCATCGTTGGTGGTCGTGAATCCGTACGGCCCATATCGATCGGAAGCTGTCATCCATGTCCTCTTCAATCCCAGCTCGCGTTGTGATCCGATGAAAGGCGTCGGGTACTCTGAGCCATCAGTCAGTCACTCGCCTTTGATTCTTCTTCCAATGGACCTACCGGTGTCAAGGTCCGAAAAGCGTAGCGCATCATCATTTTGGTCATCCGTCAGGTTCCCTCGCGGCCCGACGCATGGCAGCCTCTTCGCCAGGGGCTCGAGAATGGTCATGTTCATCCTGGTACTGCCATCGCGGATAATGCCCTCCAAGGGCGCCGCACCAAGCCATTCCTTCTCGGAACCAATGTAGAAAAGCCCAATCAATAGCCACAGAAGCAAGGGCACGACTGTCCAGCGAAGCCAGCGGAGCGAGCCGAGACGCGCAGTCCAAGTAGGGAGGTTCATGTCGCGATCAATGTCGCTCTTCGTCGTGCTCGTTGTCGATAAGTCATTCGTTGGCCATGTTCGCTGGGCTGTACGTGAAGTCTCAGACAATTGTTTGAGACATGGTCATGTATGCATCACGCATGTTAGCAACAGATTTGCAAGAGGTCGAGTGCTGACTGAGGAAAAAGTCAGCACGTGGACTCGATTCCCCAATGACGCGTCAGGTTTGGCGACTGTGCCGCAACGCGCGCAGGACAGGGTTTGTTGGACTTGGGGGCCGGCTGCTCGGATTCGGAGATGAGCAAGTGGATGGTTTGATCTAGGGTAGGCAGAATGAACATTGCTGACCACAATTAGGAGTTCAACAGCAACCTTTGACGGTGTTCCGCCAAAGCCCTTTCTGAGACCGTATTATTCCGGACAAAAAACGACAACTCGAACTCCTTTAAGGTGCTTGCCCCGGTTCAATTGTAACTGTGTTGTCTCAACCGAGGGACCCATGTCTTGCGATTTCATCTTCGACACTTCGAGCGCTTGACAATACGACACGAGGTACACTCACCATCGAAAGTATCATCGATGCTTTGCTGCTAATAATATCTAACAGGAGCAGGGAGCCATGAGCAAACGTTTTGCTTGAAGGTTGGGCGGCACGTTGAGTGAATAGAATGTCTTTTTTTATTTAGACCTTCCCCAACTACATTACGAATTTCAGGTCGGTATCTACCAAAGTCAGTTGTTGTCCATCTGGCCCAAAGAGAGACAGATGCATACCTAATGGATGGCTGCACGACAGCTGCGGCTTCTGCGAGTACCCATCTTCTAGAATGTCGCGGATGCTGTTGAGCAGCTCGACGTAGGTCTGGTCTCCATTCGCCTTGAGCGCCGAGATGAAAGCATACGACATGGCGCCCGTGGCCTTGGCGTTGATGGTAGCATCCGCCCTGCAACAGGTTAGCCTCTGTCCTTGCATCCGAGTAGACACACGCGGAGACGTACGATGTCTGGTCGTCTTTGCTGCCGGACCACATGACGACATCGGCTGGACTCGTCTTGGTATCAATGGTCTTCTGGTACGCTTCGTCACCCGTAAACGCAGTTTTCGCAAAGCCAAAGACGGCACTGCCGACGCCCATAATGTTGCCCGACGCATAGGCCTTGACCGCGTCGAGAAGACCCTCTCCGGCCTCCTTGGCGAGATTGGGCTCCTTGAGAACACCCTTTGTGGAGTAGATGTATGGCAGGTCCATGCACGAGGCCGAGTGGCACGAGTCGAAGATGGCTGTGAGACGGACACCTGGCTGCAAAGGCTTGACAACGCGCCAGTGGATCTCGTCGTCGACAATGTGGCCGTTCTGCTTGTGGTCGACAGGGTAGATGACCTCGTCGAAGCCATCGTCCTCGTCGCCATCTAGATCCTCCGTCTGTCCACCATGACCAGAGTAGTGGAAGAACAGGGAGTCGTTGGGCTGGGCATCTTTTACGAGCCACTGCATGGCGCGAATAATGTTCTCCTTGGTCGGCTGCATGACGGGGTTCTTCTGATCGTCCGTCAGCATGACCATGTCCTCGCGCCTGTAGTTGTAGCGCTCCATGAGGAAGGTGGACACGTTGTGGACGTCATTGATACAGCCCCTGAGCTCGCCATCCTGGCCAAAGTAGTTGATGCCGATGAGGAGCGCCTTGCGCTTGCCCGTGCAGTTGGAGTACTGGAACGTGTAGCCCTCGGGAGCACCGTGACCGAACTGCTGAGGGGCGGAGGGCGGTGGCGGGCCGGACCTAGCGTGGCGAGCGGGATATGGAGCCGAATGGAGAGGGTAGCCGTAGGCATCACGGCCTGGGGGCGGAGGATGCTGGGGAGGAGGTGGTTTGGACGGACGGGAGGAGCCCAAGTAGCCGCCATGACCTTGGCCGTAGCCGGCACCGCCGTCGTAACCACCAGGGGGAGGAGGGGGAGGAGGGCGGTTGTAGCCGCCTTGCTGGCCGCCGTAGTGACTGGGAGGCTGGTCATAGCCGCCGCCGCCGTAACCCTGGGGAGGGCCGGGAGGTGGCGGTGGTGGTGGTTGATGTCCATATCCTCCATAGCCGCCTCCGCCGTGGTGTTGCTGCCCACCGTAGTGACCCTGGCCAGGGTAGCCTCCACCACCGTAGTGTGACATGGTCGCTGCTGGTGCTGCCTCTGGGAGTACAACTGAAAGCAGCTATGATCAGTGGTTGAATGAACAGGCACTGATGGGAGAGAGATGGATAGAGGTGACGGGAGGGGAAGACTGGACTCGAGCGTCGACACAATCCAATGGGCTGTGCTGGCTGAGGCTGAGGGGCATGGAGGCTGGGCACGTACGCGTACTTGGAGGGGTAGCTGCATGTGGGCTTCAGGGTCGGAGTTGCTGAGCGCGGGACTTGGCGGGGGGGTTCTGAACTTCTGATTCCTAGCCCGGCGCTAGTGGAGGGGCTTTCTTAATCTTTTAGGGCGCTCTAGGGGATCGCAGGGGACCAGACTGCGGGGCCACGAGGGGCATTTTGCGCACCTCCCCCACTATCTTCACATTTGCCTGACTGTCCAGTGACCGGGCATTCATTCCAGCCATCCTCAACACACAACAAGTCTCGCCATGGCTCAGCATGCGATGCCAAGCTTTTCAATATGCTCATGTGCAACGTGGTTACGCGTCCTTTTGGCCCCCATCGCCCTTGCTATTGGTCTGTGAGCACGATGCGGAGCGAGGCCTCCCCCAGACTTGAGAAACGGCAAGAGCCGCACCCCCAACTGCTAGCGATACGATTAGCGCGTATCCCGCTGGACATACAGCGTGCACGCAGCGTATCGAGGCACCTTTGACTGGCCAGCGTCCAGTCCAGACCTCTCGGTAAATTCGTCATCGCCCGCCTTGGCATCCTCACAACTTCAACCTCAAACTCAAGCTTATCCTGGACCGGACCTCTAACGTGAGTCTCCGTGCTGACACCGACCGGCGCAGCTACTCCTTTGCTCCACCACAGGCTTCCTCTGCGAGCCACATCTCCATCTCCCTCTCGATTCGCCCAACGCCTCCCACCTGACCCGCAAGGACTCATTGTTCTGTTAGGCGTACTCGGTACAAGTAACTAATCATCCTTTCATAGGCTCCTGCTGGCCACCTCTGGACTGCCCTTGAAAAAGACCCGGATCGAGGCTGCACAACTCCCCTCTTCTCCTCTTTTGCACTGCAGAAAGGCCCACAGGAAAGAAACAAGGTTGCTTGGCCAAACACTACATCTCCTCCCCTCCTCTCTCTGACACTTTTCTTCGCTTTCTCAGTTTACACCTCTTCGACCTCCCCCCAGCAGACGACAAACCCACCGCTGCCACCTGCCCACCATGTCTTTCTTCAAGAAGATCGTCAAGGAGTTTGACGAGCTGCGCATGGGCGACAAGGACAAGGATAAGGAGGAGGAAAAGAAGAAGGAAGAGGAACACTCCTACTCGGGCGGCGACGGCCAACGAGGTGAGGGCTACCGCAGCGACAGCTACCACAGCGGCCAGGGCGGTCACTACGGCGGCCACGCTCCCCCTCCACCAGGCAACTATCCTGATCACAGAGGACCAGAAGGTTATGGCACACCCGGCGGCCATGGTGGCTACGGCGGTCAAGCCCCCCCGCCACCAGGCAACTACCCTGATCACAGAGGACCTGAAGGCTACAGTGGCCCTGGTGGCCCTGGCTATGGATGTTTGTGATCCCGTACCTGCTCTGGTATCGTTGACTAACCCGTTCCCTCGCAGCTCCCCATCCACCCCCATTTTACGGCGGCGGCGGCTATGGAGGTCACGAGAACCGCGGCGCACCTCCTCCTCCCGGTGAGCACTACGGTGGCGGCGACCCAGCTTACCAGCCTCCCTCCGACAAGCCCCCTCTGCCTCACGGCTGGAAGCCCTTCTTCGACCAGCGTGCGCAGCGTTGGTACTATGTGGAGGAAGCCACCGGTCGTACCCAGTGGGAGGCGCCCGGCTTTGAAGGTCACGGTGGCGAGCACGGCTCGCGTGGCTATGGTGGTCCTGGCGGTGAGCACGGCGGGTATGGCGGAGGTCAAGGCTACGGGAGTGGCTATGGCGGTCACGGTGGCGGCTATGGAGGTCATGGTGGTGGCTATGCCGAGCATGGTGGCGGCTACGGCGAGCACGGTAACTACGACGAGTCCCGCGGCCACGGTGACGAGCATGGCAAGGAGAAGAGTGACAAGAAGGCAATGCTCATGGGCGCGGCCGGTGGTCTGGCCGTCGGCGCTGTCGGTGGCGCCCTGATCAACGAAGCGCTCGACGACAGCGACAACGAGGCGCACGCTGCTCCGCCCCCTCAGACCACCGTTGTTGTGCAGGACGATGATGGCAATGCGGCTGTCACCGAGGTGCACCACCACTACTACGAGGCGCCCCCTGAGCCTGAGGAAGAGGAGGGGAGCTCTTCATCCTCTTCCAGCAGCTCAAGCGAGGAAGAGGAGGAGGAGGAGGAGGAAGAGGACGACTGAGTGTTTTGCAGCTCACATTCGGCGGATCTAGTCTGAAACCCCTCCTCATACTACATTTCTTTTTGTACTCCAGGTAGCCTGTACACGGCGAGGCGAGCCCGCAGGAAAGAACGTGGGGAAGTAACGCAATGAATTGACGATTAACGAGTACGATGAGTACGGAATCACATTTTGATGAGCCGAAGGGGTTCAATGACTTGATGTACATTGCCTGTTTCTGTGATTGTTCAAAGTGTTGCTTTTTGAGGTAGTACTTCAAAGGCAGCATGTGTTCAGCGCTTCCCACACACGCATTGCTGTACACTCCTATCTTCTTCCGTTACCGTGGTTTCATACCCAAAACAAGTTTCTTGTCTACGGAAACTATGCGATGAATTCTGAAAGTCCCTACCCTTCTCGCAGTGCAATTACCTTCTAGTCGGTGCCTCGTGGAGAGAAGGGATGTTGAGAGCGGGCTTCATGCTCGCGTTAGTTCATCGGCTACAGTAGCTTGGAAGTTAATCTGGGACAGTCACGATCTCCAGAAGCCCGAACTATCCGACAGGAGTCTATGGTATATGTGAACTAGAGTGATCTACACTGCCAGCGAACAGTCCTCTCGGGGGTTATGTTCGGAGACGTTAGTGGTGAAGCTGCGTACCTCTGGCGCTGTCACTTTTGAGGACTAGGCCTTGCTGGCACCTGACTTTAGTTCTCGGTCGTCTCAGCGGGTTGTTCCAAGACTACAATGTTCTTTCATTGGGAAGAAGCATGGGTTTTCAGGTTGCCCACTGGGGCGAGCCACTCGTAAAGATGTCAAGCAAAAGGGTCATTCACCCACCCCAGTTCTTCCATATTCTTCCGGAGCAGTGTGAGAAATTTGATAAGGCCCTTCTCGGACTGGCATGGGTTAGGGTCTGTTACTCACATGTCGCATTCTGGGAAAAGGAGGCATCTGTGGGTAATCAGGGAAGGAACTTCCGCACTTGCCTCCTGAATGCTGGCAATGCTGGCAATGCTAGTGAGTGGCACTGGTCAACAGGTTGCATCTGTAGCCATAGTAACTCCTAGGCAATCGACTACGAGCTTCTATTCTTGATTTAACGTGTTGTGAGAATGATCTGAGTTGTGGGTGTAACTCATCACTAATACACAATCGGCCTGAATTTGACTTGAAGTTGAATACCTGGTTTGATTTGGAACTGACGAGGTACTGAGGAAACGGCAATAGCCTCCTTACGGTATGATGTAATCGCTCAGCAGCGTCATTAAGCTTGTAAAGGCTCCAAGTCTAAAGTAAGGCCCTAGCTATGTCTGGGCGTCCATTGCTGGGTCACGCCGCCACAGGCAATACAAGCTTCTACCAAGCCTCACTAAGAGTCTCTCTAGGTACCATTCAGGTATTGACCTTACGTACTCAACTCTCGCAACCCTCACCTGTCCAAGAAAGAACACATCAGCTTCCCGCAACCCCCTACAACGTCCTTCTCCGAACAGCGTCTCTCCGCCAGGATGTTGAAGTCGATCGTGCCTTTGTATCCGGTCTACAAGATCAAACTTCGTCTCTCGATATGTGACCCCGACATACCGAGCCCTGCCATCCATACCATTATCTTCGTGGAGACCGGAACCCATGGCCACGGCTCGGGTTTCCAGCACTATGTCACCGGCGACTGTGTGCGAGGCATGCATTACGAAACGAAGCGCTGCCCTGGCCCCAGCAAGTTAGAGAACCTCTGCTCAAAGGAACTCATCGGTCACGTCGAGGCCTCGAGCTACCCGAAAGAAATTGACAACGTTCTCCGCGCGCTGCCAGCGCCTCCCAGGCAGAAGGCATTCAACTTGTCCACGATGAAGACTGAGCCCGTCAAATGCTGGGATCCCTTGACCTTTTATGGCCCTGGCGATGTCCGCGAGCCCTTGAAAAAGTGTACCGAGTGGACCGAAGAGGACGCCATCCCGGCCCTGATCAGAGCGGGTGCCATTGTGCCGAAGAAGTAACTTTTGACGAGAGTTGTCGATTTTGTGTAGAGATCCTAATATCTATCTGAGAGCTTTTCGAGCAAAGGGGACCAATGTAATACCACATCGCTAATAGAGCCCTGAGTAGTAATTCAAATACAAGCAAATTGAACGCATCTTATCGGCCACATGTTGTGGCCTGTTCTTCAACACCATTTTGATGACAGATACATTGATCTGCCAGGATTCCCTAGCCATGGTATCCAGTGTGAACTCTAGGGTAGGCAGTTAGGGACGCAGCGCCCTTTTGAAGATGGGTTGACTGTGACGGAGGAAATTGGCCGCATTGCTGGTCTTTTCTTATCCCCAAACTATCCCGCTCACAGGTGCTTGCATGAAAGCTATGAGAGACAGTCCGGGGAAGCATAGCGGTAGTCGGCTCGGCTGTCCGTCTCCATCCGGGGTGGATCAATCCACTTCCCCGGTCGCCGCCCGGACGTCCCATCGGCCCCGGCCAAGACATTGACAGCAAGCCGACAGTCAAGGGAAGAAAAAGGTGCGTCACACTTTCGCCAGACAGCGGCAATCACAGAAATTGCATCAGTTCCCCTGAGAATTCCATGGAGGATCGACGTTTGTTCCTCGCCACTTGCGGCCCTGACCCACCTTTGACGTACGGCTGTCGTCGCTATGAAATCATGATGGACCTCGTGCTCCGGATGCAGTGAGCAAGCAAATGGCGCCCCAATCGTGACCGGAGGCATTGCTCAGTCAATCAATGATCGTCTTGACATCAGATGACCAGGGAATTCGATATCTGTCATGACGATTGTGTCAGGTCAGTGCCCTGGCACAAATTGCAGACACAAAGATAAAAGGCAATCACGACCCACGAGCAAGCCAACCGGGGCAAGCACCTGTGAAACAATCCACTGCCACATCAACAATGGAGTATAAGACTCAGGCTCGCCAGCATCCCACACTCTCCCCAGAGATGCAAGCCACCACCACCGACGCCAACATGCCACGCGATCCTCACACACCCCACGTCGCCCCCCGACTCACCGACCATGACGATCCCGCCATCCACGCCATGGAAGCCGTCTACGGACCCTTGACGACCCTGATGGACCACGAAGTCACCACGTGGACACCACCACCCGGCTCTGGCGGCCATCTCGGCCGCTACCTCTGGACCGACGCCTTTGGCGTCCTCAACTTTATCACCCTCGCCGAGGAACTCGACTCGTCCAAGTACCTCGCCTTCGCCATGGCCCTCGTCACCAGCGTCCACGACACCCTCGGCCGTACGCGCGATCAGTCTCGCCGCCTCGACCACGCCACCGACAAGGAGCCCCTCAAGGGCGGCCTGCGCATCGGCAAGGCCCACGAGACTGGCGACGACGGCGACGGCCAGTACCACCATTACCTCACCATGTGGATGTTTGCCCTCAACCGACTGTCCGTCGCCACGGGTGATCCACGCTACAACGACCTCGCCCTGCAACTCGCTCAGGCCATCCACCCGCGCTTCTTCGTGCATGGCGTCGAGGCTACGCGGATGGTGTACAAGATCAGCGTCGACATGGAGACCGTCCTCAACCCGCGAGAGGGCAGTCTCGACGCCATCCTCGGACTCGGGGTGTTTCGTCTCCTGCAGGCGACGGCAGTCACGCAAGGTCGTCAGAGTGGTCTTTTGAAGCAGGAGATTGCCGAGTATGAAGAAATTCTGCGACGAGACGGACGGGTGCGACCAAGCTCAGATCTGCTGGACCTAGGCATGGGATTATGGGCGACAAGTCTGTTTCCCGGAGAGGAGTGGGCCCAAGCCTACCGCGAGGCGTCCTTGGCCCTGGCCGAGAAGCACCTCGACCCGCAGTCCCCCCTGCTGCAGCGCGACCCGAGCCATCGACTTGCTTTCCGGGAGTTTGGGGCCTGCCTTGGGATACTGTGCGACGACGTGGAGAATGCCAAGCTGACAGACGACGTGCGGAGTGTCTTGAGCTTTTGGGAGCATCATGTTGCTCAAGGGAAGGGTGAGAGCGTGCAGCCTATTTCGAAGGTGATGTATGCTGCCTGTCGGCATCCAGGAGGTAGGCTACAGAATGACTCCGTTTCATCAGAATGTTAGACTAACAGATACAGCTTTCAAGGTCTCCTACCTACTCGGCAAAAAGTTGCCTGAAGGCCTGTGATGGCCACGGCACTGGTGTGACGCCACATGTACAAGTATTATGCATCTGGGGTTTGGGGAGCGTATTTGTCATTTCACTTGTTGATCCATAAGAGATCCAACGCAATGATCAATTCAAAAGCAGAGCGTTGTGCGTAACTATCCACCCAATATGTGCAAAGTGTGAGACGCCAGCTCCCTGTAACTGATATGCTGATCATACTGCCCACCAGTGTCTAGGATGTAGCCGTCTTCTCATCACGAATGACGGGATCGGCATCGCCAGTGCGGTTAAAGTCCTCCTCGGGAATGACATACTTGGCCGTCTTGCGGGCAGAGACGCGGTTGTGGAACTAGAGCATGTCAGCGCGTGGGGAAAAAAAATATATATATGCCGATAGAGCCTTACCATAATGTCCATCTCACCAAACGTGCGGTCCTTGGTCTCGGGCAGACGGAAGTAGCCCCAGATAAAGGTGACCGTGGCGAGCGAGGACCAGAATAAAGCAGCCTTGCCCTTGAGGTTCCAGTCGTCAGGTGCCATCATCTTGGGGTTGATGACACCGCCAAAGATAATGTTTCCGGTGTAGTACACGCTGCGGGCCAGAACGACGGTCTGTGTGCGAAGACGAGTCGAGCCAATCTCAGCAACAATAGTGTAGACAATGGGTCCGACGGAGGCCGAGTACACGCCCAGCCAGACGACGCAGAGGATAGCCTGTGCCCATGAGAGAGATAGGGTTTGCTTAGGGGCCAGTGCGAGGAAGCCGACAATCCAAAGGATGCAGGCCAGCGTGCCGAAACCATACAGCCAAATCCTGCGACGACCGATCTTGTGGATGAACGCCCACGAGATAATTGTGCAGATGAAAGCAAGACCCTTACCGCCCAGCGCGATGGCGTAGGACGTGTTGGGGGGAAGGCCATTGCCAATCTGCTGGAAGAAGAAAGACCCAGAGTAGCACAGCGCACCACCGTTGGTGATCTGCGACATGAAGGACATGCACGCCACCTCGGTACGGCGAAGGTTTGTGCCCTTGAAGACGTCCCAGATGTTGACGCCCGCGGTCTCCTCAATCTCAATCTTGTTGGTGTGCACCATGAGCGCGACCGCGTTGTCGTAGTTAATGTTGTGCTCCGGCTCGGAGAGGCGCTTGAGCGAGTGCTTGGCCTCCTCCAGGCGACCTTGGCGGACGAGGAACCAGGGCGACTCGGGGGCGAAGAAGGCGGCGAGGCCTAGAGGTATAGGCCAGATCCACTGCAGGGCAAAGGGGATCTTGTAGCCCCAGTGCGTCGGGTTGTTGACGAGCGACTTGAGGACAAGGGCCGAGATAAATTGCCCAATGACCCAGCAGAGGTTGATGTAGGACGTCATGTAGCCACGAATGGCCAGCGGCGTCACCTCGGCAGCGTACGAAGGGCCTGTGGTGGCAAAGACACCCCATGGAACGTTGCAGAGCGTCTGGCCGACCAGCAGGACCTGAATGTTCGGCGCAAAGAAAACCACAAAGATAAAGGCCGAGAGCCAGAAGAGACTGCCGATGAGGACCTTGCGGTGACCCCAGCGGGCAGTAGCCCAGCCGTTGAGCAGAGCACCGACAATGTTGGCGACGGCCGCCAGGCAGTTGAAGCGCTGTTGCCAGGTGGATGAGATCTGGTAGCCGTTCTCTTCATTGATGACCTTGCCGTACTTTTCGCGAAAGCTGGGATACCCGTAGAAGGAGCCGAGCAGGGTGACATCGTAGCCTTCCATGATGACGGTCATGGAGATCACTGCAACGGTCAGTATGGGCTATTTGATGCGTGTACACTGCTTTGATCACGTACAGAACGACCACATGGCGGCCTTGCGATACGTCTTGAAGCCCTGGATAAAACCGACGCTGTGCTCCTGCGCGGTGGCCTCCATGGCACCGGCGTTGAGGCTCTTGTCGTGAATGTCGACATTTTCGAGGTGCCTGAGGTCCTGGTTGGACTCGACCCCGAGGTCGGTGGCGTCGGTTCTCTTCTCGGAAGCCATGAGGACGGATGAGATGTAGATCTGTCCCTTGGGATGTGGGTGAACAGCAGAGATCGGTGAGGCGAGAAGACGGCGGATCGCCGACTCTTATTCACGAATATTCGGAGTGGATCAATATAGCCTGAAAGTCAGGCTGTTCAGGATAATGGCCAAGCATGTCCTGGCGAGCCTCCCCGGTTGTCGCTTTCTGGTCAGGAGGCCCCATTCAGGATCGAGCACCACTAATAACAAACAATGGTCCCATTCGTTGCTGGCGTCTGTTCCACGACCCATTGGTGGAAAAGCCCACGGACGGTGAGGGGTTCATCCTGGATTCCTGGCCCGGCATCCCCCACGGTGGGCCGGACAGAAGAATCGAGGATAGCCATTGGATCTTGGATTGGGGAAAGGTGCCATCCTTGGCTGAGAAAGCCGGGGGCGGGTCGTACGTTGGGCGAAGGTGTGGGGGCAGCGTCTGGGGTAAACGGGTAATCAAAACCCCGAGTGTCTTTTGCTCTGCTCTTATGGCCTGACACCTGCCAGAGGCTTGATAAAAGCGTGCGTCAAGACCCGTCGGCTGATTTAGGAAGCTGGGTGCAAGTGTTGGTTGTGTCTGCATATGAAAAAGCGACAGATGGGATGTGAGAGTCGAGAGTCCAGGCTTCAGCTCCGGACGCTGCATGTGACATCCGTCGTGAATGAGCATGACTCTGTGCGTCGACCAGGACAAGCTAATACAGGTTTTGTATCTCCGGTGCGGCTGAAAGAATCGCCTAAACATGTTGGCTCCCCATTTCTTGATGAGCCACGGCCAATGCTTGGCTCTTGGGTCTCGTCGGTTGCGTGACTTGCGTCGACCAAGCGCTCGGAATCTCGGGTATGTCAACGATCAAGTGACCCACTGTCCTGCAGCCTTTCTTGAATAGATTCTTGGTCTGATTTGGGGTACAGTCCACGAATACGGATACTTAGGCTTGTCTTCGCGATTCAAACTTCAAAGCGTGTTCTCTTTGGGGCTCCAGTGAAGTCCAGTCGCCCGTGATCACTCTCGGCCGCCATTTGCCCGAAACAGCGCCCTGGGCAATGGGGATGTCACGAACGCGCGGAGCATCCGCCGTTCACCGTCCACATGCGTCCCACTTGATTCTTGACGCTTCCCCAGCTGCCCTGATCCAAGCGCAGCTAGATTTGGAATGAAGGCTTCCGATGTCGTGTCAGACTAGCGTGCAAGCGGGTGCGGCATTGCGCTGCGGGGATTGGCCATGGTCCATGCGCGTGCGGGCAATGTCGTGGAAGATGGAACGACCTGTCCCGGATATTCTAACGGGAGAATAGACAATCGAATGACTGACTGATGGTAAATTGGAGATGTAGATTGTCGGCACGTGGCATCCCAGTTCTCAACGGGTTGCTGGTTGTGAACTTGTGAGCAAATGTTGAAGAACGCCAAGTTGCGGCGCTTGGCAACTGGAGCAAAGAAGGCACGTGTGCACGTGACCCCGCCTTGAAACTTGCTCCTCGACTCCTTCTTGCCTCGCGACCTTCTTGCCCTCAACACCGGTCCCAACAGAAGATCTATCGTCACCATGACCACTTCTGCTTCCTTGGGGCATCTCGTGGACGTGGAAACGCGCTCACGTGCGGCCTCCACCTGATCTCCTTCGAATAAGATATCGAGTTGTACAGCCAGCCAGCACGCCACAAGAGACCAAGTTTCCCAGATGACTTGAAGAGGTTGAAATGGTAACTTCTCCGTCTGGGGCTTCAGTCACTTGAAGCGATGAGAACCTCTTGACGGCGCTGGTCAGACCCTTAATGGCACATTCTCGCCAACCATCCTAATGGAGTGAGAGGTCACACGAGTCGACGCGACGCACTTCCACATTATCACCAACAAAGCTTGCGTGAGAGTTCCAATTGCCCAGGGTGAATGAACACTGTGCCTCAATATCATAGACGCCATCTAGCGAGTACTGAGACTCCCAGATTATTGCTGATGACTGACCAGGCTTCTCACCTCGTTGCGCTGCACCATCTACCTCCCCGACCGTAACCACACATCAGCCCCTCGAGAGCCGCACCAAGCAACCCGCCAACAAGCAGTCCCGCGGGCTCACCCACGCCTATCGCGCCCAGAAGGACTTGCTGGCTCGCACCCGCTTCCTTTGCAGTTACTCCCATCGCTGTCGACCATGTTGACATGTATGTTGTGCCTACAGCGAGGCCGGCGAGGAAAAGGGCAGCGTACACCACAGCGCCTGGTGTCGTCAAGACAAATGCTGCATTGACCGCCAGGAAGGCTATCGTCACAGGCAGAGCGAGCCAGACGTATTGCTTGCGTGGCGATTTGATGAGTAGCGCGCTTGATCGTGCCAGCAAGTCACCCACTTGGAAAGCTGTTCCGACAGCTGCCAGATACGTAGCATACGTGTCAAAAGAGGTGCCCATTGCCATCGCTCGACTGAAGCCCGGGAAAATGACACCAGAACCAATAAAGGCCATCGCCAGCGGCAAGATGCATGGCTTAACCAGGGTTGACAACACCTCCAGATTCGATTGCGCTAGCTCAAGCAAGGACGAGTCGAGTGACTCGTGTTCGGCGAGCAATGGATCGTTCGACGTCCTGCTTTGGTTGTCTAGATCAATTTGACCCTTGGCTTTCTCTTCGTCCTTTGACGTTGCAGCATCTGGCACTGCGTGTGGCAGGATCAGGTAGTGCGCGCCAACCAGCATGGGCACGAGGTACCAGCTATAAGTCAGGCCCTGACGCACCTCGCCATTCAAGTGAATTGTCAGATAGTACGGCAATACCGCCGTGACAAGACCGCCCAGGCCTGTTCCGATTCCCCATCCGACGAGGCCGTGCTTGCCGTAATATCGCAGCAAGCCTAGCCAGGATACGTCGCCTGCCGCGGCGGACATCGAGGCAAGGACCACAGCAAATATGCGGATATTGGGTGACACATTGGGAGGCGAGATCCAAGTCAGGAACGCACTGAACGTCCAACCGATGCCCAGCACGAGTGGCCGCTGTCTGTCTGCAGTTCCGTGCAAGAGGTGCGGCAGCGCCAGTTTTGTGAGGACCGCTGGGAGGATTCGAATAACGAGGACGACGGGCCTCGAGTAAGGAACGATCAGATACGAGCTCGAGTGGACCACGCTTGGGAGAACCGTATTCGCGAAACCTGACGAGTGTCAGCTTGGGCCACCGCCTGTCGATGAAGCCATCGACACTTACCAATTAGGCAATATGCCAACACGATGCGGAGGTGGCGACCGACTGAGGCATCTTGATGCTTCATGGTGTGCGTTTTGCTTGAGCAGGTTCTCTTGGGACAGCTTGACAAGGCGCAACTGTCTGGGAGACCTGAAGCAAATGGTTAAGGCTTTGCCGCGAGCGTGAGCGCGAAATGAGCACAATCATAGCTCACCTCCACGGCAACCACTTCCGACTCGGAACCTCAGAGAGGAGCCTGCTGATGATCTACGCCCGTCGAAAGGTCACTGCCAATGACCGTATTTGAAAAGCCAACGTCGTCGAGCATTGCTGGGGATGCCATTTGTGATGTGTGGGTCGACACACTAACACCATCGGCATTCACTCAGCATTCACGGCAACGGTCCACCTTGGCGCATAGTTGCCCCACGTGTCCGAGGCTGGAGACGGTGATTTGACTGTACAAGACGACGACTAGCGACGCGATCCTCGACTTCATGGGTCGAAACTACCGCGATTTGCACGGCAGCCCTGGCCACGGACGAATGAGGTTGCAGCGCGTCGGCACGATGCCTGTGCTGATGGCACATTTGGCTGAGCAGATCCATGTACGCCATGACACATGCCATCACGAGGTGTACTACCAGACGGTTGCGCAACACCATGCCGGAATCGCACTGCTCATGGAGTGACATGCGAGCAGGACAACGATGGCTCGGGCTTGGCGAGGGTAATGGACGTGTAGACGTGAACCGTCATCACCGAGGACGAGAGCGTTGTCATCCTACTGCATCATTTTACCGCCCGGACAGACACAAAGATCATGAATCTGGGTGTTCTCAGTGGTCGCCTCGGGCGAGTGGGCAAGGTGTTGGGCATAGCGGTTCTCTTTACGACTCTGGCGACTTTCTTTTACTCGTTTCCGGTAAGCACTCCCTGGCTCGTGTGATCATTGGACCCTGACAGAGAAAGCGGCACGCACGCGACTCTGCGGGAGGTTCATATCACATCAACTACGACGACAAATCCATTCTCTCACAATCACAACTCGACGACCTCGCCACGCCGAAACCGCAAAATGCGACGTCCGAAGAAAGGCGGTTGCGCGTCTTCATGCCCGCCGACGGGCCGAACATCAACCTCTGCAAGACGATCATGTCGTCCGTCGCTCTGGGGTATCCGCTTCCGACGCTGCTGAACTGGGACGGCGAGTTCAACCGCAGGGGCTGGCATTTCGGGGGCAGCCACATTGCCAAGCTGGAGAGTCTCCTAGCGGTCATTGAGGAGCTGCTGACGAGCAGCGAGGATGCACACGAGGACGACCTCGCCCTCATGGTTGACGCCTACGACATCTGGTTCCAGCTGCCGCCGTCTGTCCTGATCCAGCGGTATCACCAATTAAATCGCGAAGCCGACGAGCGCAATCGCGGACTCTGGGAAGAGTCCAATGCGCTGCACGCGAGCTTTCCTCTCGAACCACCACGCCAGTCGATTATTGTCACGGGCGCCAAGGACTGTCAACCTGGTCCTGAATCCGGCTCCGACCCCCATTACGACCTCTGGCCGCAATCGCCCATGCCACTCGACCTCTACGGCGACCAGACGGACCAGTACCAATTCGCCATCTTCGACTCGTCGCATCGCTTCGCTCGGATCCGACCGCGCTGCGTCAACAGCGGCATGATCATGGGCACAATGGGTGCTATGCGCGACGCTCTGCGTCGAGCGCAGGACAAGGTGAACGACGTCGCGCGCGCTGGGCGCCAGCTGTGGAGTGACCAGGCGCTCTTTGCCGAAGTGCGGGGTGATCAGGAAGCGTGGCGGGCGTGGACACGAGAATTGGCATCGACGTGGAACGGCAGCGTGGCAACGAGCCCCGAGTCGACCAGACATGCCCATGTGAATAGCATTGCCGCTGCGGCGTTGCGAGGTGAGCGATTCGAGTTCGGCATCGGTCTTGACTATAACTTTACCACCATCCCACCGACGTGCTCGTCCGAGGACGATGGGGACTTCATCAAGTTTGATGACAAGCCCGCGCTTGCAGTTAAAACGTACCAAGCAGGCGTGCGCGATCGCGTGCGACTGACAAGCCTCCCGCCGGAGCTCGATGCGGCGCTCGAACTAAAGGAGGGTCCCCTGGCCAACTTGAAATGGGGCCTGAAACCGCTCTACTCTGACTTATTCTTTGGCGTCACGCCCGTGGGTATCCATCACAATGCATACAAGAATGGCCTGAAACCCTGGCGACTAAAGAACTGGTGGCATCGGATGTGGTTCTACCCCATGCTGCGGGAGCTGATCACGTACAGTCTCGCCGTGCGCAAGAAGGGGGAACGGATACTGCTGGAGATGGAGGACGGGGTGAATTATGTGGCGCCGCAAGAAGAGTTTGTGAACGTGTTCAAGCCAGGTAGTGAGGCTGTGTTGGAGGCCATTGGGTGGGATGGCGTCTGCCAGAAGGGCAGTACGCCGTGGTATGACGAGTTGCTGGGCGATGGGGAGGGTAAATTGGTGCTCTGATGGACGTTTGGACCTAATTATGATGATACCTCTGCCTTCTCCTCTTCAATAATCACGAATGGCATCATTTCACAGCGCTCGACCGGTATTAGTCTTGACGGATGGCACATCATATCAGGACTCAGAGACACAAACACGAGATGATAACTATCTATTTGCACACTGCATTATAGGGGTATTGTAGGGTATACGATCATTTCCAACACAAGCCTCCCGCCTCGACCTTAGATGAGCTCCCGATGGCTGCGTCCCTTGGCACCGTGGTGCTCCTGCTTGGCCTTATCGCCGACAGCGTCCTTGGCAGCGCTCAGGCTAGCGAGATGTCAGTCTGGGCATGTCCACAAATCTTGCCGTGCTTGGTCCATAGAAACGCACCGAGTGCCGATTGGCGCATTGGAGTCTTTTGAGGTTCTGTTAGTATCGTGAAACACATATTAGATGGCTCGACGTACCTTTGGCAACCGACTTGTTGGCCTGGTAGCTGCCGCCGTGGGCGACTTCCTGGGCCTTCTCGGAGATGGCGTGGCCGGCGTTCTTGAGAGAGTTCATGGTGGCGGTAGATGAAAATGGTTCTTAATGATGGAAAGATGGGATTGGAAATGTTGTTGATACTAATAAAGGGATGTGGGATTCAGGGCGCGTGGGGCGGTTTTAAACTAAAAGAGCATGACGTCAGTGCAGTCATTTCCAGGGTCCTTCTAAACATCGAAATCTTGATTTATGCACGGATCTTTCCGGCTGAGACATGAACGTGTACATGATACCGATCTATCTAGAGATGTCTTGCTGATCTTGCTCCACTACATTCATGTACCCGTTTGTGGCGGTGCCCCTGCTGGCGCCGCCGCTGAGGCCATCTGCGAATAGATCAAGGGCGATGTCGTGACGAGGAACCAGACCACGACCCAGAGCCAACCAGCCACGCCCCTCGCGATGCGCAGCGGCCCATGCGCGTTCCTTTTCGTACTCCCCATGACGCAGGCCTCCGCCGCCGTCCCCAGAAACTGCACAACGTAATAGGCGGCAAAGGTCCAAGGCTTCGGATCGCCGTCGAGCCACGAGATGAGACCGTGAAGAATGGCGGCGGCCGCGTACACGCACGCCACAACAAAGACCTTGGTCACGCGGGCCCCTTGTGGCAGCAGGAGCAGGTCACGGGCCAGATACGTGGCGAGGGCAATGTACGTTGGCGAGAGCAGGTTGTGCCAGCATGTGCCCCAGAACCTACGTAGGCTGTCCGCCTTGCGCCAGCTGCCAAAGAGAGGGGGCCACTCCTCTGGCTCGTCGAGGCGGAATAGGCAGACGTGCAGTATGGAGAGGATGTGGTGGAAGATGCAGAGGCTGTTGTAGCAGAACCAGAACCAGTCGAAGACGAGGTAGGCTCTCTTGGCAATGTCGAGACCGGTGAGGTCGAAGAGACCTGGGAAAATCTTGTCCACGCTGAAGTCTGAGACATAGAATGGTCCGATGAGGATTTTGGCGAGGATCGGGATGATGAGTGCGGTGGTGAGAAACCTGATGGTGATCATGAGCAGCACGTGGAGGAAGTGCTTGCCTTTGGACGATGGCGTGCCGCGAAAGGGATCATTGTTGGGGTCGGGCACGTCGCGCGGATTGCACCAGACTTTGTACGCCTCGTAGATGGACCACCTTGGCATAGGCGAGCCCAGCTTGTCAAGCGGTGGATAGTCCACGAGCAGGCGACGGACAGTGTACGGGAAGAACCATATCATCGTCACTTGATACGTGCCTTGGGCCGCATAGATTGAGCCCAGGGAACTGGCGTGCGTCAGGCCGTACATTGAAAGCGCCATGATAGAAATCGCGTCGAGATATCGTCCGGCCCAGGTGCGCCGCCACGCGAGTGACCAGTGCCCGAGGGCTGTGGCCAGGACGAAGCAGCCGAGGGCGATGGACGCCGATGGGGAAGCCATTGCGATGGGGAAGGTGATCAGCCCGATGGGATTGGCATGGATCGAGATAGGATTCTATCAAAAACTTGGAAGTTTGATCGCAATCAAGGCGACGTGGTCTTTCATCAGTTTTGTGAGGTAGGGCTCGAACCTTATTTACTTGCCCCTGAGAGTTTGCTAGGCGGCGTGGATAAGCTTTCTGACGCTGGGACTTTGGATCAAAGGCTTCTAGAATGCATCTCAAAAGTCTCTCTAGGGAAAGTGTCATAAGGCAATGCTAACATGAAGCTGATATTTCAGCAAAAAGTCCTCGCCAAACTCCGAAACCCAATATGCTAGGTACTACCTTATCTCAAGCCACCACTCAACGGTCCTCGTCCAGTCTAAACAGCGCCAGAGACAATGCATCGTCAAACACGGCCTTGCCAGGCCTCCTCGTGCTCATCAACCGCACCAGCCCAATCTCGCCCGACGCCGGACTGGGCTCTCGACTCAAGCTCGACACTTCGGACGTCATGGAACTCGCTCGACTCCTTCTCCCTTCCATCAGGGCACTTGAGCTCGGCGCCCTAATGGACATGGCACCACTCCTCTTCAACCCCTTGTCCAGACCACCACCAGCAGGAAGCTGACCAGGAACCTGCAACGAGCTGCGCCTGTTGTCCCCATTCGACTTTGGCGCCTCGAATCTCGACGTTGACGGCGTCTCCTGTCTCGCCTCGCCATCAAACCGCGCCGACACTTTCACCGTCGTCTCCCTCTCCTTGGCCCCTTCATCCCGCAGCGTCATCATCTTCCACAGCCCCTGCATCCACCTCTGCTTCTCCTCCACCTTCATCGACCGCAAAGGCAGCACCTCAGCCCCGCCCATCTCCCGCGTCGGCCAGGGAAAACTGACCGCCATCTCCCGCAGCGTCCGCGGCCGCAGCTGGCGCAGCACGATGCGGATCTGCGGTTCAATGTTGGGGACCACCTCAAACGGCCAGTCGCGTCGCGTCTCGAGACGACTCGCAATCTGTACCATGGCACCGACCAGCCACTCGACCGCCACGTGGTCGGGTACCGCGCCAGCCTTGTCGAGTAACCAGCCCAGTGTCTCGGGGGCACCCGACTGGTTGAGAATGGGAATGCTGCGCTTGTCGTGCTCGCGTCCCTGGAGTTTCATGATAAAGTCATTGTACTCATTCATCGAGTCTAGGCCCAAGCCCACGAAACGGCCCGTGTCCAGCGCGTGGACGAGCTCATCACCGAGCGCCATGCCAGACTTGATGCCGCTGTTCAGACCACGACCGGGCCAAAAGTGCACCGTCATGGCGGCGTCGCCCGCCACTGCGACGAGAGCATGCGGTCGCCGTAACGAGGGTGTCTCGCCGTGGGGTAGATACTGCACGCCTTCCCCTACGGCCTGGACGACGATGGGGATGCGCACTACGTTGATGACCTCGCTCTCCTTGAAGCCAAAAAGCTTGAGGCCGTCTTCGATAGACTGCCACAGGGGACTCTGCCGGTCTGTCGACGGGCGGAATACCTGGCCTGGCTCAAAACCATCGGGGATGCTGCCGTCCTCGGCGAGTAGACAGCCTGGTCGACCAAACGTGACGGGCGTGCCGTCGACGGACACCATCTCGTGCCACTCGGCCTCTGTGAGCTGCATGTTGAGGTAGCCTCGTCCGTCGTGGTCACTCGCGTTGAGCAGGTAGCGCGTCTGGCCGAGGGTGAGGAAGACATTGAGAGGTTGAGACCAGGGTAGACCGGCAGGCCGATCAAACGCCAGGCCAAGGGCATAGCTTTTCCCTCGCTCGTTCTCGTAGCCGTGAAAGTAGGATTTGCGCACCCAGGACGCCGCGCCGTCCGCGCCGAGGAGGACGTGGAAGTCATTTGCTTGGTGTAGTGTCTCGCGCGTCAGACCTTGTGCGTAGAGATGGATGAGGCCGCGGAACTCGTCGTCGTGGCAGCGCGCAAGCAGACGGTCCTCGACTTTGCGGATTTGTATGTTGGCGGAACCAGGCCACACCCTCTCTGGCCGATTCTGGAAGAGCGCGGTGCGCGTCCGCGGTGTCATGAGGTCAGTCACGGACTCTTGTAACGTCACGACTTGATCTCGTCTCTTGGCTGTGGGGGGATATCCAACCCGTCCTCCCTCTTGCATCACCCATCGGCGCTCATACATGTGCACCTCTACCTGTCCTTTGCCCTTTTCCGCGAGGGAGATGGCCGAGGCCAGCGCGGTAGGTCCACCACCGACGATGCACACCTTGAGCCGGGCAGCAGGATAGGGCAGCGTCACAGCGTCGGTGGGAAGCATGTCCAAGTTTCTGGCCAGTGTAGGGTCAAAGAAAAAGTCGACGACAGGACGCGTGTTCGGGTCAGAGCAGTCCGTGATGCCCGCCTTGATGAGCAGGAAGCGCATGGCCTGCAGCAAGGACGTGACCCCAAAGCTCTGATGGCGTCCCCCAATTATACGCATCCGCACAGCGTCAGCAATGGCGTAGACGCTCCTGTAGCTGTGCTGGTCGACGACAATCTCCATGAGGGCAGCATTCAAGCCACGGTCGGGCGACAGCTGGGTGAAGCGCAGGAGGAAGATCTGGGCGCGCTCGAGGTCGGTCCGCGAGTCGCTCAGACTGGGGACGTCGGACTGGGCGTGGTAGCCACCCCATGCTTGCTCGTACACGCGCGGGAAATGGATGATGTTGTGCTGTGCTGGTGTGGTGTCGGCGGTGGACGCTGGCGAGGGCAATGGTTCGGCCACCGAACGGCTGCGCGAACGACTGCGCAGGCGCAGCGGGATGATGGAGGTGGGCGCGAGCGTGCTCATTGTGTTGATGTGATGGATGGTGAGGAATCTAGTTAGTATTAACTATTGAGGACACGACGCAACCTCTTTGTCAGTCGGTTGAGGACGCAACAAAGGCGCGCGCGCTGTCTTTCATATCGAAGCAAAGGCTCGCTGACTCGCTTCCGTCCACGAAACAAGCACTCTTTGCTTGTACATTGTGAAACGGCATTTCCTTGGATGGAGGGGTCCCTTTTAGACCTGCATAGGATGTACACGGATGATGGATCTTATTCTTGGAGCCCAAGTTGGGGCCGCGCTTACGTGCGTGTGTCAGAGAGGCAGAGGCGCGGGATGCAAGTCTCGGCGCCAGGAGCTGAAGAGACCCTGCAGGTCCCTTGCTCGGTGCTCATTCGCCCGTTTGTTTTCGCCAAGACGCATCTCTGGCACTATTTGAAGCCAGCATGTCCAGGACGTCCCTCAGTGTCAAATTGGCTCATGGTCTAGGCAGGGCCACCACGATGGAGACTGCGCCGCACGGTCTCGCGCGGCACGAGGGCGCCACTGTCTACTTGCTGTTAATGCTTGTAGAATGATATGAAAAGGTAGCTCGCGCTAATAATTGCCGCCCTAGCAATGCAGCCCACAAGGCGGACTCGCGCGTGGCACGGAGCACCATCAATCAGGTGGCATGCTGAATAAGTGAGTGAGCTGACATGGACTGCCGACGAACGTGACAGGGCTTGTCCAGCCACAAGACGCCAACGGCTGCCGTTTTCTTCTCTTCTCATTAATTTCATTTCCATCCGTGGAATCGTCGGGCACTGCGACTCTGTGCAACTCTGTCAGCAGAGCGAGCGAGTGTGAAGGCGAGTGAGTCCGGTCGTCAGTTCTACGACAGATCTTCTCAGCACAGTCAGACACCGAGCAAATCATTAGAACAGGCCGACTGCCCGAGAGAAACAGCCGACCGCCATGCTACGCAAAAAGGAGACCTTTACCGTCATCACGCCCATTCCGGGCTTCATCCCACGCCAGCTCGCGCTCGACATTCTACACTCCCACTCCGAGGTCATCACCCTCAACCCACTCGTCCTCCGCCACAAACCTATCCCCGCACCCCAGACAGCCGCCGCCGATGAGTACTACAGCACCTGGTACGAGATCACGGAGCGCGTGCAGGTCGTGCCGGGCGTGGGCAGGGCGGGCAGCAAGGAGACGACGTTCCAGGGATGTTTCCACGACATGCCTTGGGGTCTGCAGACACACATCTACGCCATCCTCGGCATCGACATCCGCATCCGCTACCGCGTGGGCGGCAATCAGCCTGGCTTTGAGCCCCCCGAGCAGCGCGAGCTGGGGCAGGCCGCGCAGGCCATCCCCGCCGAGGGTCTCTACCTGCGCGAGGACATTGAGATCAAGTGCAACATCAGCCTCGTGTCCTTTGTCAAGTCGCAGCTCAAGGCGGCCAGCAAGGAGATGGTCGACAGGATCATCCGCAAGGCCGAGCTGCTCGACGCCGGCACGCTGCAGGCCATGATGACGGCGGATGGCAAGCTCAAAACGGTGAACCCCAACGATCGGTCCCAGGGCGCTGGCGCGGATGCGGGAGGGACAGGGCCCTTGCTGTCGCCTCGTCTGCCGTACCAACGCTCGCCCTCGGCGCCGCCCTACGCGCACGTCCAGAGCGCGGCGTCCCCGGATGGAAACTATCCCCAGTCGCCTGGGCAGTACTATCAGTATCACGGGCAGCCGTCGCCTGGGCAGTTGTCTCCCGGGCAGTTGTCTCATGGGCCGCCATCTCCTGGGCCACCGTCCCCTGGGTATCCGTCATCACAGTACGGGCAACAGCAGCAGCAGCACATGCAGAGACACCCGGGCCAGGCGTCGCCACAGCCTATGGAGTTTCCCGCTGAGATGGGCGATTCACGCCAGCAATGGAGTCGGTCGCCCATCCCACAGCATCAGCAGCAGCAGCAGCAAGGAGGGTACTATCAAGCAGGATACCAGCAGGATCAGCAGTGGGCGAACACGCAGAAGACGGAGTATGCGCATGCGCAGCAGCAACAACAACAGCAACAGCCTGCGACGACGTTTGCTGCTGAGCTGCCCGCCGAGGAAGTGAAGCGATAGGAGCAGCGAGGATAATTCGATTGGGTTAGGTCATCTTTCGCGAGGGCAGCAGCTTAGGCGTCGGCGCAGCGGGGATTGTGTCTGCTATTTATAGTCAGCAGTGTTGCATCAATAAGATACCCGTCTCTCCACATTGTGGGCGATTGACTGAAGTTGTAAGAAATGCGATTCGATCGGTTGGCTGAACCTGTTACGGCAAGCCTCACAATGGAGTCGCATTGTAATTTGTGCGTGAGACGAGGACTGATGAAGCAACATTGCCTGGCTGGTGCGGCTTGTTGGTGGTCGTTGCGCAGGATCCGCCACCCGACGCGTGACGCAAGCTTCTTTGATTCGACCGGGCAGCTGCAGCTAGCTCATTGAGAACCATGAATCAATCAATTAGGTTACATTCGCGGATTCCTGTCGCAGCACTGAGGAGCACGGAATGATGTGATTGCATCGTCTTGATGTTGGCTCTGTCAAAGTCAACCAGTTCTCTGTCGCCGCCTCACATCTCTTTTCCTCCCCAAATGCTCTCAATCGTCTTCATCCGAGATCAGTAATATTCAACATCACACACACCACCATGGGCGGCAACGCATCGGTACCAACAGACCCCAACAGGACCCTCCAGCTCATTGGGGCGGGCTACTCGCGCACGGGCACCCTGTCCATGGCCATGGCCCTCGAGAAGCTACTCGACGGACCCGTGATGCACGGCGGCTCTCAGCTGCTCGGGCGCGAGGACGGTGGGTGCCCTCCTCCCTTCTCATGAAAGAGCCATGCTGATGACTGCACAGAGTACGTCAAGCTGTGGACAGACGTCTTTGACGCGCGCCACGACCGCCCGCGCCTCCTCAAGCTGCTCAAAAAGGCGACGCAGGGTTTCGTCGGCATCACCGACGCGCCCGGCAACATTTTCATCGACGAGCTGCTCGAGCTGTACCCGGACGCGCAGGTCGTGGCCGTGACGCGCGACCGCGCGCGGTGGTGGCAGAGCTGGGAGGCTGTGACCAAGACGGCGGGCGCAGGCTTCCTCAACGTCTTCCTCGCGCCCGTCCCGGGCAAGCGATGGTATCCCAAGCTGGTGATGCAATTCTTGGAGCAGTGCGTGTTTTTGATGGGTACCCACGGTATGCAATTACTGACCTTTACCAGGCAAGAGGAGCGTCATGGCCCCATGACAGACAGTAAGTGGCATGCTGTGCATGACAAATGACAGGCACTGACGACCGCAGAACGCATGGACGAGCACAACGCGTACGTCAAGTCCGTGACGCCCCCCGACAAGTTCCACATGATGGAGCTCTCCGAGGGCTGGGCGCCGCTCTGCGCGATGCTCCACAAGCCGATCCCCGACGAGCCCTTCCCCCGCGCCAACGACGCCGAGGCCGTCGAGGGCGTGAACAAGGATATCCTGAAGGAGGCGGGCGGGCGTTGGGGCGTCATTCTCGCGGTCACGGGCGCTCTGGGCTATGGCGCGCTCTGGGTGTGGAGGAGCGGGCTGCTGGGACGGCACTGATGATGGGGAGGACGTGTATACGCGTGTCAACGGAATTGACCGTGAGCGACGGTCATTCTTTTCTTCTTGGTCTGTTGCGAATGCAGTTTGGCGAAATGGTTGGCCTGGATCAGCGCGAAATCATTGACGCGACTAGGCTACCTGAATTACCTACCCTGCATCACTAATTCTATCTCCATGTTCACTCTGTGAAACTCACCTCAGAGCAGGCTCACCTCGAGGGAATGCGCATTATCTCACTTACTCTGAACCATTTACAGTTATCTTCACTGATCCCAAGCCGTCAATTCCTTGGCCATGGCGGAACGCCTCCATCATGTCATCGGCCAGCTCCTATAACAATCTTATCTCCGGTATAACCGACCCCTCCCCCTCTATCATGCTCCCCAGCCTCTCTAATCACAACATACCAGAGTCAAATTCACATCATGTCCTGCCCCGATTGCTTCAGAGGTGGCATTTCGCCAGGCACCCCGACCGGCACGGAGGAGACCATCCATGGCCTGCCGACCTACGTCGCGCGACCGCCCGAGGGCGTCACGCCTCGAGGCATCGTTGTCTTCGTGCCCGATGCCTTTGGCTGGGTCTTTGTGAACAACCGCGTGCTATGCGACGTCTACGCCAAAAAGGGCAGCTACATTGTCTACCTGCCTGATTTCATGAATGGTGCGTACCCTTTGAAGCAACGGCAGAGCTCAAAGTACTGACAATGAGCAGGCCACTCGCTCCACTCCGATGTCATCGGCTACATGGACCACGTTGTCGAGCCAGCCCCGACGTGGCTCTCCTTGCTCACCAAACCCGTCAGCTTCCTGCGCATGCTGCCCTTGGCCGTGCCATTTATGCTCAATACCAAGATTCCCGCCACGCATCCGGGCGTCGTGAGTTTCATCCAGAAGCTGCGCACGTCGCCGCCGCCATTCGACACCAAGGATCTCAAGATTGGCGCGGCGGGCTTCTGCTGGGGCGGCAAGCATTGCGTCCTGCTCGCTGCCGATTCAGAGGAAGACCGCGTCGCGCGACACGGCGAGACGGAGAAGAAGCGATTGATCGACTGCGTCTTCACGGCGCACCCGTCCTTTTTGGATCTCCCCAAGGACATTGAGGCCATGACGATCCCGACGTTCATCACCGTGGGCGACAATGACGCCGTCGTGGGGGCCAAGCCGGCCGTCGAGACCAAGGCGCTGGTCGACAGCATGGAAGGCCACGAGATGGTCATTGAGCCCGGCGCGAAGCACGGCTTCTCTATCCGCATGAGGCCAGGGGACAAGCACGAGATGGAGTGTGCAGAGCGCGCTGAGAGGCAGGCTCTCGAGTGGTTCGAGAAGCATCTTGGTTAAGAGGGCGAGGGCAGTCTTGGGAGCAATGGTCTCACTTTGCTCTGGGCGGTGCGAAGTTACTAACAAGAGACGAGAGGCATTCTTGCGGGAAACTCGACGCCGTGGATTTGGCAGATGTGCACTACTAGATTGACAAGTTGCCCTATGGTAAACCTAAAATGTCATCACGAGGGCCTCCAAAGCTTGCGAATAAGACTATAATTTATAGTTTGGCCCAATTTTCTGGTATTAAAGCCAGAACCTGCCCGTCGAATGCTGTCCTCCACAAAATCCTCCTTGCTTACTCGAGCCTCCTGATCATCGTAACCAACATGCTGTATCTCGAACGTTCATTCGAATTAGACTACTTCACGAAAAATGTAGTGAATTCCCTCTCAGGGGCTGGTCTTCTCTACCGATCTTTTGGGAGCTCAATTGCCACTTTGAGCCGCGAGAGCCCGGGATGCTCGGACGAAAATGATGGGGCGTCGAGCTGGTCCCGGTCTGCAAGACAGATCAGGGATCGAGCAATGAATTCTATCCGAGGAAAGTTACAATCTAAAGATATAAACGACTTTCTGAGCAAACAGACAAGCGATGTACCAACCCTCAGCAACATGGCTGAGGAGATTGTTTCGAAAATCATGAAGCAACTTTCGCCCTTATCGCTCTGGTCATTCCGCCAGGCATCACCGGTCTATTTCAGAATCTTTGACTCGAAGGACTTCAATGAGTACCAAGTTGAGCTCGGGCCCAGGGACCGGCGACCGTGCTTTCACGTGGACAAGCTCTCATTTGGGGAACGTGCCGAGTCTTCCGAACAGCTGAGGCGCGATCAAACAGGAGGCGTTGAGGACCAACTTCAGGTTCCCATGTATTGCGAATCGTGTGTTGAGGTAAACAACCGAGGGGATGGGGACCCACGACTCGTCAGTCTGCGGAAGCTTCGATTCTGCGAAGCTTGCAAAGAGAACCATGCAGGTGTTTTCTGTCCCGCCCAAGATCTCGAAGCCTACGATGCCGGAGCAGGGAAGCTCAACTGCCTCGGAACAACTGGCAGCTGGCATATATGCGGCCATGGAGGCACAGCACCGGTGATGTGGCACACAGTTGCACGCCAAATGGCAAGCGAGGCAGGCAAGAATACGGGGCAATTCTGCAAACACCGAGCACACCAATACATCCAGCCCAAGAACAATCCACCAGGGTATGATTGTGTGGTATCTGCTAACCCACGGCTTCACATGTCACGTGGCCACCCCATGGGAGTTGAATTAACATTCGGTTGGGATCTTGCCCTTTTCGATATTGATGCCAAGAGCATACCCTCGTTGGTGCAGGTCCGCAACGCTGTTTTGGCTGCCCTAGATGGCAATCTACTTGACAATCTTACATGCTGCCAACACGTGCTGCGACAGCGAAAACTACACAAGTTTGCGCGTCACGGCATTTGTGGCTGTTTCGTCATACCAGGCAATACAAACTGCCCTGGTGAAAAGTATGGGTCCAGAGACTTTCGATGCGATTGCAAGCGGATGCAAGTATTAGATTGCGAAACGTGCAGTGGTGCATTCGCTTGGCAGCTCATCTCGGGGAGACTCTTCTTGAGCTACAGATATCATTGGGAAATCAGGAGACCAACAAGCCCGCCATGGATGGCTTTGCTCGATGATTTATCCGAGGAGATATACACAAAGCACAATAAACACCTCTTGTGGTGCGATCAGCCAGGGTGTGCTAACGTCAATCGGACCCGGTGGATGGATCTCATCAAAGAGGAGGCGTGTTTGCAATACTTGAGATTCACAAAAGGAAAGAAAGACAAGGAAACGAGGGAGATTGAGGAGGACTACAGGACAATGAAGCTCAGGAATATAGGTTGTGAGGGTTGCTACAAGATGCCGCCCACGAGGAATCCAGCTGGCTGCGATATTGGAGTAGAGGAATCGTGAATTTGTACTTTGATTTAGGAAAGATTAGAAGTTCAAACATATGGCACTTAAAGTTATAAAAGATACCGGCTTTCGACGCGCTGCGTTACACGCATAGTATACAGAGGGTTGGCAGAAGTTCCGAGTGAGGATATAACTAACTGCTTCTTAACTTACTATTCTTTATGCTTTGTTCTTAATACTACCTGTACTCTGGTCGAGTAAGCTGCGTCGCTACACGCTGCCAGTGCTTAAGCATTGCTACACAACGTAAGCAACGGTCAGTCTGGAACAGGAAAACCTTTTGAGAGACGAAAGGTGAAGCCTAGGGCGGATGATTTTGGCGTTAAAACTCATATGTTCTCTCGGGGCAAGTAATAATCACGTTACTATCTATTCGATCAAGGTACCTATACCTGGCAATTCAAGAGCCCCCGAAGGTTCACATCCATAGTTATGAATGATCAGGTCCGTATCTACGTTGAAATTTAGCGTCCCGGGCGAGGGAGGTACGACTAAGTGAACCGTCGGTCTTGATGTTTGTGGAAAGTTGGAAGGACGGGAGTTTTGGTGGCTCCTGCAAACAGCGGATAACGCAATACATGGTAATATTGAACCTTCTGCTCTGCTTGTTTGTACACGAAGTCTAGCCCGTTATGTTGATTCGAACGACCTGACAGCAGTTGAATTCATCCATTTGATTTGAACGACCTGACGACAATGGAATTCATCCATTTGATTTGAACGACCTGACAACAATTGAATTCATCATGGCAGGCTGGCCAGTGATCGTTGGGGCCGTTATTGGGGCCGTTATTGCGGCCTCCATTGCAGGTCTCAAGGTCTGGTCAGACCGTCAGACCATTACTAGGCCAAGAAGGTCAATGCCCGCGTAGATTCAGCGGAGAATCGGGAGCAAGAGAAGTAGGAGGCAAACAAGTTTAAGTATGTTTCTGCACGCTATACCACCAAAGGAATACTTTACCCTGTCTGGTTCCAAGCTGACTATATATAGCTGCCAAAAAGCAGACCAAGAAGGTCAGGCGCAATTCTAGCAAGTCAGCGCACCTTGTCCGGGTCCAGTAGCCACGGATCAACGTGGTGAAGCCAACGCAGCCCCTTTACCGCATTCAATGTCCTTGCGGACAGCGGTATAAAAACGATACCTCACCTCATCGCTCTACACGAAGCAAGCCAACAAAGGAGCCAACACGCGCGGCGAGCATCTGAACCATGTCACAAACCTCAACTGTCGATCAACCTCACACTCGGAGATGAGCAAAACTTGCCCCCCCACAATCACCTACATCCAGCATCTTTCGACATACTCTTTTACGTGGCTTTCCCAAACCATCATCTTTCATTTGGTGGCGATCTCCTGGCGAAGAGTTCCAATGGACTCCGGCCTCCACTCGCACGGCTATTATCCTGAAGAGCTCCTAATAACAGGTCCAGGCGCTCACTATTGCCCAACGACTTGATCCACTACCAGACAGCGGATACCATCACGCAAGGACCGCATCCGAGGAGACATTGATGAGGCTTAGATTTCCACCTAAGGCACTCGGTTCCTTCTCCAGAGGAGTGAACCCCGTCCATTCTCCCATAGTCAAGCCGCTGAGGGGCTGATTAGTAGTTGGGTCGGTGGCGACTATCAAATACCGGCTGCCGTATGGTTTTTGCTCTCCACGCCTCTTTCTTTTTGTTGTGAGCCACGGGTATAGTGGTTATAGAGACTGGTAATTGCTTTAACTGCTACATACGACCATACCCAGTGGAAAATACGGGATCCCGTCCGCTCTCCCATAGTCAAGCCGCTGAGGGGCTGATTAGTAGTTGGGTCGGTGACGACCAGCGAATACCGGCTGTTGTATGTCTTTTTGCTCTCCTCACCTACTGCCGTCGCTAGCGACCGCTGCGGGCAAGAGGCAAGCTAATGCTTCAGCCAAGAGAATCGCAAAGACTATACTGTGACAAACGTTGGTCCTGACACTGACACACACTCGTCTAATCGGCATGTAACGATCAGAAACGCCAGTGAGTTTCACAGCGTGCACAGCTATGTGATTTCCGGGTCTGCAGAACTTTTGTCCTCGCCAAGTCACTCTACTCAATCCCAATAAGCTTAATTCTAAACTTGGTGGACTAGCGGAAGGGGTTGACTTGGTCGTCGGAATAGCCAGCAAGATGGGCAAGTCGGCCCTGAACAAGGTAGAGGCCGTCAGCAAGGCCGTGCGCTGGTTTCCCGACAAGAAGAAGGTCACGGTGTGCCTGCAGAAACTAATAATAATAATTAAAGCCATTCGATGGATGCGGCCAAGAATAGTGTTGCATTCAATTGCTTGGGTCATGCAGCGATAGCCTACCCTAGACATAAGCCAAAGACAATGCACACACGGGCTTAGATCACCCAATGCAATTGAATTTTAGTACACCACTGTCTGGATGTGCGAATCAGTATTGCTGCTTCATTGGAAGATTGTCAATCAGAGGCAAAAAAAGCTGACTAGAATGCCGGTTGAGTATCAGGCACTTGGGGGCCAATTCGCAAACATGTTGAAGGCGCAAAATGGAGCCTGAGACCCTAGTTCTGCGTGCCGTGATATTCTCTACTACCTAACTTAGTCTTCAGACATCTACCGTGTACATTTATCTTCATCATCGGTCTTTACACGTCTACACTGCCCTCGGTAGCGGCGGGCCGGTGCTGCCAAGACTCCGTTACACAACACTCAAGTCAACAACGCCTGCTGCGGGCAAGGCCACGGTGACGGTTGACCTGACACTGATGCTGAGACGCGTCTTTGCTGACTCGCACGGTGCCAAGTCGACTCCGGAGGCCGGGAATAGATTCGAGTCTACCTTACATGTACTCCGCACCCAGGCCGCATGTGATGATCAGAAACGCTAACGGGTTTCATGGCCCACTTGTTGGACGCACCATGTGCAGATCTGCAGATCAAGAGCCGACCACATACTTGCGCGTCTGCCCTACGGCTATACGCGTTCAGCACAGGTCGAGCCATGGCGAGAGATGAATATTTCTCCGCCAAATGACTGTCCACTGCCATCCGTGTTGAGCCCTCCCCCGTGTCGGGCTAGCTACATGTATCGAGTTGCCCAGAGCTTAGTCTTGAAGAATACAGTAGCCGTCTCGCAGCAGTCCTCAATCCTCATGTGACTCTGCACAGCCACCCGGACCCGGAAGAGTTTCAGCGCCTGGACATGGCCGTCGACTTGTAAACTATCGAGCCATACCATCGACTTCGATTCTCTGTAAGTGTGTCCGTGGATAATCATTGCAACCGCACGAGTCGTTCTTGGCGTTGCACCCGCCTCCTCCACGTTGCATCGCCAACGTCCATGTTCTTGGCTTCAACTCCTGAGGAGATCCTGAGGAGGAGGCGGATAGCCGAGCCAGTGTCTTTCAAGATGACCACGATCATAGACCATGAAAGACACCTCAAGCCCGCTAGGAGGTCAGTATAAAGCTCGCGCTGGTCCGACATGAGCAACAGTCCTGCATCCTCATTCTCAACGCACTCTTCGGTTCCTTTCCTCTGCAGATACCCATTTCCTTTCTTCGCTTCATCTAATCCTCCCACTCCACAAAGTATATACCTGCCGGCTCAGGATGCATTTCTCCACCCGCTCTGTCGCTCTCACAGCCTTCGGCACCCTCGTTGCTGGTCACGGGGCCATCATTGCCGCCACGGGCGACATGGGTGGAAGTGGCATGGCCATTGGAAGTACGACCTTCTCTTCTCTCAAACACATCACTTTGGAAAGCCGCCATGACTGACAACTTGAACCCGCAGTCGACCCCTCTACTCCTCGTGATGGAACCCGGGACGTTCCTTTCCAGCAGGACACGACCGTCTTTGACGGCGACGCCGAGTTTGCCTGCGGCGAGACGGACCAGGTACGCGCACTCCATCTTGCCTTTCTCTGCAGACATAACCCCCGCTGACAAGGACAAAGACGGCCGAGAATGACGGCGTCAACGAGATCGAGTCTGGCGTTGCCAAGGTCATGACCATGGCCAACGACAGCCTCCCTATGGTCAGCCAGGGAGGCGAGCTGACCATGACCCTCCACCAGGTCAACGGAGACGGCGCCGGCCCCTACGTCTGCATGATTGACGCCACCGGGACCGGGACCAACTGGGTCGCCATGGACATCACCCAGCAGGTGCCCGGTAGGAGGGGAAGAAACAACGATGGTGACACCACAGACTTTGTATGAAGCCCCTCTTCCTCTTCCTGGACGATGTTCTGTTGCTAACGCTCCTCCCCCTCTCCTAGCCCCTCAGCGTCAAGGTCGCCCAGGACCAGATGTGCATGGGCAACGTCGCCGGCATGAACAATGTCTGCATGGTCCGCTGCCAGAATCCCCGTGGTCCCTTTGGCGGCTGCGTCCCCATCCAGATGGGCGGCAACGCCACCGCCACGGCCAACCCGGTCATGTCCCAGACGGGCGGCACCGCTGAGGATGATATCGATGCGATTGTCGACGCGGCCGAGGCCGCCGATGGGGGCCGCGGTGGCCGTGGGAACCGCGGTGGACTCGCCTCTCTGTTCAACCGCTCCAAGGCGGCGCAGATGAGCGAGGCCAAGCGGGAGCGGTTGGAGAGCCAGGAGAGGGTCCGGGCCATGCGTCTGGCGCGCAAGGAGGCCAAGCAGGCCGCACGGGCCGCGCAGGCTGGACAGGCCTGAATAAAGGTCCACAGCTCGGCCTCGTGCACTCCAAAGACTGCCAAAGGCGTGGGCTCAAGGAACCATCTTGTTTCCGTGATAGATGCGGGTGATGGAGCCCCCCGGGGCCTGGAGGAGGCGGAGCTGAAGGAAAAGGGGAGAGCATGGGGAAGAGACGGAGAGTGCCCATACTAAATACCCTGGCGGTAGCGGGCTACCTCCTTAACAAAGGGCCGATATGTCTAGCTAAGATTAGCAGAGGAAACAATAATGTGAAGGGGATTATCCACGTCACTACTCTACCGACTTTTACTACGCTCCACATCCTCTTTCAAAGTCACCCCGGCGTATCTGTGGCCTCAAAGGCGCAAAGGGACCGAGTGGCGACCGTGAGGTTGTGCCATGGTTGAAGTGTCAGATACTCGCGTGGGTGCGACGGCGTCAGCCTGTGGAAGAGCAGCCTGTGACATTTGGATGGTGGTGGGTAGAGGGATGCTGTCAAGTGCCGGTCTGTGGCTACGCGCGAGCTACGCGAGGTCACGTGGTGCCGGTAATGGGACCTGAGTCACCTGACTCGCCTGACTGCTATCTCACGACCGAGTCGAGACTCTACGAAGTTGTGCAACTATTTCATCGCTCTTCTGTCATCTTTGCCGCTCTCTGGCGTCATCAACACATGATTCTACACGTGTGCACAGTCTTGCATGTCAAAGGCCTGTGCGTCGCAGGCCAGTTAACAACAATAATTGTTTCAGGCACGCTACTCACCATGCTTTAGCTAACGAGTGAGACAAGCAAGGAAAGATATGAACTTTGGGAAAAGTGGCTATATTGAATGCCGGCTTGCTCGCTTCCTCGGCGGACAGTACAAGTAACCCGAGACTAAGTACTACATTCTGTAGTCCTTCACACGCCGGCGGATGATTGGAGGGAGGGTTTGGAAGACTGGACTTGCACACCTCCGGTTGATGCACCTATGCGGATCGACTCCTTGGTGCGCTTGACCTCAACTAACGATACTGTGTTACCAGACGTGATGTGCCGGAAACGTCATGGCGGCATGTGACGAGGCATGGCGATGTGATGACGAGACCAAGGTTTCTATTCGTGGTTTTGTATATGAATCCAGACTCGGGCTCAAGTGAGTTTGGGACCTTCATGTTGGATGCATATACATTCAACAACTTTGAACACTCAGTAGGCACGACACACTCTATCACATCCAAGCCACAACTACGCACCGAGACACAATCACTGCAGTCGTAATGTTCGTACACGCCAGAAACGATGTCTTTGACACGAACCCTGCTTCAGGGGCACGGTCGCTCACCCAAGGCGGCTCAGATTGGCTCTGGGCTGCTACCGCCATCTTTGCCGTCTCGTTCGTACGTTGCTCCTGTTTGGTCGATAATTTTCAGGCACACATGCTAAGATCACACAGCTCATCTTACTCGTTCTCGGCCTCCGTCCTTGGCATGGCGAGCGCATCTTCCACTATCTGTTCACCATCGCCCTCCTTGTCGGCGCCATCACCTACTTCGCCATGGCCAGCGATCTAGGATGGTCCGTCGTAAGGCAGCATCTCCGTGTCAGTGAAGCGGCAACCTACCAGGTCTTCTTTGCAAAGTACATCTTCTGGGTGGTGGCGTTCCCCGTCATTGTCATCGCGCTGGGCCTCGCCAGCGGCGTCAGCTGGGCGACCATTGTCTACAACATCTTTTTGTCCTGGATCTGGATCATCTCCTACCTCGTCGGTGCGTACACCCGCACTCGCTACAAGTGGGGCTTCTTTACCTTTGGCACCGTGGCGTACCTCCTCCTCGCCTACCAGACGTTGTGGTCCGGCTGGTCTGCCAGCAGGCGCTTCCCTCACCAACGCGACTACACCTTGCTTGCAGGCTACGCCAACCTCTTCTGGTTGATCTACCCAATCGCTTGGGCTGTCACCGACGGTGGCAACGTCATTGGTGTCGCCCAGATGGCAATCTTCTTCGGCATCCTTGATGTGCTCCTGGTATGTGGGCTCGCCTTTGCCTTCATCTTCCTCTCGAAGCGGTGGGACCACGAATTGATGCGCCTGCACTTTACTCGGGATGGCCGCATCCCCCACGCGAGAGACTTCCACGACAAGCATCCCGTCGGCGAACGAGTCGTCGGTGCTGGCGCTGGAACTGGAACTGGTGCAACAGCCGGAGCGGGTGATGGTGTTGGTACCACTGCAGGCTATGCGCAGCCCGTTTGAGAGCATCACTGCCAACTACTGTCAGACCGCCCCGGCTGGATAATAGTCTACCGTCCCGGGTTGTCCAGGACACTCATGCCCTGGGCGGGGCAACAACTAATCTGCTGCCGGACCTTTAACACACTTTCAATGGGGAGTGGAAGAGAAAGTGATGGACACGACTAATGTTTTTCATGTGTGATTTGTAACTCCGGGTTGCATTATTGTAACGTATTTATCAATCTTTTAGTTTTAGGCGGTAAATTACCTAGGAAGGTAGATAGTCTAGCTATACGCGGTAACTCTCCCTCTTTATCCCCTCCCTAGATTTACTTAACGGTAGATATAATATATATATTCGCTAGGAGTTAGGGGGAGTAAATAAGTAAGAAATCAAGAATACTTATACTATATACCTTAGCGGTAGCGGGCTAACTTCTTAATAAAGCGCTAATAGAATTAATTAAGATTAATAAAGGATAATAATTTTAAGGGAATTATCCACGTTACTACTCTCTTGAATTTTACTAAGAAGTCGGGCATAGACGTATAAGATGTGGAATGTGAAGAGCTATAGAGGCCAGCTGGAGGGGAGCGTGCAGACATGCGCGGGTGGACTTGGGCAAGTCTTTAGTTAACATGATTATACTACATGGATTATGAGACCGTATCGTCACGAACAGAGAGTACAGTAGACAAGTCAGCCGTAGCGAAGCGGCAGATAACCTATGAAGCGGCTGTGGCAGAGAAAAGCCGAGCTGTTCTTGATGCTTACCTGGAGTTTAAGCCCAGCCATATTAACGAAGCCCACCCTTTCGGCAATACCTGTCGTGACGGAACACTCAAACTATACGCTACTCATGTGATACACCCATGTAAGCCGGAGCGCAACTCGAAGGGATGTTTTCAACGAGAATCGATGCTGCTCCTAGATATAAGCTGCGCTGGCCAAAGAAGGGAGGCAGTGAAGCGAGGCGGGGTGATGCAACATCCCGATGTCTTGCTGCTTGCATTGTGAAGTTAAAGGGTCGGGAATCAATATTGAATTGATGAACACACTGCTTCTTCTAACTACATGTAACGAACGACAAAGATACAAGCTCAACAACTTTAAAAATTGACCAGAAAAGGGATCAATCAAGTAGGGGGGATAATAACATCGCAAAACCTTAGATCTGGAGGACATTTGAAAAACATGGCCCAAGCCATGGGAGACCTAGATATTCTTCAGTCCAGACCCCAGGGGTTCTCGGCTTCAATAGCATTTGCAGCGCAAATCAAGAAAGCCTTCACAGTATCCTCCCTTGTAGCCATCAACGGTCTTACACTATAATATATGTTCGTTAGAGATCATCATACTCAAAACTGTGCTCAGTTATATATATATTGAGGGAGGGTCGACGTACGTGATTGTGGCACTTTGTGTCGTTGGGGCATCCAAAGCCGCGCTTCTCTAGAGCCGCATCTGCAGAGATGTCTTGCACAGGGGCTGCCTCCGCCGAGCGGGCATCAACAGAGGATGATGCGGGAGCAGCCACAGAAGTGGTGGCAAGGAGTGTGAAGAGAGCGGTGATAGAGAGCTTGGAGAACTGCATCTTGATGGAGCAAGAAGAAGGTCGTTTGTTGCTTGGAAAGGAGCTTTGCTGTGGTTCAAAGTGGTGGTTCTTTTGTTTCTTGTTGAGGATGTCTTAGTGAATTGGATAACCATCACTTGGAGGGGGAAGTCGAAGGCCTTTATATAGATCGATTCAGTGTGAAATCAGGTGTTGACATAATCAGAGCAACGGTCAGGCTTCAGGTCTGTTCGGCTGACGGCGGCCTGGACTCGCTGATAGAACCATACGAATGTTGAATCTTCGCGACTTTTCCATGTCCGACTGTTTCACACATCCGCCTCCCTGTGTTCGTCTAGCTTACCATCTTCGACCCAAAGTAGTGGGTGGTCCAGCTGAGTCAGAAGAGCTATTGGGACTGGAGCTTGCTCCCCGAGGCAGACCTACATAGACGGCAGGGCTCGGCTTATGCACAGGAGCTCCGTCTTCATGCCTGTGGCAAAGTGCATATAGCGATCTACGCCAAGCACAGCTGAATCCTCAAAAGGGCAGCTATATTCACTTCCCCTACTTCAACAGCAATTTCTCCCTGCCGCTAAGGACGAGCTGAACGGGCGAGAGACGGTACGGTACTCACCCGACAAAGTATAACCACAGAGGTCTCGACATTTGTATTCCAAGTAGATAAAAACAGGTAGGAAGATGATCCCCAAAAGACATGGATACAAGCTAGTCAACGATGTTCAGTTTCGGACGCCCCAGCCGGCATTACTAAGGTAGGTTTCCGGAGCGACTTCCGATGTTGCACACATATTTATTAGGCTCGCGCCGTCGGGAAATTGGCGACGGCCCGTGGGTGGCTGCAGTGATCTCCCAAGATGGAAAGCTGTCCGATGTTTTACCTCGCGAGTTGGTGCTATTTTCCCCAGGGTTTCCTGGCTTTACGTAAAGGGGGAACTTCTGAGCGGCACCTTGCAGCAAAGCGGCTGGGAGCATGTCATGCAAAGATCGCCGGTGAGCCGTTCCTGGAACGTCATGCTTCTCGCCTCACCAATCATAGAGCATCTGCCATCGGTAAGGCTCGCTGGCAAGTCAACCTCGAAGTCAATTATTACTTCATCATGGATTCATGGTTGACTTGGGTGTCATCTACCCCGCCGATCTCACATAAGCAAGGACGGCCCATTGCCAAATGGCCCCCGAAGATACAGCCAGGCTCCAGGAGGGGCATGTTACATCAGTTTTGAATAGCAAAAGTCTTGGTGACACCCTGGAGGCAGCTTGGCGGGGTTCACCCTGGGGTAAAGGAGGGATAGTCAGACATAAGCCGCATCTACGAGTGAATACGGGGCTTCGATGCGAAGTAAAGCTTCTTTTACGGGAAATAACAAGGAATCTAGGTTTGAGGTCCTGGGACATGATGGCATTGCGATATCTATAAAAGGGGTACCTGACCACAATACTGTTGGCAAGGCAAACCATCCAGTGACCTCAATCTACCAGTCAAAGCAACGACACCACTCTCTCATATTGATTATCCCACCCAATCTGCTCAATATGAAGCCCAGCTCCATCCTCACTCTGATCGCTCTGGAAGCCCAGGCCACCTTTGCCCTGCCGGCCGAGCCGGCCGAGAACGAGACCCCTAACGACGTCGGCGTCGTTATGGCTGAAGGCGAAATCGACGCCGCGGCAGTCTGCTACGACAACGCTTGCCTTCAGGGCATCGGCAAGTGCAATAGCATCTGCCGCAGTCGATGTGGATGCGGGTCTGGTCGCTGCGGTGGGTGGACAGGCCTAACCTGTATCTGCTCAGGGGTAAGTCAACATGTGCTATTCTCTGGCCAAAGGGGCACATCAAAACAACTCAATGCTAAAAAAAGAAATTTAGTGCTGAATGATTCCTTTGTATCGATGGCGTTTGTTATTGAACTTGGGAACTTTGAGTATCTCGGAACGAAGAAGTTCAGACAAGTCACCCAGCCAAGGCAATGAAGAGACTCGGACTCCTTCACAGATTGATCCTTCACAGCTGTAATTATTACAGTAATACTGAAAATTGTATTTTCGCCACTAGTATTTTTTCCTAAATTGTGCGTAAGCTTGTGCTCAGTTGCAGAACACGTCTTGCGCTACGTCCTACACCCCATATCACTCTGTGTATCGCCAGTAGTAGGACACTGCCCTTCACTTAGGCACTGCACTTTAGGCTCAACAACTCCAATAACTTCCAAGTCCTAGATGAAGTGTAGACCCAAAGCGACGACCTTCTATTCCCTCTGTAAAAAGTGGACTTCTGCGTCTTCAAGTCTGGCATTTTCAGCACCGTCCACTTCGTCGGACACCAGGAAGCAAAGCTATCTGCCACATGGCTCTCAACTGTCACTCTGTGCTTGTCGGTGCCTCAGGAGATGTCAAGATTGGTGTGTGATGCGCGATGCATTCAAGACCCATCATCGTCGCCTATAAAAAGGGGTAGAAAATCAAGACCCGGCGGCCTCGGTTCCTACTTAGGCACGTACCTACTTCGGCGACTCAGGGCCTATTACCATCCTCATCACCTTCCTCATAACCACAAGCTGCCAACCGTTCATCACCACAAGCCTCATTCTCTTCATATTCATGTCGACCGAGAGAGACTGATTTTTAGTCACGCACGAAGTTTATCAAATCAGATCTATATATATTAGTATGAGACCATACAGTCGATAATTGCGCAGGATTCCTATTTAATTAGTTAGATTTGACCCCCAGATTTGGACTGATTGATTGACCCGCAGCCATGTCTTTGAGTCCAAGATCAGCCTCTGTGAGAATTATGCATAAATTATACAGACCCAATTAGGAAATCCGCCCACGATCTTACAGGGTCGCTCCTGCATCGGGTCATTTCTCATGTTCTTCCCTCACTGGCTCCCTCCCTCCCTCACTTCCTCCTCACCCCCAACTTAAAAGAAAGCCATGGCCAGCCAGAGTCGTCCTGCACATGTACGCATAGTCTCGCCCAGCGCTTTTCCGCTGGATCCGCGTCACGAGCAAACTCGCACCCCTATACAAGGCATTCTCCGCCAAGGTCGCGTCTTTTCCAAAGAGCGGAGCGCAAGCTGCCTCTTGCGTCTCCCCGACGAGATCTTGTGGGTCATCATAGGCTTCGTCGCCGAGGAGTATCACGGTCGCTCTCTGTCCCAGTTTGCTCTGACACACAGCGAATGCAGACAACTTGCGCGTCCGTACCAATTTGCCGATGTCTGGATCACACGCAGCGAGATCTCTTGGGGGTTCCTGCGTTACCTCAAGAACGAAGAGGCGGGTGTTGACACACCCTCCATCGGCTGTCTCATCCGCTCCTTGACTTTCACCATTGACGCCGATTTTCAAAGCTACTACGCCCCCTGTGGCTATGACAAGAAACTTGACGAGTGGAGTGAGTATTGGGGGCCGATGGTGGAAGACCTTGCAGAGGCAATACGACACAAGACGCCCATGCTCGACCAGATTTATTGGATGGATACGGGTGGGCTTGACATGAGCGAGAATCTATTCGCCGCTGTGGTTGGGCATGCGACTCCTTCGGGTCATTTGAGGAGACTCTACTTGGAAGATCATGAGATCAGTTACTGCAAGGATTCTGACGGTTTTCTCGATTACCGTCCCCCAAAGCCATTCCCAACTTCTCCCACTCTCCCGCTCAGAGACCTGGCCTTTGGCTTCAGCCGCCTCGACGAGTGTTGGAACGATTTTTGCGGCGAGTCATCCAGGATCGTCGAAACGTTTCTGCGAAGATCCGCAAAGACCCTAGAATCTTTCGCGCTCAATGCATTCCTCGACATCGGTCCGGACACGAGGGCAGACTTTCGAATGACCGGTTTTCGGAACGGGTGCATTTTCTTCAACAAGCTGCGCAAGTTTTGGACATACACCGAAAATCTAGACAATCTTTACCCCGATGTGGTGGAATCCTTGTTATCGGCGCCTCTGGAGAGCTTCGCCCCGTCCGCCGAGCTCTGCTCGATTATGACAGCAAACGGTCTCCTCGAGAGGTACCCCCTGCCCCAGCTTCGGACATTTGCAGTGACGGCTGCGCCCAGCGGCTTGAACCCATTTGACACACCGCAATATGTCGACGAGGTCCTTCGGCTCGGGCGGTCTTACGGCCCACAGCTGCATGAGCTTTTCATCTACGTCCGGGGGTACGACCGCAACGAGTACGACGACAACGAGAACAATACCAGTGTAGGCATTCTAGTCGCACACTTATCCAGCGGCAGTTTTGATAACTTACGGTCGTTGTGCTTCTCTTGGGCCATTGATCCCGAACTGGAGACTTTGCGCACCATTGGTTGCCACCTCTTGGCCTTGGAGGAGCTGTCGTTTGGCTTTCAGCCCGATGAAGCCAAGACGTTTGCAACGTTGAGGGACGAGTGGCGGTTTCCCTGGCACACCACATCCTCGCCAGACCACGGTGACTTCATCGCCGCCATCGCCCCTCTGCAGCGTCTGGAGAGGCTCTGTGTCTTTGGCGACGAGTTTGTCGCGGACTGGGCCGGCGACGGCTGGGCCTGGCATCGGTTCTTTAAAGACCACGTCTGGTTTCATCAGGGGCGGAGCTTTGTCCACCGCGAGAGGGGGAAACAGGGAGAAGGGCAAGACTGGTCCGAGGCCACGCGCGGACACACCCGCACTGGCGACAAGGTGGAGGACTGGCTCACGCCCTGGGTGACCGGCAAGGAGAGCGTAGAAGAGGGCCGCCAAGCCGTCGGAGAGATAGCCGCTCGATATGCAGACGTGTTGCCCCAGTTGCGGGAATTCATGGCGGGTAGAGTATTGGTGGAGATTTCACGTGAATGAGCGTTGCAATGAAGATGAAAGGTCCAAGCACATGGAGTTGGGAAGACTTGGCTGTGCCTCAAACTCAAGTATTGTGTGGCAGGCCAGTGACTGCCCTGCTTGGTCAGGCTGCACATTCGGCCTTGAAAAGGCAGCATCTTCGCGGCATCGCGTTCTGCCTTCTTTTCTTAGTATCAGCATCTTCTTCAGATAGTGAATGTTTATTCTCGCTGTTTTGATTTGCTGTTCCTCATCATATCAAGGACCCTAGCTACGGTTGAGCGACCAGCACACTCGACATGGGAGATACCAATTTTGAGACAGAATACCGCACTCACTCGACAAAGTCGCTAGCGCTAGTTGGTAGAATCTAGCCGCATATGACTTAGCGCTATAGATATATGCTTATATAAAAGTGCGAATCTCTCGTTAGCTTTATATATATGTAGGTAGTCTTTAGGCATTATAACGCTCATAGGCTGCAATTGCTACTCGATATTGGCACTACTCTTGATAGGGATATTGCTCGCTGGGACAGACCAGCGCTAGCGACTTTGTCGAGTGAGTACGGTACCCATTTATCACATTATTGACAGTAGACACGATCAAAACTAATGCCTCTGTCATTGACCCAAAATAACCGTGGCAGCCTTCTCACTGACCATGTACACCGGCACAGCGATATAGAAGCCCGGGATCTCAGGGAAGACAGACGCATCCACAACGCGCAGTCCCTCGGTGCCGCGCACCCTGAACTTGCTATCTAGAGCAGCCATGGGATCGTTGTCCTTGCCAATGGGGCAAGTGCAGCTGGCGTGATGCCCCCATGCCTCGTTGGTGACCCAGTCTTCCAGATCGGAATCAGAGACACTCGAACCGGGCCAGATTTCCTCGAAGCCACCGGCGAGAGGGATGACGTCCCTCATCATCTTCCGAGATAGCTTCATGCCCTCCACAACGGCTTCTTTGTCCGCATCGCCGCCCTGCTGGAAGTAATTGAAGTCGATCTGGGGCATGTCTGTGGGATCAGCCGAGCGGAGGCGGACAGTGCCGGCCTTGTTGGAGGCATGCGCCTTGAGAGTGATCCATGACCAGTGTCTACGATCACATGTCGTGTTGGCAGAATAACCGGGGTAGTAACCGCGAAAAGCGACAGGAGCGCCGGCGATAAAGAGGTCGGGGTCACTCGTCGTGGCAACGGATGACTTCTTGACGACACCGAGAGAAATGCCGTTGGAGGCGTAGATGCCCTTGTCACTGGTCAGCCACTTGGATAGGCACGGGTCGCCGTCGCTGCCAAACGTGCAGCCCTTGATGATTTCAAAGTCAGACTGGGTCTCGCCAACGACGGTCGTTTCATAGCGATCCTGGAGGTTTGTGCCGACGCCGGGAAGGTTGACAATAACAGGGATATCGAATGCGTCAAGCTCCGTCTTGGGGCCGACTCCGCTGAGCTTGAGGAGCTGAGGAGTATTGAAGGCGCCGGCAGCGAGGATGACTTCAGCTGATGCGTTGACGGAGCCGGCAGTCGAGGAGGCACCAGTTGTAGCGCGAGGATCGGCCTTGTACAAACTCTGGCCCGATAGAAAGTCGACACCAACGGCGCGGGGCGTAGTGCCAGACGTGTCGAAACGGACCTTCGTGGCGAGCGTGTTCATCATAATGTCCAGGTGGTACTTGCGGGAGCCGTCCGCGTTCTTCGCATTGGCAGTCTCGAGGACGAACTCGCGAGGGCCGACCCGAATGCCATCCTTGACTGTGATGGGAACCTGGTAGAGCCCCTCGGCAGAATCCCGACCTGGCGTATCCGCATTGACGTCCCTGAGCAAGACTTGGCCAAGACCGTTGACGGTGGAGAGGACGAGGCCGAAGAAACCCTTGCCCATGGCGGATGCGGCTGAGACAATGACAGTGAGGAGCTTGATATCCTTGATGACGAGGCCGAGATCGGTGACGCTCGTCGTGAGCCATCCGTCAAAGCCATGGCCAACAATGGCGTTGGGCAGATATCGGGCGCTCTCGAGACGCTTAAAGTACTGGCGCATATTGGAAGCACTCCATGAGCTGTCGCCGGTAAGCTTGGCAAGCTTGTCCCAGTCACTGGCATGAGGATAAATGGTGATCAGAGCATTATGTGCTGCGCAACCACCGAGGGTGCCAGCTCGTGGGTACAACACACCCAGCGGCTCTGCATCAGCACTGGGCGTAAGACCAGTATACAGACCGCCATCGCTCGTCCGGTAGGACATCTTGGTGTCCCTCTTCTGCACATCGAGATCGCTGTGGTGGTTGACGTAGTAGTCCCAGCGCATGGGCTCATACTCTGTGGATTGCAGGTTGAGAGCGGGCACCTGGTACTCGGTGGACAGGCCTTGGTCATCGCCTGCCTCGATCAGGAGGACTTTCTTGCCTGCAATGGCGAGGCGCGAAGCGAGAGGCGCACCACCTGGCCCCGAACCGACAATCACATAGTCGTAGATGCTGTCGAAAGCAGCCCTGCGCACGACATTGCCACTGTCTTGACTGCAACGCCACAAACTCTGTCAGTGTCGTGTCTCTGAACATGAAGATAAGAGGGTGGGTGACTTGCGCTACGTCGGGAATAGCAATAGCTGCCGCAATAGCCGTGAGGCTACCAAGTGAAAGCAAGAACCGAGACAGATGCATGGTGGGGCCTTGACGTTAGTGACTGGAATCGGGGTAACAGCCCCTTGCAAGTTGCAACACCAAAAACAGGGCCGGCGAGGCTGGGCAGACGAACGAGTGAACTACCTTGGAAGGTGGATGGTCTGGCTGCGCGCGCGCGGTGACTCTCCCTCTTCTTTCCCTCCCCAGATTCGCTTCACGGTAGATACGATATATATCTTCGCCAGGAAGAACCAGGACTGTGCGGCCGACGCTCGGCACATGTGCTTGTGCATAATTAATATCTGCCGGTCATAAGACCTATTCCGGGGTTGACTGCTTGTCCCAACTCAGCAGCTCGCAGCGTTCACGTCGGAGTCCGGCCCCGTCTTCTGGCGATATGTACGTGAGGTTAAGGTTCCCCGATCGGCTATGGTGTGATGGGTGCTTATTCGGTGGAACTTGGACGGCCGGCCCGGGTACCTGTAGGTGGGGCCCACCACACCCTTCAATTTCCACGTATCAGCCACTTCCAAGTTCCGCCTGTAGGCTGTGCATGCGCCGACATATTTACGTATTGTCTAGCAACGCCCATCCGGCAGATCTGGTCGGTCTATGCAACTGCCATCTTGGGTCTCACGCCCCGTGTCCCAACATCATGCCACTTGCCAGGGCAGGCAGGTATGCTTCGGGCACTCAGTCTGACAGATACCGGAAGGGTTCGTCCCGACTCCGTGTCTTCGCTCCAAGGTCCACATCCCGGTCTAAGTTGACCCGCTTAGCAAGTTAGCATAGACTATCGACAAGTGCCATGCAGCTTCTGGAAGCATTAAGCCCTCTTTGGCACTACAATTGCCCGATTGAGTCAACCCTGCCAAAAGCCACGTTCCACGACGAGTCAGACCCCCAGTCAGACCCATTAACACCTGACATATATCCGGTAGTCTCATACATTTTCAACGCGAGCTACTCAACCTTAAGACCCCCTAGCTGCGCCCAGGCCCCTGGGCACCAAGGTGGAAAGAGTGTGGTCCAGAATGCGTACTGAAGCTGTTTGTCTTGGCCCTCTTTTCCACTTGTCTCTGCATTGATAGGCCTGTCTCATCTCCTTCATCCTGGTCCGTGTCCATCTGCGCATACTCTCTTCCCCTTCTCCCTCTTGCTTTGCTTTTGATTCGGGAAGCGACAAGGAATTTTGTCGTGTTGGTCGTCGTTTAATATATGCGCAACGCGATCCATACGATGAGAACACCTGCCACCGCGCTGCTGGCAGCGTCGTTGGCATTGTTCGCACCGCGACCTGTCGCTGCCCAGAGCGTGACAGATCTCCTGTCGGCGACCCCAGAATGCGCTGTACGTATTTATTCCCTTGGTCTTGGACAGGATCAATCCCCCCCCTGTCCAGCTACATTTGCTCACTTGCTGACGCATTCTGCAAACCAGTTACCATGTCTTGGAGACGCAATAGCCAGCGCAAGTTGTAGCCTTACATCAGTCAAAGTGGCAAGCGATTGCATATGTCCCAACCAGACACTGCAAGCCGATCTTTCAGCATGTGTTCAGCTCGCCTGTCCTTTCGCCGACCAGGCCAGTAAGTTTCCCCCTGATGCATACCCCTCCACTATTGCGACAATGATATGCATTCTGCCGAGTCCGCATAACTGATGGAGATACACTGTAGCGGCAACAACGTTGCTCGGAGGCCTTTGTGCCGGCTATCCCGTCGAATCGAGAAGCACGGAAGTCAAGGTCGCCATCATTGCTTGTCTCGTCTTGACTCTCTTCATCGTTGTCATGCGATGTGTCGCCCGCCTGACCGTGTCGAATCGTCTTTGGTGGGATGACTGGATCACGATCCTTGCGACGGCCTTCTTTATTGGACTGTGTTCAGTCCAGTTTGCCAGTATGTACCCGAGTATCGAGCAAAGCTTCAATGGATGTCGAGCACATGCTGATCAACACAGGCGCCAATCTGGGATTTGGAAAGCATTACTGGACCGTCAATGCCGAAAATGCGCCGGCTATCTTTCAGGTACGTCCTGATCGACGAATTGAGCCACCCCTGGCAAGGACACCACTTGCTAACCGAATGCCCAGCTCTTCTACTCATCCCAAATTCTCTACGTCCTTGTCCAAGTCACCGCAAAGGTCGCCATCCTCGTTCTCTTCGGCCGTATCTTCCCCGCAACCTGGCTCCAACGCGCCATCATTGTATTCGGCGTGCTCCTCGTTGCCCACGGGTTGATCTACATGCTTCTCGTCATCCTACAATGCTTGCCTGTCCACTCCATTTGGGACAGATCGGTCCAGGCAAAGTGCGTGAATATTACAGCCATGACGTTCTCTGGCGCCATCCTCAGCATCATTGAGGATATCGTCATCTTCGCCCTGCCGATCAAGGAGGTCTTCCAGTTGCGTCTGACGATGCAGAAGCGCATAGCGCTCGTCCTCATGTTCAGCGTGGGCTCTTTGTAAGTACTCATGCAAGTATTCCCGTGACATTACCATACTGACCTTTTTCTCAGCGCTTGTGTGACAAGCATGGTCCGATTAAAGTACATTGTCACTTTCGCTGATTCCCTTGATGCAACCTGTGAGTGAACTTCTTCCAGCAGCAACCCACAGCGAAGTGTATCAACTAACAATATTCACCTCGCAGGGGACAATGTGGACCCCGTCAACTGGTCCGTCATTGAAGTCGCGTGCGCCATCATCTGCGGCAGCCTCCCGACCCTCCGTCCACTCTTCCGAAAGGTCCCCGGTCTCCTCACATCCCTCAAATCCCGCGATGGAGCCAAGACTCTCAGCACACCTCGCCATGCCGACCAGCCGCCCAGCATACCTCCCAAGGACGCACAGCTCTACCCCTCAGCAGGGCCCTTTGAGAAACTACAGAACCCTTCTCGTTTCGAGGGCGCCACCTGGAGAGTAACTAGTGCACCGCGGTCGGGCCAGGGGAACGAGACCATGAGCTCGCCGTCGGTGAATAGCCGATTGGAGTATGAGTTGCAAGAATGGACCACAGAGGAGAAGGGACAAAAGGTGCGGGCAGCTGTGTAATGTGAATGCACAATATGATATTTAATACCCTATTATATTACAATACCTTTAATTAACGATTGCACCCATTATTCTTCGCACCATCTGCCTCTTGCATAGCAAGTTTCAGGTTCTCCTGCTCTGAGCCCTCCCCCCCGATCCTTTTCGAGGTATTGAGGTTCGGGATCTTAGTCTGCTTCTATATAATTAATCTTAGATTAGGGTTCATGTCATAGCACTAGCCCCACTGCTCGGCGGCAATGTTAAAAGGCTACCCTATACTAGCTACACCAGGGGGGCCCGCGCATAGATCCGGGACTTCGGCTATAATTAATTATTAGGCAGCAATAACTTAAGCATAAGGCGATAGTATTGATTAGGACTGGGAAGAACAAGATAGACAGAGATCTTCTAAGCCTGGACTCCATGTTCCCGTGATGAATCGTGAACAGAACAACGTTCGCGACGGTCTAGACGCAGCACCGCACGAGAATATCTCACTAGAAAACGAATCTGTCGACCACGATAATGCAGCATTTATTTCCAAGCATCTGAGGGAAGACCAGCGGCTTCGAAATGGGGCCAAACCCTTTAACTACACAGAGCCCGCGCTTACAGAGCGTGCAGAAGGCGTGTACGACCTCTAATCCTCCATTGAAAATATTGTGACTAATTTAATCAGGTATCGCTGGGTCGAGTGTTCACCCGTGGCGTTAAAGTCCTGCCCTCGAGGTAAACGCTCGCTTAATGCATTGCTTATCTCGTTGCCTGGGTTACTGGTAGAAACGTATGAGAGAATGCTATTGAACATCGATGCAGAGGCCGTGGAGGACGCAAGACGGACCTTGAATTTGCTTTCAAGTGCGGGGTCGCATGCCCCTCAACGCAGAGAAAAGAAACAGCATCCTCCCAGTCCTTCCTTACTCTGCGACGCCGTGCTACGCAAATCATCGCAATGTCCGCCTCCCCATCTCAGTCGGACGCTTCTTCCCATGCGGTGGGGGATGATGAGGACATGTCCGCCCATGAGGTCGATATTAGTTCTCAGTCATCCGCTTCTTCTTCATCCCAAGCTTCCATATATAATCCGATGGAGGATTTGGAAGGCATGTCGTACTCGCAGGAGGACACTGTCCGTGCGTTCCGAGACTACTACGCCTTTCTCGCTAAGATGTACGTGGACGAGTCTCTGATCATCAACCCACCCTCCGGTGGCTGGCCTTCTATTACCAAGGAAAGATACCGTGGCATGGGCAAGACCGATGTCGTTATTGAGCTGCTACGCCATCTGCCGTACCTCGACGAATTTAGCGGCGACTTCCTCGCAGTTCAGACCGCGCCTTATACCACGTTCTGGAACTTTGTTCTTGGTTGCAATGGGTCAGGAAAGGAAGCTGAGTCAACTAAGTTATACACAGAGGGCCCCCAGTTCACGGACTCTATACCAGCTCATGTCATCGGCCTTAGCTCCGGAGAAAACGATCCTCTGCTTTTCTTGCTAGACACTCAGTTCGGAGTTATCTACTGGATAGAAGCCCCAGGTTATGTTAAGGATAACGACGGATCGAACCCGTCCTTTATTTCGCCCATCTCGAACGACCCCTACGACTGGGCCCCTGAACACGAAGCGGACTGGCGGCACGAACCATGCTGGTCTGTCGCCGATTTCTTCACATTGCTCAAGCAGCTATGCCTCCAACTAAAACACGTCCCCCTCAAGCCACAGCAGGTCGTCTATGTCTGGGCTTCGCCATCTAGTTGGTATATGTCTCTGGTCCCCCCGGTTCAAGATGTTTACAGACAGCATGGCTGGCCAGATGTGGACAACTTCCGCAAAGAAAAATGTCAAGCTGCGATCAAGGCCCTCCTGGCTGCGCGGGAGGAGGCTGAAGATGCACGAGAATAACGCGTGGGATTTGGCGCCTGAAAGTCAGTCATGATGACACAGAACGAGGTACATGCTCCCAGTCCACGTATTCAGTACGTAGATAGCCTCATTTCCACCTTGTCTCCTCATATATGCGAATCGATTACCACGCTTCCTCTGCAATCCAGCTGTCCGAGTTCAAAGCGCTCAGATACTGATTCTCCCGTCCGCCAATGTAATCTCAAATACATCGGGTGGTTGTTGTTTATTTTGAGACCTTCTCCGTGCGGGCTGCTGAATGGTCCTTTGCATATTTGTCGTTATCAGACATGCCCCAGTCGCGTCCAGAACCTTCTCTTTACGGAGCATTCAAAGAGCCATGTGTATATGGGCTCAAAATGCGATGGCCAAGCGAGGCTCATGAGTGAGGGGAGCGTCGACGGGCGCCAAAGAGGCATCAGCTCATACTTCATGTTCCTTGCAAAGTCGTATCTGAGGTATTATAAGGAAGACCTTTGGATGTCTCTGGGGCGTTTCCATGCATGTGGCTTCCAGGCTATCGTGATATGTTGAGACCCGAACGCACGTGATCGGTTCTGTTGGCACACTAGTTTTCACCAATGTGACCTCACCTAGAGCATGGAGAGTGCCTGATCCGTTTAGAATCACAACCCACATGGCAATGAGATTACCAAGTGTATTTTGAGGTTACAAGAAGGGGGCTCGGAGACGTCAAAGGCTCCATGGGCGTCTGCTCGTCTGAATCATGCAAGGACGCGCTACTGATGATGTTAATTACATGAGCACGGTGCCGCTATATAGGGAGGACGCGTACAGTCCCGGCTATAATTACAAACTGCTTGAGTTACTTTCACATACGACCACACCTAGTGGAAAATACGGGATCCCGTCCGCTCTCCTATAGTTTAGCCGCTAAGGGGCCGATCAGTAGTTAGGTCGGTGACGACCAGCGAACACCGGCTATTGCATGTTTTCTAGTCCTTTTTTTTTTTTTTGTGGGGGATGAAATTCGTTAGCTGCTGGTGAGGGCGATGTTTTTTTTAAGGGCTCAGGGATAGTGTGGTGATGAGCGGGCGTGGACATACGTGTGTCTATTAGATTATAGAGTCCGCAGCCCTGACCGCAGTAGCGCGATATACGATCGGATCTAGGCTTATCTAAAAAGGGGTAATAGCGGACCGACGAGCGAGTAGCCCTTAGGGTTTCCGTTAATAGCCTTAGGCGAGGGATAGTAGTAAACGCGTGCTACTCGAGGAAAGGCTTATGCGAGAAGTATATAAACGACCCGTTAATAAGAACCGCGTAGTTATAGGCGGTCGGCGTATTTAGACCAAACCTCTATATCCTACTTAACGGGTACCTTTAGGAGCCTTAGCTAGTACGAGGCGACGCTAAGTATAGCTAGGACCAGGAGCTATAGCGAACTAAGGCCGACACTATCCGTCTTAGTATCGCGGGCGGTTAGCACTATCTACGCTTAATAAAGGCCGAGAAGAGACTAGTCGACGAAGCGATAGGCACTCTTAAATATCCCGTGTGGCGTCTTACGGACGGTCGGGTGCGCTATGAGTAGCATAGGGAAGAATAGAGCGGTAACGTACCACGAGGCGACCTTAGCTATATCTTTATCTCTCTAAAAGATTAGTTACGCTATATTTAAGAATCTATCTAATAGGTAGTGCTCGGCCTTCTTCTCGGCAAGGCCTAGTATATAATCTATTTAGGCTCCCTATAGGACGAGAGACAAGCTTTAAAGTAACGCGAAGGAGCTACACGGCGAGCGGGAGGTAAGACGACCGTAGCCTTATAAGTTATACGGGCGTCTATATAAGCGCGCGGGCGGGCTATACTTAGGCAATATATAAGATTAATCCGCTACCGAGGATTATAACGGACTATTACTAAGTAATAACTATCGGATCTTCGGGCTCTCGAGGTTTCTTATTAATTAGGGATCTCGGTATATATAGCTTCGCTCTTAGAAAATACTTCCTAGGAGGTTTGCTACTTTCGCTTACCGAGGATAGAGTACTAAATTCGCTTTTACCTACCCTATACATTCTAGTTAGTATATTAATTATATACGCTAGAATTTATAGTCTAAAAGATTTCACTCCCGAGCTATAACATTCGGGTCAGACTAACTATAGGGTAGGTAGATCTAAGGTCGGTTTATGAACTAAGTACACTAGGATATCGTTAGCTTAAGCGGTCGGGTCATAGTCTATATATAAGATAGTAGATCTTACGTAGATAATTATATTAATAGCTAAGGAGCTAGTAGAGACTAATTATAGTAAAGCTAGGCTTCCTATATACTAAGTAAATATTATATAGTCGACGATAATCGACTATCGTCTACGAGCGCCTTTATAGCGTAGTCGATTATAGTCGCTAGTCGCTTATAATCGTCTATCCTACGTGGTATATAGGTAATATATAATAAGAGGAAAAAAGCAAGGGTTACGTAAGAGGCGCATGCGGTCGTATATTAAGTCGTAATATAATATCTCCCCTTCCGAGATTCTATCTTAGAATTAGCTAAAACCCGTTAGCCGTCCGTCGTAAGTTATATTCGGTAACTTCTTCCTTTTATTATACCTAACCGTATATAAAAACGTCCCTCTTCTTATAAGAGAACTAACGACTCGTATCGCGCTATCCTAATTAAAGCTATTTATCTTAACGGTTCTAAGAGCGAGATACCCTATACTCATTATTATCGCGCTAAGCGCGTTTATCGTATAAGTAGTAATTCTCGTCGTTATACGTCGTATATCGAAATAAAGAAAACTTATAATAGTACTAGCGTGGCGTCGTATCGTGAGTATAATACGTGTTTTTCGTATATATACTAACCTATATTTTAGTAACGCGTGCGGTATCTAAGTAGAAACGAGTAAAAGCGGATTTAGAAAAATCTAAGAAGGAGCTCTAAGAGGCTCTAGGGCGCGTTTAGCGCCTTCGTCGCTAACGAGAATTACTTCGAAGTCGGACCTCGGACTTAGTATCTCGTAGTATGCGTAAGTTAGATAAGGAGGATAGGGTGCGTTCTTAGGAAGAGGCTATTCTTAAGGAGTAGTAGGTAGTTAGGCATGCTTAGGAGTTAGGTGCGTTTAGGGTTATCGATTAGAGCGCAATACCCGATATATTTCCCTTTAATAATACTATCGCAATAAGTAACGGTAATTCTTAAGGTATTTAGCGGGTTCTTATATATTTTCGCTACTTATATAGCCTTTCTATCTAATAAGGTATTTAATTTCTCTATCTATTATTTATTTATCGATAATTCGTTCTAGTTCGTAAAGTTCTTCAAGGACTTCTAGTTCGTAGTTTATTTTTGCGTTTTATAGTGCCTTTTCGAGTAGTAAGATATAAAAAACTAGGTATATTCTTATACTTAAGGGTAGCGAAAGCTTATAATTAGTATCTAAGATAGCTTTATCGATTTTAAATAGTCTAAGCTTTTTATAGTCGAGCTTTAGTAAGGGTTAAGTTATTATAAAATTTTTACGTAGTAAGTAGACTATATCTCCCCTCCGAAAGATCGGTCCCTTCGATCTTTTTTTATTATAGTATTTCGATATTCGTATACATACGAATTCGAGCTATCTTTTTATATATTTATATAGTAAGCGTAGTTAGTTTACTTTAAGTATTACTTTTTTAGTAAGAGGTCTATCCCTTAGTATTTTACTACCGAACTCGGGCTCGTATCCATAGTTCGTATAGAATAATAAGATTTAAGTTAATTCTATAAGTACGCTATTATAGGCGAGTTAGGCGAGTAGTAACTTCGAGACCTAATTATCCTATTCGTAATTAATATAGCACCGTAGGTATTATTCTAGTGTCTAGTTTAACTTTTCTATCTATCCGTCCGTCTAAGGGTAGTAGGTTATACTAAGCTTATACTTAGTTCCGAGCTAAGCTATTAAAGCTTACTAGAACTTCGAGGTAAATATCGTTCCTCGATCCAAAATAATTTCTTCCGGAAGGCCGTGGTTAGCCACGATATATTTAAGCACTATATATACGAGTATTTCTATATCTATTGCTTCTTAGTATAGTAGGAAATATCCGAATTTACTTATTCGGTCTATAATAACGAATATACTATTATATTCGACGTTAGATCTTAGTTCTTTTAATTTAGGTAGTTTCGTAATATAATCGAAGGCTATTAATTCCTATAGTCTTAAAGGCACTAGTAGTAGCTTTAGTTCTTTATATAGTTTATACCGTATAGCCTTGCTATATATATAGTCTTCGTATTGCCCGACGATACGTACGATATCTACTTTAATTCCTTAGTAATCGTACGTTCGTCGTATTCGTTCGAGAGTCTTCCTAACTCCTTAATATCCTACTATAAGGTGCGTATAAATATTAATTAAGATTTTATCGCGTAGCGGCGGTAGTATCTAGAGTAGTTTATTCCTAGTGGGTCCTTTTCCCGTTTCTATTATATAGTCGTCCGGTACTTCCTTTTCGTATTTAGATACCTAATCTAGTATTTTATTATAATATATAGTATCTACTTCGACTCTAAATATAAAGAGGTTAAGTACTATTTATATATAGTTTCCTTCGTTATTTTATTAAAATATCTAGCTTTTTACCTTTTATACTTCGGTATCGTAGTCTAGTCGGCGGCTAAGTATATTTACTCTACTATTTTCCGATCCTTTCCGATAGATAATTTTAATATCGTATTCGGCTAGGAATTTAGCGTATCGTACTTATCGTAAGCTAAGTTCTTATATCGTGGCGAAGTAAGAGATATTTTAGTAATCGGTATAAACCTTAGTCCTAAACTTCGTTCTTAGTATATAATACTTAAATTCTTTAATAGCGGCGATAATTACTAAGAATTCTTTATCGTAGATAGGGTAATTTAGTTCCGCGCCGTAGAGTTTCTTCGAAAAAAAAGCGATTAATCGTAGATTACTAATATTATCTCGTTAGCTAATCTACGCTCCTATAGCATAGTCCGATACGTTTATTTCTAATTCGAGTGGCTTTTCGGGATTATAAGTTATAAGTATAGTATTAGATATTATACTATCTTATAACGTTTCGAAAGCCTTCCTTTATTCTTTTCCGAAGTAGAACTCCTTTTTACCCTTCGTAAGTTCTATAAGTAGTATTACGATC